GATGCTTTTTGTCAGTTAGCAACAATGCATCTGTACTGCTCCTAGGAGTTGCTCTTTCCAATTTGTTCAAGTCAAGCCGGCGTAACTGTGAAAGATGAGCTAACTCCTGCAAGTTCCATCCGTCTTGCATTTTAGTATTGTCACTTCCACCTCCAACAGGAAATCCTTCTAAATCATTGAGGAATTCAAGTCTTCCTATCCCTCTTGGAACCTGATTTATTGGTGAATCATCAAGACCAAGCCGCCTTAAATTGCATAACCGAGTGATCATGCTGGGCAAACTGTACAAAGATTCACACCGCTGTAAGTGTAACATCTGGAGGTTTTTTAGAGCACCAATAGATTTTGGAAGACAGGATATGTTGGTTCCACTAAGATCAAGTAAACGTAGATGAATTAAATATCCAACACAATCTGGTATTTCTTCCACAAGTAAGTCAGTCAAGTCCAAAACACGAAGATACGTGAATCTCATGAAAAATGTTTTCTCAATTCCCAGTGGATTTGGTTGGGTTCTAAAAGTTCTCAACTTAATCTCCTCCTTACCCATGCTAGGTATGACTACCATATCTTTCTCGGTGATAGCTAAAATGCGGCGCAATTTACACATGTTATTATCCACCAATGATGTTGGATCTCCAATATAACATTCTTCTCTTGATAGATGGCAAGCAAGTTGCCTTAAGAGATCATGCATTTTGCATTTGCTCTGATCAAAAGATGTGTCAACCGGTTGGAGGAGATTCCTACTTATTAGCTCATAGTAGTATTCTTCTGCTGTATCTTCTAGTAGTTGATCTTTGTGCACTTCTACAAAGCCTTCGGCAACCCACAACCTGATAAGGTAATCACGGTGAATGGTCCAGTCTTCAGGATATACAATACAATAAAGAAAACATTGCTTTAAATGCTGTGGTAAATCATCGTAGCTTAGATATAGAGCACCTCTTATTTCCTTAGGAAGTTTATACATGGACCAAACGTAATTAGCTAAAATCTTTTTCCATTCGTTCTCTGCTTTATCTTTGCTTGCCAAAACTCTAGCAATAACCTTGATTGCAAGAGGTAGCCCACCACATTTCTGAACAATCTCAATCCCTATGTCTCGCAGATTTTGCACTTCTTTCTCGTCCTCAATGTTAATGCTCTTCCAGAGTAGCTCCCAACCAACAGCCGGTGACATTTGGTCGATATGATGTGGTTCCTCAACCCCAATTTCTCTAGCGACAGTATCTTGCCTAGTAGTTATCAAAACTATTCCCGAGGTTGCAGCATACAGTGGAGTTCGTAGTAGATTGGTCCACACATCAGACTGCCATACATCATCCAACACAAGAAAATAACTCTTATCTTTAATAGCCGATTCAAGCTTGCTTTGTAGCTCGCCAACTGATTCTTCTTGTTTGCATTGAGCGTCGATGGTTCTAAGTAGTTGTCCCAAAACAGAGGCTGGGGAGTAGTCCTGAGAAACACAGATCCATGCATGTTTGTCGAAGCTTTGTTTTAATTTCTCATCATTGAATACTTTCTGAGCAAGTGTTGTCTTTCCGATTCCCCCTGTTCCAATAATAGCAAGCTTGTAAGTCTTCTTTTCCTTGTGTGTAAGAACCTGGCTCACCAATTTTCTAGAAGCATGTAATATCTCTTTCCCCACAAGGTTGGATTCAGCAATTTGAGAACTTTTTCTCAATTCTGATGTTGAATCTTTATGAGATGACTGTGTATTCTCAAGTGTTACAAATATTTTATCCTTTGCTATTTCTTCTAGTTTTCTGTTCAGGCTTCTAATTTTATTACCAATCTCATGGTGAACCCGAATGTTGGAAAAGCAAGAGAGAAGTGAAAGCCCATTACATGCAATTGTTTTTCTCGGTGAACAAGAATGGCCATTTAATAGCTTGCTTCCTTCAAAGCTAACCAAATCGATAATGTCATCAGCATCATACATAGCATCTTTTAGACGAGAAATCCAATTGTGTATTGATGAGTCTTCCATGCCCCTTCGCTCCACATCACTTATAAAGCATCGTATTTGTTCCATTTTTTCCTGCAGTTCTCTAAGATCTTCTTTTACACCTAAAATTAGTATTGCCTCCTCGGTAATGATCTCTTGCAACTTCTTAGCACATGATCCAATCAAAGAATCCAGTATGGTTGCCATAGAGAAACTCGTCGAGGGTGATGCTCCAATATATCCAAGTTTTTTTTTTTGGCGTAAGCAATATATCCAATTAAATCATGCAAGAGTAATACCGTCTGAAAATGGACAAAAGTTGAATTGGTTTCAGAGTATCTTTGTAGCTAGCAAGTTATTTTGCAATCTGTTTTGAGCAAGTATATACTGATTACTGAAGCTGAAGAACTGAAATCATTAAGGGGTTTACCTTTCGGTGGCTTCTTTGTATCAACAGGCAAACGAGAAAGAAGTAACCGGCTCAAATTGCGGTGTTAATTTTGCTCAAGTTGACAAAGCTAACTTGCTTGGTATGAAAGCCGAGCTGAGGCTGAAGTGAATCGGATCGACAGGAACGGCAGTGGAGCAGGCGGGTGTCTTCTGGAATGCAAGATGATGACCGAGCGAGCCAACGTTTCGATTGGCTAGCTCCTAACGTGACAAGCAGAAAATTGTTCAAACCCTATGTTGTGAGAGAAAACTCAGCTGAGCCTGAGAGCAAGGCCTTTGATGCGTGCAGCCGAGGCATCGCCGGTCACAAGGAAGACAACGAGCAAGTTCCCATTATGAGATTATGTCTCGTGGACTAGATGGGCTGGCTCTCTTATGCAGTGTTCAAATAGTACAATGGCTCTTTTATCCGTCTCACCATTTATGTCCCACTGTGCATGAGGAGTTTGTTTTCCAGTGTGCAAATTGCACGGAACAAGACAAGCCATCTTAGATAAAGATGTTTGAACAAGTTTGCAAATTGTGCAAATGGCAGTCTGATGTATGAACAAGATGTTTCAGCTGCATATATAAATTTCTCCATCGTGCTACTAAAAAGATTCCCATGTCAGGAAAGATATTTGGACTGAAATTCATTCAGAGTACTCCACCCTAGTAAATAGAGAAAGAAAGACCTCCTAATACCGAAGGTATCGAGAAATACCAAATTTTACATTAGAAAATATGGTACTTCTTCCGTTTCATATTATAAGACTTTCTAGTATTGCCCATATTCATATATATATATTAATGAATCAATATATATATATATGTGTGTGTCTAGAATGTGAGCAATGTTAGAACGTTTTATAATATGAAACGGAGGGAGTACCTCCTAGTATCTCTTAAGGATTGGGGTGCAGCTCATCTTCAAAATCTTAATTCTGCCCTAGTAAGTAGAGAAAAAAAGGCCAAGAATATTTCAACTCATGTAAGTAAGAAAGAAAGACGAGATATAGTGTTATTTCTGAATCTAATCCATTCAAATGGCCGTATGTGAGCCAAGAGGAAAGTAACATGGCTAGCAGTATGTTGGCTTCTTGTCTTGATGTCAGAATCGATGAACCATCGACTAAAGAAAACGATAAGAACATTTGACTTGCTGACTTATATATGTTAGGAAACATACAAGAAAGGATTTATGGGTGGCTAGGATCATCACCCCTAGTGCTGTCGACTTATCAGGTTCAGCTTCACCATGGTTGATGCTGATCAGTTGCTCACCATTCACTGTAAAAATGATCAATGCTCACCATTGGACCATTTTCTGTCCTTTTGTCCAGGACTATTCTCCTCTGAACCGAGTGGTTCTGCGTTTCGCAACTGTTCCATCTCTTCCGAGTGAAATAATATTACCATTCTCAACTTGTGCACTAATGCACAAATTGCACACAACATATTGCTGCACTTGAATTGCAGGCCGAATTGCAGCAGCAGCCCTGCTTCCTCGTCAAGAGATGTTGAGAACTGCAGTTAAACGTATTAACAGATTGAACATGAATATTTGCCTAACACGAATTTGGTCCTGAGTTGAATTTGATTCCAACTGTAGCATTGATCGAACATTCTCCCAAACAGATACAGGTTTGATGGATGCTATGAATTAAACAGTGAACACAATAAACAGCAGTGCAGCATCTCTTTCAATTCATGGTGTTGATGATATGATTATCTGAACTAGTGAACTCTGCAGACCAACGAACAAACAAGAGCTCAACTTCTATCGACCAAACTCTCTTCCTACCAGTTTGGAGATTGAGATTCCTCTGTAAATTTCGCTGCGCCCCGCTGGATAAACAAGAACTGAACAGCCTCCCTGATCTGAACGAGGATAGGAGCCCAAGAACCAACGGGACACGAACCGCCTCTGGATACGGGCGCCGAGATTTGGGGTTTCCGGAGGGAGCTCCGGCGAGCGGCTGCCGGTTAGTTCTCAAGCAGGAGAGACACGCGTCGTTCTTGCGTTCTTGCCCTCAAGTGGCCCCACGAGTCAGGGAGACATTATATGTTTATATTGCCGTTGATGCGACGACGGCAAGCGAGCGAGCGCTCCGACGAGGTAAATCGCCGCCGAGTCCCACGTCGCCGGCGCCGGAGAACCTCGAGCACAACCGAGGTACAGGACCCCTCGTTTTCCTCCCCCTTTTTCTTCTCATCGCTGGATGCGCTATAGCTGTGCTTTGCTTTGTGCTGCGTTGATCAGTCACGATAAGAATAATTTGTCCGTTGTAGATGAACACAGAATGATTCAGATGAAAATTCAAACTGAATAGCTCAATTGTGTACATGAATGAACACAAACCTCGATTCTAATTTCAGAGTCCATGAGAAGGTTGCAGATTTGGGGGAGTGAGCTCTACAGCATCAGTAGTGAGCATCTTTGAACATAATGATCAAATGCCATCAAATGAAATGTCAAAACCGAATATCTCAAACCCTATCGTTGCTAGTAGAACACATTACACTATGCAAAATAAGGAAATCAGCTTACACGGAACATTAGGAAGATGCAAGTATCCAAGAAGACACTGGTTTGCATCCCCGTCCAGAAAATACGAAGGCAATAAAACCATGGTTAATTTAACAATGTAATGGGATAACAAGGTGAAAAGCTAGTGCACTGTCATAATAACATTTTCCTGAACCAATCCTAAAGACATACAAGCTGTTATTTTCAGTGTTCAAAAGGAAAAAGGATGAATTCAATGAAATAAACAAAAGTTGGATTTACTTCTCTTCCTCAAGTTATACATGGGTTCCATCCCACATAAGCAGCAGCTGGTGGAGAAAGAGCCTTGGACACAATCATTGCCGATGCAAATTTCAGTCAAAGATGTGTTGTATCCATCTATTAACACAGGTATTGATTGTCAATACGAGGTATCATCACTGAGATTTCCTCAAGTACTGAAACATTGTCAGTACAAAGGAATGACTAGGAAGGTTATCCACCATTTCCTCTCCTCTCGATCACAATTCACAAAGCACAATCAGTTTCTATCATGATGGGAGGATAAATATATTTTTGCCTCAGTGATCTTCATTGATTTCCTTGTCCTGCAGGCTTGTCATTAAGGACTGACAGGAGAATGATTGGTGCTTGGGTTTAGCCCAATTGCTTCTGGTGAAAGAAGGGGTTGAAATGAGCTCAAACTAAACTGGTTTCCAACTCAGGTTCGTCCAACAGAGAAACAGAGTGTATGTGCCTCTGAAAGTGTTTTCATAATTATTCCATCACAAAAAAAATGCAGTAGCCTGACAAAGGTGCAGTTTCAAGAAAACTTTCAAAGACCTGGTAGCAGTAGACTATTCCGTCATTGAAAATAAGACTGGATGAGTCTCTAGAAGTGTCTCCATAACTATTCCATCATTGAAAATGAAATTAATCTGATAAAAGTACGGAAAAATCCCAATGATCTACTATATAGTAGGAGAGCGTCATTTCAACCAACATCTATACAAGATTATCCCCTCCTCCTTTTTCCGGGCTTGGGACCGGCTATGTCATTCAGATAAACCTAAGATGACATAGGCGGAGTTACCTACACACCTACAATAAAAAAAATAAAAAGAAAAGAAACGCACACATCTAAGAAAACATGACGATGTATTTTACAAGAGCTAAAGAAAATATAACCTTTTTTTTGACATTTTCCCATTTTTTGATATTTTTGTTTTTTTAATTTTTTTAATATATTTCAAAGACCAGTAGCTAGGTAAAGACAAAAGTACAGATTACAGGTGACTGCAGCCCAAATTCTTCAAGATTAACCTACAACACAAATAAGCGCACAAAAATTAATCATGGATGTATATTCATAAGCAATTTGGTAATTAAATAACTTAATTAAGGAAAAGAAAATACAAGTGACATCCGTTTTGCAACAATCTATTTTCTACAATTGAACTTACCAAACATCATACGTGAATTACAAAAAGTATAAGGAAAAGACACATAGGGACTATACATAGGCATGTCGCTCGGCAATATCCTCTGCTTATAACAGATGTAATACGAACAAAAATATTAATCAATTTGAACCAATACAAAGACATTTAGGTGGCTTTTGTTTTTTCACCAAACAAACCTTAATTAGGAGCCCTACACTAGGAACAGATGTTGGGCACAACCCTTCCATCTTCAATATCCTGCTCACAGGCTGCAAGGAATCTGTAACATTGGGCCTGACCTATTTTTTGTGAAATCTAAAAAAACTACTCTATTGCCTAATGTCTTGCGAAAATTCATGTGTATTTGTGTTTTTATAAGATACTGAGTACTAAATGTGCACATTGATATGACATAGAACACACTTGCAGACTTGAAGGCTAAATGCACGTGATCTGGTCTTCGTCATAGATAGCGCATTTTTAAATAATGGATTAAATAAAACCCGGCCTCTACATCCCGAAGGATGTACACGGCCAATCATAGCTAGCACATTCAAGAGCTGAATTAAGGATTACTTATCTCTTGGCCTAGCGAAGTCCATTATGTTTAGTCGTGCACTTATGCAGCCTGTGTACCAAATGCTAAACCATTTATGTTGTCCCCAAGTCCTTGGATGGATATATGCATTTGTGATATTACTACTATCATATAGTGAATATAGCAATGCCATCATAGCATTGTTTGGTGATATAACCCATACAATTTTCTTTTGGAGTAGAAGTAATCTCTATCTTTGTCTGCAGAGCTAGGAACACTATTGCACATGATTATGTTGTAGTACATATAGGACAATTCATTTATCTAGAATACACCGTATGTACAGGACGCATGTTAATAAGATCACGAGAGGATTAAAGAAATGGACAACTAATGAATTTGTCAATGTATATCCACCATTTTATGAAAATCTTGACCATGATGAAATGCTTACATGCAGCATAAATGAAAATAAAACTAAATCATATAAATCATTAAACAATCAGTCAATGCACACGACATGAACAACTAAGGAGACTATCAAATGCTAGAATAGCTGCATATATACAGCTGAAGAGCAGAGGGGCAGCATGAATGTACAACCCAATGATTAGTTTATTCCAGTGAAATGTCCCAAGCAATTAGTGTACATACCTTGCGCCATCTAAATTAATTGGGTCTCACAGCCACTCGATGACCTCCAGCTCATGCTCATCTCCATGGAGTTGGCGGTGTTGCTCCTGAAGCCTTGGGACCCACAGCTGAGAGATCTCCTGCATACCTTCATCCAGCAATAGCTGCTCCAAACCACCCAACTCCTCGACATGCCTCAAATTGGGGCAGACATTTAGAAACAGCTCTCTCACTTGGGGAAGGTTGGAGACCCTCTCCAGGCCTTCACAGCCACCAATTGAAAGGGCACCAGAGAGGAACGGGAGGTCTTCCACCGTCTTCAAGCATTCTGCTTCTCTTATAAGGAGGTCCTTCAAGTTGGTGGCCTGCTGTCCAAGCTGTGGTGGGAGAGCCCTCAGCTTGGGGCAGCCCACGAGATCCAACTTCGTCAAACAAGGCAGCAGCCACGACGACCTTGGAGTTGGAGACGGGGCTTCCTCCCCCTTTTGCTTCGAAGCAGCAATTCCATCCTCTCCCCCTTCCTTGGCTGCTGCAGCTGCTTCCTCCTCCTGCACTTCTTCTTCTTCAACAAAGGACCACTCCTCCCAGTTGGGCATATCCTCAATGACCAACCATTCGAGCTTGGGGAAAGCAACTGCCTCTGTGGATCTGAGATTACCCTCCCAGCAGCCAACAAATTCGGGTCCAATCTTGGTGATTGCACTTGCTCCATTAATTTTTAGGTATTTCAAGTTTGGTAGCTGTCCGATTGGGGGAAGATGCACACAAGATTTGCAATCTATGAGGAGCACGTATTTCACTGAAGACAAATGGTTAGTACCAAGCCAGGTGGGGAACCTTCGCCCAAAGAAATTCACAATAGCAAGAACTTCTAAGTTGTGTGGAGGTGCTAGCTTCTCAAAGATCTTCTCAACATTGCTAATGCCTTCCTCTGAATATGCTTCATCTGTCTGTTCAGTGCAGTGTAGATTCAGAACTTTGAGATGCTTTTTCTCTGTTAGTAGAAATGGGTCTCTACTGCTGCAAGGAGTAGCTCTTTCCAATTTTATCATACCAAGCTGCCTCAACTGTGAAAGATGAGCCAACTCTTCCAAATTCCATCCATCTTGTATTTTGGTATTGTCATTTCCACCACCGATAGGAAATCCTTCTAAATCATTGAGAAATTTCAGTCTTCCTATCCCTTTTGGAACCAGGTTTATTGGAGTACCAGCAAGACCAAGCCGCCTCAAATTGCATAGTTGAGTTGTTGCCAAAGGAAGTCTGCGCAAAGATTCACACCCCTGCAAATTCAATATTTGAAGGCTTTGAAGGGAGCCAATGGCCTCTGGGAGAGAACATATATTTGTCTTGTCAAGATCGAGCAACCGCAGATAAATCAAATTTCCAATCGCACCTGGGATGTCATGTACAAGTGAGTCAGACAAATCCAAAATGCGAAGACATACAAGTCTCTCGAAAAGTGAATTATCAATTCTTGCTGACTTCCCAGATAAGTTTGTAAAACACCTCACTTTATATTGATCCTTGTCCATGCTAGGTAACACCACTATGTCCTTCTCAGTGACAACTGAAATACGCCGTACTTTGCACATAGTATTAGTCCCTAGTGACTCTGGGTCTCCAACAAAACATTCTTCTCTTGACAAATAAGAAGCAAGTTGCCTTAAGAGATCATGCATCTTGCAGCTGCTGTGGTCAAAATATAAACCATCTGGTTGGAGCAAGTTCCGATGGATCAGCTCATAATAATATCTCTCTGCTGTATCTTCTAGTAATTGTCCTTTTTCCTCATCTATAAAGCCTTCAGCAACCCACATCCTAGTAAGATCGTCACGCAAAATGCTTGCATCTTCAGGGAAAAGTGCACAATAAAGAAAACATTGCTTCAGTTGGTGCGGCAGCACTTCATAACTCAGATATAAAGCACCACTTAATTCACGAGGAAGTTTGCTCATGGACCAGGCATTTTTCCCCAATATCCGTCTCCATTCATTCTCTGTTTGTTCTTGGCTTGCTAAAACTGTAGCAATAACTCTGATTGCAAGAGGAAGGCCACCACATTTGCGAACAATCTCAATACCTATGTCCTTGAGATTTTGCACTTGTTTCTCTTGGTTGATGTTCATGCTCCTCCAAAGCAGCTCCCATCCTACATCAGCTGACATCAAATCAACCCTATGAGTGTGGTCCACCCCAATTACTCTAGCAATAGTGTCATCTCGAGTAGTTATTAGAATTACTCCTGTGGCGGCTGCATGAAGTGGAGTGCTTAGTAAATCTGTCCATGCTTCAGAGTTCCACACATCATCCAACACCAGAAAAAAACTTTTATTTGCAATGTGTGATTTAATCTTTCTTTGGAGCTCTGGAACTGATTCATCTTGCTCATATCGAATTCCCATATTACGAAGAACTTGTCTCAAAAGAGAATCCCTAGAATACTCCTTGGAAACACAAGCCCATGCATGATGGTCAAATCTCCCTTCTAATTTTTTATCATTGAATATTTTCTGAGCTAGTGTTGTCTTACCAACTCCTCCTGTTCCAACAATAGCAAGCTTGTAAACATTCTTTTTCTTGTGTGCAAGCACCAAATCCACCACTTCTCTGCAAGCACGTATGACCTCCTTGCCCACAAGGTTGGGTTCAACTAGGCTGGAGCTTTCTATTGGTGTCCATGCTGAACCACTTCCATTATGATGTCTGCGGTTGAGTTTTAAAAATACCTCATCCTTTGAAATGTTATCGATCTTTTTGTTCAGGCTTCTAATTTTTACAGCAACTTCATGACGTATACGAATATTAGAAAAGCAGGACGAAAGTGAAAGGCCACTGCAAGCAGTTGCTTTCCTTGACGATGACATAGGATAGTCAGGCAGTAGGACACTTCCTTTAAATCTAGCCAAATCAATAATATCATCAACATCATACATAACATCTCTTAGCTGGTCAAGCCATTTTTCAACTACTGAATCTTCCATCCTCCTTGCCTCAGCATCCTGAAGAGAAGATCTTATGACGTTTGTTCTTCGTTGCAGTTCTTCAAGCTCATCTTTTACCCCTAAAATGAGTATTGTCTTGTCTGTAATGATCGCTTGCAACTTATTGATGCATGATCCAACCAATGTGTCTACTATTGTTGCCATCCGACAAACTCAAAAGGGGTAATCCACCATATATAATTGATCAATGTAAAAAATGCAGCCTGACATGTAACCAAACTTGTGTTAACATAGTTTAAAAGTTAGATAAGGCTGACAAAATATGAATGCAAGATGAAGTTCAGTAAATATATTATCCATCTATTCTTTGTATAAGAGTTTCCACTTAATTCGATATGGGATTGTTGCTGCTTGGAGCTTGCCAGTGAAGGCTAGCTGCACAGCTTTCAGTTACTACCAGTACTACTAGTAGGTACTTGTAGGCAATGACTTATAGCTTGCCCTGTGATGTTTTTCAGTTACTGGAGTATGAACACTGACAACTCAAACTTTATGAGTGTGCATAAATGCATTCGATGACATGCACGGACCATCATAGCTAGAGACCGAACTGAATTATTTGTCTTACTGTCTGACTGAGGCTGTGTTTAGATCCAAAGTTTGGATCCAAACTTCAGTCCTTTTTCATCACATCAACATGTCATACACACACAACTTTTCAGTCACATCATCTCCAATTTCAACCAAAATCCAAACTTTGCACTGAACTAAACACAGCCTGACTCATAAAGTAGAGTATATTTGTAAGAGAGGAGCACATATCTAGCTAGTATGTTATTTTGCATGTGTTTTGCCACAAGACCATACTGGATCACTGAATCTGAAAAAATGAAATAATGAGGTTACCTTTTTCTATAGCTTCTTGGGTAAACGGGCAACCAGAAAGAAATATCTGGCAACAAAGTTGAGGGGTTTTACTCAAGTACAGAAGGCGAACTTGCTCAGCATGAAAGGAAAGACCGGAGTGATCCTAGATCAATGGGAACAGCAGCGGCATGGGGCGCGTCTGCTGCATCGCAAGACGACATTTCCATCAGACCCAACAACCAAGCAAGCACATGCTATGTTGCGAGGAATTGAAAGAAAGACTCACCCCAGAGCGAGGCCTTTGGTGCGTGCAGCCATGGCAAGCCGGCAAATCGATCGCCTATTGCGAGGAAGATGACGAGCAAGTTCCCCGGTGATTGCGTGGATCATCCAGATGGGCTGGCTCTTATGCAGTGACAAAGAGTGGAAGACAAGAGATATTGCTGTTAGGTGGTATGTCCATTTAGCTTTTCTGTATGTGTCCCAGTGTGGATGTGAAAAGAACAGATTCCAGTGTCCACTTAGTCTGAAACGATAAGAACATCTTGACTTGCTGACTTGTATTGGGCAAAATGCAAGAAAGGATTTACGGATGGCTGGGCTGATCACCACTAACAGTAACGCTGTCAACTTATCTGGTTCAGCTTCACCAAGATCAATTGCTCACCATTCATTGTCTAGAAAAATGATCGATTCTCACCATTGGGTTGTTTTCTGGCCTTCTGTCCATCACCGTATTCTCCTCTGAACTGACTGGTTTGAACGTTATTTTCACGGTTGTTCTATCTTTTCGGAATGAAATAATATTACCTTTTTTCAACTTGTGCACTCATGCACAATTGCACACAACATATTGCTGCACTTGTAGTCCTCTCCTCTGCCAGCGGAATTGCAGTCCAGCCGCAGCTTTCTAGCCAAGAGATGTTCAGAACTGCAATTATATGCTTCAACAGATTGAACATGAATATTTGCCTACATCTACATGAATTTGGTCTTGAGTTTACCCTTTCTTGAGTTAAATATGCAAGAACATCAAAGAGCAACCAACAATGTCGAAACTAATAACCGAATGAGAAGATTCAGATATTCATTATTGTCCATTGATTTAAGATCACCACCTTCCTCCTTGGGTGCTACTATTTCCAGGTTTTGTTGGATCAACAGTGCCTTTGTTATATAACATCATGCATATATATTGTGCGATTCTGACCGGCTGATTAGTGATTAGTAGCATTTGTTTGTAGCGATGTTATTCTTTCATTTGTTGGCTCAACCAGATCCATGGGTACTTTTATGTTGAAAACATCTACATAGACGATGCTTATGAGCAATCCAGAAAACAAAAGGTCTATTTTGCATTCGGGGAAGTCATAGTCAAGTAGCGTAGCACTGTGCCCGTAAAAAATCAGTCCATGCACAATTCACAGGTTTCGAAATCTTAGATAGCTATGAACACACATTAAGCATGTCAAAAATCAAATCCATGGGCACCTAGGTTAAAAACTTTTTAAGAAAATATTTTTTATAAAAAAAATACTTTCTCATGCGTGCAGATGCAGTAATACTAATAGAATCCGTAAGTAAAAGTCCGAACTTTCAGATGCAGACAAGCAGTGAGTAGCAGTGACTGAAACTTGCATGTATTATTCATGTTGTGTGTTCAGGCAGAGTTGGGGATGCTCGATCGTGCGCGCCCGCACATGGCGGTCCGGCCGGCCTCGCAGCGAACATGGCGGTGTGGTGGGCAGGGGTTCGCCGTCTCAGACGAGGAAAGCGACGGCGGCGGGCGGCCGGCGACGGCGAGGGCTTGGCGAGCGGCCGCCCTGGGGAGATCGTGGGCTGCTACGGCCGGATGCAACGTGCGGCCCATATTGTATGGCCCATCAAGGGGATTCTCTGTGGAATAAGTTCACTTTGGTTCCCTCTATTTGTCGCCTAGTCTGATTTTCATCCCTTAATTGCAAAAGTGGGTACGACAGGTCCCCCAACTTACGAAACCGTTTAAATAAGGTCCCTCGGTAGTATTTGACCTCGGTTTTGGCTGAGGTGGCGCCTACGTGGCTAATTTGACTCGGTCTTCATCTGACGTGGCATTGACGTTGCGCTTACGTGGCAATTCGATCCAAAAATTAATAAAACCTATGGGACCCACATGTCAGTTTCACACACACAATAATAAAAAAAAATGGTGGGGCCCACGTGGACCCCACCTATCATCCTCACTACCCCTTCTCTCTATCCCCTTTCTCTCTATCCTCTCTCTCCTTCTTCTCTCTATCCCTCCCTCCCTCTCTCCCTTGAGAATGGCGAGCGGCAGCGAGCGGCGCAGAGGGGCGGCGATGGAGCTGAGAGGCGGCATGCAGCACATGCAGCATGGCGGCGGCGTCTGGGACAATGCGCGGTTGGTCGGCGGAGGCGGCGTGTCACGCCCCGAACTAGTACCGACTGGAACTAGCCCGTGACGCTCCAAATTAACCTGTTGATCGATACCAGTCCCAGGAAACAGTGCTGGTATCACAAGGAGACAGAATATCACAGCAACAGCGGTCTCTTTATTATAGAGTAGAGATACGGTCATGTTGGACTACGGACAGACCCCGAGCTCACAACTGCATTACAAAAGGGAAACGGAAGCAGGACTTGGACCAAACAACACAGGCGCGACTTGGGAACTAGGCCGAAACCCTAAAACTCATTGTAGCCGGCTTGCTCCTGAAAGAACTTCTCATCAGCAGGATCCGCTTCATCTTCTTCAGCAACTGGGGGGGGAATTATTTATATAGAGCAAGGGTGAGTACGGGAGTACTCAGCAAGCCAAGGGAAAATAGGTGTTTAATGCAGGCTTCAAGGAGAGGCTGTTGTTTTTGCAATTGATTTTATTTGAACTCTTTTCTAAGAACGACTAAGTGAGTGCTTCTCAAACTACACGGATAAGACAGTGCGTCTCGTCCGGTCGGAGTATGTGCGATGTATCAGTCTTTAGAATTGAAACAAGGTTGGCACCCGGCCGACAGCTTTTCAACGGCCACTCGGGCCAACAACTTTTCAAACGGCCACCCGGGCCAACAACTTTTCCAAACGGCCACCCGGGCCTAGCTGATCCCTTCAGCTACAGATTTTTCAAACATCGAACCCCTTTTTCACAACAGCAATTTCACAAGCAGTAGTCAAACAAAACTACGCTAGGAATCACCTCACATCCGCCCATGACCGTGGGCACGGCTGTTCGAATAGTTTGATAACCTCTGCAGAGGGGGTACACTTTACCCACACGACATTACTAACCCGGATCACCCAGCCCGTGGGGATCAGCCACGTCGGGAGACCTCCAAGCTTTCATGACAAGGCATTTCCAAAGCCGACACAGGTTTACCATATGCCGACGAGAGGGGTCCCAGACCAACAACAGGTTAGGTCCCAGACCATACTGTGCCAGGAAGCCCAGGGGTCCTCCCCGACACCACCCCGGCGAATCCACATGTCTCTCGGCATCAAGGCTCCCCTGATAAGCTAGTTACTCAGCCAGGGGTGTCCCATTCCACCTATGTGGTCGTACTTGTCTTATGTTCGGATGAAATTCCAAGGAAACGATCCTTAAGTGCAAGAGCGGGAAAACCGTACACCCGGTACGTTCCCCGGTTCGCGGTTTTGGAAATTCATTTAGTTCGCAAGCACCGACCCAGGTGTCGGGTTTTCCAAGTCTTTTGTAAAACTCCAGTTTTACCCAAATTGTTACTCAGATTTTAAGTTTGAAGGCGACCGTCGATACTCGCACAGAGTGCACGAATATCGAGGCGCAACTGGATGGTTACAAGGGGACATGGTATAGCAATTAACAATGGAAGGATCAAATGCAACAAGTTAGGTAGGTCCGCCGATCTGCCTTGCAGACGGGACAACAGATTAAGTGCGATCCTATCAATGCATAATATTTTGCAAGCAATATAATTGAATTTCAAATATAGGCTCAAGATGTTCAAAGGTGGCTTGCCTTGCTCGAGATCTGGAGCTTGATCCTCGAAATCCTCGCGCTGCGGGTCTTCGGGCTCCGAAACTACACGCGAAACGGGACAACTCAGCAAACGGCGAAAATAAAGCCCTATTAATGACCTCTAAGCGTGCCATTAGATAGATCTCGAGATTTGAGGAATTTTGGAAGTTGAACGGAGTCAAACGGATTTACGGTTGGGAAGATATTGAATTTCTAAGATTATTGGATTTTTGGTCTAAAGGAAAAGGATTTAATTAAATCCTTTTTGAAAAAGAAAAGAAAAGAAAAGAAAAGAGGGATGGAAAATAGACTTCCCTCGGGCGGCTAGGGCGTGGCCCGAGAGAAAGGGCGGCTCGGCCGGGCTTAACGGGCCGGCCGGCCCAAGAAGGCGGCCCAGAGCGGCCCAAGACGCGCGCGCGCGGGAGGGAGGAGAGAGAGAGCCGGTGGACCGGGCTCACCACGCCCGGTCCCGGGTGGGACCCGCTTGTCAGCGGCTCGGCTCACCGTGCGGAGGGAGCACGCGGCGCGGCGCTAGGGTGGGGGAGGGACGCGGTGCACGCGCGCGGTTCACGGTGGATGCGGATGCGGCGGGCCCACGCGCAGCCTCACGGCTCGCGGTGGAACGCGCGCACGAGGAGGGGCTGACCGGGGTCGGCTCGACCCGGTCTTGGCTGAGCTGGCGCCTACGTGGCTGCCACGCGAGCCGGCGGGAGGTAGACGACGACGCCGGCCGGAACGGACGGCGGACGACAGCGGCGAGCGGCGGAGCGAACCACGGCGATACAGGCGAAAGCGAGCACACCGGATGGTTGAACAGGACAAGGGGAGACGAGCCAACGGCTCGGATTCGCCGGAGGATGCCCGACGGCGGCGAATTGCGGCGGCGGCATCCGGCGGCGGAAAAAGGGGGAAACGGCGACGAGGTCACGAGGGGCCGATTCCCGGCGGCGAGAGCATCTACGCGGCCACGGGAATCCGATGCTAGCGTCGAATTGGGCGGAGCTACGCCGAGCGAGGCCGGCGACGAGCGGCGCTTCCGAGCTCGGGCGGCGACGGCGGCGAGCACCCGGCGAGAGGCGGCAACGGCCGGGGCGGCGCCGGCTAGCTACGGGGAGGCTACTCGTGCTACTACCGAAAACTAAGAGGGAGAGGTGGAGCGAGGAGGAAGAACGGAGGGAGCACTACCGCGATGAGGAGGGGCGCTGTGACGAGAGGCCGACGGCGCGGGAGTAATCTCTCCGGCCTCGGGCCGGGGAAGAGGAAGAAGAGGGCGCGCCCGGAGTCCCCTTCCGCGTCCTTGCTCGTGCCGGCTCCTCCGACACGCGCAACGACGAACGGCGATGGCGAACAGAGCACGGGGGCGGCGGCAATGGCGCGGAGGCGATGGAAGGAGAAGAGAGGGAGGGCGCCCGGGGCTTTAAGGGCGGCAATGTCGGTTTGGAAACCGACTTTGGGCGGTCAAGGCGCGAGCTGGCGCTCGGCGCTCGCGTCCAAATCGGCGACAGGGCGGAGGGAGGAGGATGACGCCAGCGGTGACGGAAAAAGGGGAAAAGAGGGAGAGAAAAAGGGGCTTGCCTCCTTGCCGCTTTTGGAAAAGGAGGAGGGGAGCGGGGGCGTCGCGGCAGAGGGAGGAGGGGCTCTGCCTCCGTCCCTTGGTGGCTTGCGCGCGGAGGCGGGGCCGAGGCGATGACGACGGCGATGACGGCGGGACGGTTTGGAGCGGCGCGACGACACGGGCGACAGGCGCGGGCTGGCGCGGCAGAGGGTGACGGCGGCGGCGACCGGGCGGTCGGCCACCACGACACGCGCGCGCGGGAAGCAACGGGCGGCGCGGCGGTTTGAGAGGCGCGGCTCGGGCACGCGCGCTGGCTAGCGGGGCCGGGCGGCTGCGCGGTAGGGCAGTGGGGGCCAGGCGGCACAGACGGCGCAGGCGCGGCAAGGGCGGCGACCGCGCGGGCGCGCGCACGCGAACACGGCGCGCGGGAAGTGGCAGCGAGGGAGCGGAGAGGGAGGACTCGGCTCGGCGCGGGCGGCTCACGCGCACGCGCGCGGGCAGAGCGGAGGGGGGAGGGAGCGCTCGGTGCGGCTCTCGCGCACGCGCGCGCGGCGCGCGGGCGGAGCGGTGGGGGGAGGGGGGGGAAGATAGAGAGAGAGAGCGGACGCCGGGAGGGAGGGGGAGATGGGCCGAGAGGGATTCGGCCCATCGACCCTGGGGGAGGCAAAATAGACTTTTGCGGAGGGATTTGATTTGGAAGGATTTGGATTCGGAATTGGACTCGACGATAGATCGGGGATTTGAGATCTTGAGATGGCACGGACACTAGACAACAAGCAAAGAAACATATTTCGCAATTAGGGTTTTTAAGAGATAATTTTCCCGCTAGGCGCCACGACGGAACGGGCGCTACACGGCGGCGGCCCCTTCATCGTCGCCAACAAGGGGCTCGAGGTCGACGCCCCACACGCTCGTGCAGAGGTTGTGCACGCAGCGTTCGTGCGGTCCCACGAACACACCGGGCGCCGCGTGCAGGTACTTGCCCTTGAGCCACTTCAGCTTGTAGTACACCTTGGCTTGGTCAATGTGCAGGGAGAGGGAGCCCCTGATGGAGTCGAAGAGCGCGCCCATGTCGGGAGGCGTGGGACATGGACGAGCGCGCGCGGAAGGTGGCGGCGCCGGCGAGGAGCACGACCTCGTCGGCATTGCCCCAGAGCTTCTAAATGGCACCCCCGTGCTGCCCCACGGCAGCGGGCGCGGTCACCTCGGTGGGGTCCGTGAACCGCGCTGCCTGCTCCAATGTAACATCCTCAAATTTTAATCTAAAATTTGACTGCATCATGCTGGCTTTTGACTTGAATTAATCTTAATTTAGCAAAATCAAAATCCTTTTTAAAATTTCCTTTTTAATCTTCATTTTTGGTTCAAGTATTACCCCTTTAAAATTCCTTTAAACCTACCCTATACCATCGTACCCAAAAATATTCTAATTACTCCCCTACCCTAAACTCTAGTGAGTTTAGCAAATTTCTTTCAAAATTTAAAATCTAGAAACCTTCTTTAAATTACCCTTATATTTGTTAGACTTAGTTATATTACAAAACCCTAGCAAAAACCCTTCAAAAACCCCTAGAGAAATTCTTTTCTCCTTAGGCAAATTTGTCAAATTTCTGAATTTCACTGTTCATTGCACATGAGCTGCTCGATGAAATGCCTAGCCCGGCCCTAGCAGCCCAGCATCCACCCAAATATTTGCAAAGTCTAGAATTGATCCTTGGGGGACCACACCCATCCAAAACTGTGGCCTCTCTTTGCCTTTCCACCCCCTGCCATGCTGCCTTGGTGCCCTGCGCGTCGTGCCGCCGCAGCCGCCGCGCGTAGGCTCCACGACCGCCCGCGCGTGCCCGGCCACCTTGGCGCGCCATCCATCTGTCCAGTGCGCCTCAACCAACCGTCGTCGCACAAATCTTGTCAAGACAAATCCGGGACGGCCACCGCCACAGCTCGCCGCCGTCTGCCGCCATGCGCGCCCACCCGATGTCGACGTCGAAGCTGACTTCGCCTCTACCGGGGATGAAACCCTCCAAATTCGCCGCCGCTCATTTAAACACAAAAGGTGTAACTAACTTTCCCTCTCTCAACTCGAACCGAACGCCGCCGAGCCGGATATTTTACCCCTTGCCGCCGCCGCGCGTCGAGCCCGGGAGGACGCCAGCTCACCGCCGCTCGTCTTCACCCCCAGTTAAACCCAACCGTCGTCGGTAAATATCTGAACATGATCTCCCGCCACTCAATTTGCTCTTCCCTTCCCTCTCACAGCCTTTGCCATCCCTGCCACCCCTTAACTCCAAGCTCATCCATGGCGGCATTGGTTTAGGGAAAATGAAGAGTTTGCTTTAGGGATTACTTTCAATTTGTCAACATTGATGTGCTTAAGGGCTTTAATAGAAAAATCAACCTCAGAAGAATTATTTCCCAAAGAGACCTCAATACGGTTTAAAGACGAACAAAAACTAAGTTGAGAAGCGGAACAAGAACTTGTAAAAGGCTCATTAGGTGTACCTTGAGGGGAAGCCAACAAGGCCGGCCTTGCCCCATAAGGGGCAAATTGATCATCCAGATTGATGGCTGCTTTCCTCTTCATCGCTTTCAACAGAGAGTCATCATCGGCCGAAGCGATGCCGAGGGCTGTCTCGGAGTTGGAACGATCACTGCGGCGTATTGGTGTCATGTTCGGCGCAAGCCCGACAGCCACTGCTTCATTGCTGCCGGTCACTGGATAGTGCGAACCAGCGTGTCCCGAAGACTTAAGAAGCATTGCCGCGGTCATCTCCTTTTCAGGCTGCGCCGACAAAACCATATCACCATCCGCTACCGTCACCACTTGCTCGCCAGCCACCTGCTCGCTACCCGATATCTTCTTGTCGACCAAAGTCGGCTTTGTCAGCCCGACAGTCGCCCATCCTGTGGCTTGTGCGTGCTCCCAAACAGGGGACTGGGAGGAGAATGAATTGGTGCATGTGTTCAATTGCTTTTACTTGAAAACTGGATTGTAATGAGGTTGAGCTAAAATAGTTTAGAATCAAATTTGTCCAATAGAGCAGGCGAGCAGCAGAGTGGATGTGCCTCTAATAATTGAATAGACAAGAATGCAGCAAATTTCAAGAAAATTTTCAATGATCCACCTAGCAGCACAGCATCGTTTCACTAGACAAGTATATATACAAGATTATCCCCTCCTCCTTTTCCGGGCTTGGGACCGGCTATGTCATTAAACACCTCAAGTGACATAGGCGGAGTTACCTACACACCTACAAGAAGAAGAAGAAGAAGAAGAAACACACAAATCATTGACCTCTCAGAGCCACTCGTTGACCTCCAGCTCATGCTCATCTCCATGGAGCTGGCGGTGTTGCTCCGGAAGCCCAGGGATCCACAGCTGAGAGATCTCCTGCATACCTTTTTCCAGCAATAGCCACTCCAAACCACCCAACTCCTCGACATGCCTCAAATTCAGGCATTCATTTACAAACAGCTCTCTCACTTGGGGAAGGTTGGAGATCCTCTCCAGGCCTTCACATCCTTCAACTTGAAGGAAACCAGAGAGGAATGGGAGGTCCTCCACCGTCTTCAAGCAACTTGTGCATCTTATAAAGAACTCCTTCAAGTTGGTGGCCTGCTGTCCAAGCTGTGGTGGGAGAGCCCTCAGCTTGGGGCAGCCCACAAGTTGCAACCTCGTCAAACAAGGCAGCAGCCATGACGACCTTGGAGTTGGAGACGGGGCTTCCTCCCCCTTTTGCTTCGAAGCAGCAGTTCCATCCTCTCCCCCTTCCTTGGCTGCTGCAGCTGCTTCCTCCTCCTGCACTTCTTCTTCTTCAACAAAGGACCACTTGTCAGACTCGTAAGAAGAATGGAGGAAATTTCAGAAAGTTCAGAGTTTCGGTTAACTGAAGATGCAAAGGAGGGAGAAAACGTTTCATCCTGGGTAATGAAGATCTAAGAGATGAGACAAAGCCACGTGTTCGAGAGAGGGATCCGACGGTGTTAACGTCATGAGAAGCCGCTGTAGCTATCAAAGCTTGTCGTTTTGCTCTTTACATTCACTGTAATAATTTTAGCTGCTGTAAACTTACTTAAGCTGGCTTTTGCTGTGGGAAGAAGATAAGAAGAATCACAATTTCTATTTGTCTTAGGAGTAGCTAACTTAGAACCCTAGGAGATAGTCTTGCGGCGGCCACCCAAATCCTACCAAAATTCACAAATCGCTACTCTGTTTCTCCATTTCTGGTTCAGGGTTCTGACAGAGGTATCAGAGCACGAGCGAATCCTTGGCTCTTGGATCTCTCTGGTGAAGGTTGGTGGAAGGCGGCGGCGAGATCCACCGTAAAATTCCTGAGCTAGGAGGGATTCAATCCGGAGGCGAGTGGTGCTTCAGATCGGACAGCAAGGGTTGGGTTGCCACTTTCGTGGTGTGCACCTGTAAAATCTCCGGCGCTTCTGATTTGAGGTTGGCGGCTGTAGATCCGACTGCAGGGGTAATAGGGGAGGAATCTTGAATTCTGAACCTAACCTGCAGGGGCGAAATGGTGACCAAGATGCGCTCAAACGATGAGATTGTGGGACTGGAGGAGATGAACGAGTTTCGCTCAGATGTGGCATCTCTGAAGAAGGAAGTAGTAGAGCTTAAGGGCTTGAGGTCAGAGGTGAAGGAGATCAAGGGCCTTCTGCTGGAGTTGTGCAAACAGAAGGGGAACGAGGGACAGGAGAATCCTGTGGGAGATGCTGCAGCAAAAGAGAAGAGCACGGGAGAAGCAGGACCCAGTCGATCTGTGCAGGTAACCACGCCTAGTTTGGGAGTTCAGTTCTCTATTGAGCCAAATACTATGAGCCTATCTGCACCTATGGGTCAAGAAGCTAGACCACAGGGGGGAGTCAGTAGTGTTCAGACAGATTTGGGGCAGGTGACTACTGTATTATCAAAACCTCCACCATTCATACCATTTGCCCCATTTCCAAACCAGAGGGTACCTTTCTTAAACTCAGCTCCTTTTCAAACTCAAACAACAGTTGGGGGAAGAGTGCCCAATTCAAATTTTCAAACACAAGGGACAGCCACTAGCTCAGGCACTGGGCAACAAGGGGTTCACATATTAGATCATAGCAGACCTGGTGGTATGGTTTATCAAGGAGAAAATCAACATTATGCTGAAGCTGTAATCAAGGGACCTCGGTTGGAAATACCACTGTTCACAGGAGAAGATCCCATTGACTGGTTGAAGCAATGTGAGAAATTCTACGAGATTACTGGGACACCATATGATCAATGGGTCAATCTGGCAATTGCACATCTGCAGGGAAGAGCAATGAAGTGGTTTAGAGGAGTAGGTATTCCTTGGCAGTTGATTCCTTGGCCACAATGGTGTCACATGGTGAGCACTCGTTTTTCGGCTGCAAATGAGCATGAGGCAGTGGAACTATTCCAGAATGTTAAGCAGTATGGTTCAACTGTGGAACAATATATAGATAAATTTGAGGAGTATGTGGATCTAGTCAGGAGGGACCATCCTTACTTACAGGAACAGTATCTGAATAGCTGCTTCATCGGTGGGCTTAGAGAGGATATCAAGCATGATGTGTGTGGGCAAAAACCACAAGGTCTGTTGGAGTCCTATTGGTATGCAAAGAACTATGAGAAGGCAGCTAATGCAAGGAAGGTGGCACTGAATTTCAGCAGAAACAGAAATCAGAACACCAATTTCAACAATCTTGGCAGGAACGCAAATAATAGACCACAAAGGGGTGATGGTGAGAAGAAAGAAGACAGAAAATGCTGGTTTTGTAAGGAACCATGGTTTCCTAGACACCAATGCAAGGTGAAGCAAGCTATCAATGCTTTACTGGTAGAGAATGAACCTTGTACTGAAGAGGAGGAGGATGAATCAAAAGAGAAGGAACAAGAGGAGCTGGCCACTGACCAAATAGAGGCACCTAAGCAGGAGGGAGCACATGAGGAGTTAATGAGTGTGTCATTTAGTGCAGCTTCTGGCACAACTCGGCCTGATACTTTTTCAGTCCTAATCATGATCAATGGGAAACAAGCAGTTGGTCTAATTGATAGTGGGAGTACTGGGACTTTCATGACCCATGAGTTTGCAGTTAAGTGCAAGTGTCCTATAGCAACCTCGACTATTAAGAAGGTGATAGTAGCAGGAGGAGGAGAATTGAAATCTAATCTTGTAGTCCCAGAAGTGGCATATAAAATTCAAGGGGTGAAATTTGTTAATGCTTTCAGCCTGATCACCTTGAAGGGATATGATGTAATCTTGGGGGCAGACTAGATTTTTCGGCATAGTCCAATTACTTTGGATCTCAAACAGAGGGAACTGTCTATCACCAAGGAAGGTAAGCTAGTTGAATTTCAGGATTTCACTAAACCTGGGAAACATTTCTTAATTGATGGTCATAAAATGGAGAAGCTGATAAAAAAGGGAGCTGTGGGGTGTGTGTTACAAGTGAATGCGATGACTGAAGAAGAGAGGAAGGAGGAGGCTGCAGTGCCAGCAGATGTTCAGGAAGTTTTATCACAATTCCCAGGAGTGATGAAGGAGCCAAAAGGCTTACCTCCAAGAAGAGCTTGTGACCATGTGATAAACTTGAAACCTGGGTCAGAACCTCCCAACCAGAGACCCTATAGAGTGCCACATTACCAAAAGGAGGCCATGGAGAACATAATATCAGATCTGATCCAGTCTAAGGAGATTAGGTTCAGTGACAGCCCTTATGCCTGTCCAGCTATAATGGTTAGAAAAAGGGATGGATCTTGGAGAATGTGTGTAGACTACCGACAGCTGAATGCCCAGACAGTGAAGAACAAGTTTCCTATGCCAATTATAGAGGACTTGTTGGATGAGTTACATGGGGCTAGAATATTTTCTAAGCTGGACTTAAGGTCGGGATATCATCAGATTAGAATGGCTGAGGAAGATATTCCTAAAACTGCCTTCAAAACACACATGGGTCACTATGAGTACCAAGTAATGCCTTTTGGGTTAACTAATGCACCTGCCACTTTTCAGTCACTAATGAACCAAGCTCTAGCACCCTTTTTAAGAAAGTTTGTTCTTGTGTTTTTTTATGACATCTTGATTTATAGCAAAACAAGGGAGGAACATATCAAGCATATCAAGGCAGTATTGCAAGTCCTGGAGAAGAACCAGTTGGTGGTACGGCTTAAGAAGTGTGCTTTTGGTCTGAGCAGTGTGGCTTACTTGGGACATGTGATATCTTCTGATGGAGTGGCAACAGATCCTAGCAAGATCAGTGATATCATGAATCGGAAGGAACCTAAAAATGTGACTGAAGTTAGGGAATTCTTGGGGATGACTGGGTATTATAGAAGATTTATAAAAGGGTATGGGTTAATCTGCAGACCCCTTCACGACATGTTGAAGAAAGGAGGTTTCAATTGGGGGTTAGCTCAATCTGAAGCATTTACAGAGCTAAAAGGGAAGCTGTGTACTAGTCCAGTGTTAGCCTTACCAAACTTTGAGCAGCCGTTTGTGATTGAAGCAGATGCTTGCGAAGTTGGTATTGGAGCAGTTTTGATGCAGGCAGGAAGGCCAATTGCTTATTATAGCAAGGCTCTAGGGCCAAAAGCAGCAGCTCAGTCAATTTATGAGAAAGAGGCTATGGCTATACTAGAGGCTTTAAAGAGATGGAGGCATTATGTTTTGGGTGGAGAATTAGTCATCAAAACAGATCAGCAGAGTCTTAAGTACATGATGAACCAAAGACTGGTGGAAGGGATACAACACAAGTTATTGCTTAAACTGATGGAATATAATTACACTATTGAGTACAAGGCTGGTAGGGAGAACTTAGTAGCAGATGCCCTATCTAGGAGCCCGAAAAACAAGGAAGAAGTGACTGAACTTTGTGCAGCTATTGCTGTGGTGGTGCCTGAGTGGATACTGGATATTAAAAGAAGTTATGAAGAGGATGTTCAAGCTCATAAGTTGCTGAGTTTAATTGGCACAGCAGGGGATCCAGAAGGGGAGTATAAGTTTGAGGCTGGAATTATGAAATATAAAGGAAGAATATATGTGGGGGAAACAGGAGAAATCAGAGGGCAGTTAATACAAGCTTATCATAGTTCGACTTTTGGGGGGCACTGTGGAATTAGAGCCACATACCAAAGGATTAAGAAGCTGTTTTATTGGCCAGGATTGAAGAAGGGAGTGGAAAATCACATAAGAAATTGTCCAGTATGTCAGGTTACTAAATCTGAACATGTGCATATACCAGGTCTTTTAAACCCTCTAGAGGTACCAGACATGGCTTGGACACATATATCCATGGACTTTGTAGAAGGGTTACCAAAGTCCAAGGGGAAGGATGTGATTTTGGTAGTGGTGGATAGGTTAACCAAATATGCACATTTCATAGCTTTATCCCACCCATACACAGTGGAGGAAGTGGTGCAGGTGTTTATGGATAATATTCACAAACTGCATGGGATGCCGATAGCTATTGTGACAGATAGGGACAGAGTTTTTACTAGCACATTCTTTCAAGAAGTGTTCAAATCTCAAAAGGTCCAATTGAGGTTTAGCACAGCTTACCATCCCCAGACAGATGGGCAAACTGAGAGGGTGAACCAGTGTTTAGAATCTTACTTAAGGTGCATGACATTTCAAGAACCACAAAATTGGTGCTCTTGGATAGCTTTAGCAGAATGGTGGTATAACACAACATATCACACAGCAATACAAATGACTCCATTCAAGGCCCTTTATGGATACAGTCCACCTCAAATCAGTGAATTTTCTGTCCCATGTGATGTATCTCAAGAAGCAAGGGTAACCCTGGAAGAGAAAGAGACTATAGTTCAGAAACTCAAAGCAAGCATGGAAGATGCACAAAGAAGGATGAAGTATTATGCTGATAGGAATCGAACAGAGAGAAAGCTGGAGGTGGGAGATATGGTATATCTGAAACTACAACCCTATAGACAAAATGCTTTTGGGATCAGAGGATCATTAAAGTTAAGAGGCAAATACTATGGGCCATTCAAGGTGCTAGAGAAGGTAGGTGCTGTAGCTTATAGATTGCAGTTACCTGAAGAAGCTGCTATACATCCGGTCTTCCATGTGAGCCAACTTAAAAAGCACCTGGGTACTCATGCTGTACCAATGCCAAATTTACCGGCAGTGGGACCAGATGGTCAAATCAAAACAGAGCCAGTAGCAGTGCTGCAAAGGAGAATGATTCCAAGGAACAATGTTGCTGTCACTCAATGGCTAATTCTGTGGAGCAATTTAACTCCGGCTGAAGCAACCTGGGAGGATGCTTCTTATATTCAGAAAGTGTTTCCAAATTTTCAACCTTGAGGACAAGGTTGGGCTTAAGGGGGGAGTAATGTCAGACTCGTAAGAAGAATGGAGGAAATTTTAGAAAGTTCAGAGTTTCGGTTAACTGAAGATGCAAAGGAGGGAGAAAACGTTTCATCCTGGGTAATGAAGATCTAAGAGATGAGACAAAGCCACGTGTTCGAGAGAGGGATCCGACGGTGTTAACGTCATGAGAAGCCGCTGTAGCTATCAAAGCTTGTCGTTTTGCTCTTTACATTCACTGTAATAATTTTAGCTGCTGTAAACTTACTTAAGCTGGCTTTTGCTGTGGGAAGAAGATAAGAAGAATCACAATTTCTATTTGTCTTAGGAGTAGCTAACTTAGAACCCTAGGAGATAGTCTTGCGGCGGCCACCCAAATCCTACCAAAATTCACAAATCGCTACTCTGTTTCTCCATTTCTGGTTCAGGGTTCTGACACCACTCCTCCCAGTTGGGCATATCCTCAATGACCAACGCTTCAAGCTTGGGGAAAGCAACTGCCTCTGTGGATCTGAGATTACCCTCCCAGCAGCCAACAAATTCGGGTCCAATCTTGGTGATTGCACTTGCTCCATTAATTTTTAGGTATTTCAAGTTTGGTAGCTGTCCGATTGGGGGAAGATGCACACAAGATTTGCAATCTATGAGGACAACGTATTTCACAGAAGGCAAGTGGTTAGTACCAAGCCAGGTGGGGAATCTACAACCAAAGAAATTCCCAATAACAAGATCTTCTAAGTTGTGTGGAGGTGCTAGCTTCTCAAAGATCTTCTCAACATTGCTAATGCCTTCCTCTGAATATGCTTCATCTGTCTGTTCAGTGCAGTGTAGATTCAGAACTTTGAGATGCTTTTTCTCTGTTAGTAGAAATGGGTCTCTACTGCTGCAAGGAGTAGCTCTCTCCAATTTTATCATATCAAGACACCTCAACTGTGAAAGATGAGCCAACTCTTCCAAATTCCAGCCATCTTGCATTTTTGTATTGTCACTTCCACCACCGATAGGAAATCCTTCTAAATCATTGAGAAATTTCAATCTTCCTATCCCTTTTGGGACTTGGTTTATTGGTGTATCAGCAAGACCAAGCCGCCTCAAATTGTACAGTTGAGTTGTTGCCAAAGGAAGGAAGTGCAGATATTTACACCTCTTCAAGTTCAATATGAGAAGGTTTTGAAGGGAACCAATGGACTCTGGGAGACAAGATATGTTGGTTCCATCAAGATCAAACATACGTAAATGGATTAAATTTCCAATATAATCTGGTATTGTTTGCACAAGTGAGTCACTTAGATCCAAAACACGAAGATGAGTTAATCTCATGAAAAATGTGTTATCAACTCCCTGTAGCTGATGATCAGTTGTAAAAGTTCTCAACTTAATTTCCTCCTTACCAGTGAAAGGTATGACCACCGTGTCTTTCTCTCCGACAACTAACATGCGTCGTAGTTTACATATAGTATTGTCTACTAATGGTTTTAGATCTCCAATATGACATTCTTCCCTTGATAGATAACAAGCAAGTTGCCTTAAGAGATCATGCATTTTGCATCTGCTCTGATCAAAATATGTGTAAACTGGTTGCAGGAGATTCCTAATTATTAGTTCATAGTAGTATTCTTCTGCTGTATCTTCTAGTAATTGATCTTTGTGCACTTCTACAAAGCCTTCAGCAACCCACATCATGATAAGCTCATCACGTTTCAAGGTCCAGTCTTCAGGAAATACAATACAATAAAGAAAACATTGCTTCAAATGCAGTGGTAAATCATCATAACTTAGATATAGTGCACCACTTATTTCCTTAGGGAGTTTAGCCATGGACCAAACGTTTTTAGCTAAAATCCTTTTCCATTTGTTCTCTGTTTTATCTTTGCTTGCCAATACTCGAGCAGTAACCTTGATTGCAAGAGGTAGCCCACCACATTTCTGAACAATCTCAATCCCTATGTCTCGCAGATTTTGCACTTCTTTCTCGTCCTGAATGTTCATGCTCTTCCAAAGTAGCTCCCAACCAACAGCTGGTGACATTAGGTCAACACGATGTGCTTCCTCAACCCCTATTTCCCTAGCGACAATATCTTGCCGAGTAGTTATCAAAATTATTCATGAGCTCACACCTGACATTATCAAAGAAAAAAAATGCACTCAGATCTGTATAACATCAATAGGTTCTATAGCTTAAACAGCAGTACATACAACATCTCTCATCAATAGGTATTGACATGCTCGTCAAGTGTTGGTTTCCCGGGATATAAAGCACCATTTAATTCATCAGGAAGTTTGCTCATGGACCAGGCATTTTTCCCCAATATCTGTCTCCACTCATTCTCTGTTTGATCTTGCAGGCTTGCTAAGACTTTGGCAATAGCCCTGATTGCAAGAGGTAGGCCACCACATTTGCGGACAATCTCGATACCTGTGTCCCGTAGATTTTTCACTTGTTTCTCTTCTTTGATGTTCATGCTCCTCCAAAGTAACTCCCATCCTACATCGGCTGACATCAAATCAACCCTATGAGTGTGGTCCACCCCAATTACTCTAGCAATAGTGTCATCTCGAGTAGTTATTAGAATTACTCCTGTGGCGGCTGCATGAAGTGGAGTGCTTAGTAAATCTGTCCATGCTTCAGAGTTCCACACATCATCCGACACCAGAAAAAAACTTTTATTTGCAATGTGTGATTTAATCTTTCTTTGGAGCTCTGGAACTGATTCATCTTGCTCATATCGAATTCCCATATTACGAAGAACTTGTCTCAAAAGAGAATCCCTAGAATACTCCTTGGAAACACAAGCCCATGCATGATGGTCAAATCTCCCTTCTAATTTTTTATCATTGAATATTTTCTGAGCTAGTGTTGTCTTACCAACTCCTCCTGTTCCAACAATAGCAAGCTTGTAAACATTCTTTTTCTTGTGTGCAAGCACCAAATCCACCACTTCTCTGCAAGCACGTATGACCTCCTTGCCCACAAGGTTGGGTTCAACTAGGCTGGAGCTTTCTATTGGTGTCCATGCTGAACCACTTCCATTATGATGTCTGCGGTTGAGTTTTAAAAATACCTCATCCTTTGAAATGTTATCGATCTTTTTGTTCAGGCTTCTAATTTTTACAGCAACTTCATGACGTATACGAATATTAGAAAAGCAGGACGAAAGTGAAAGGCCACTGCAAGCAGTTGCTTTCCTTGACGATGACATAGGATAGTCAGGCAGTAGGACACTTCCTTTAAATCTAGCCAAATCAATAATATCATCAACATCATACATAACATCTCTTAGCTGGTCAAGCCATTTTTCAACTACTGAATCTTCCATCCTCCTTGCCTCAGCATCCTGAAGAGAAGATCTTATGACGTTTGTTCTTCGTTGCAGTTCTTCAAGCTCATCTTTTACCCCTAAAATGAGTATTGTCTTGTCTGTAATGATCGCTTGCAACTTATTGATGCATGATCCAACCAATGTGTCTACTATTGTTGCCATCCGACAAACTCAAAAGGGGTAATCCACCATATATAATTGATCAATGTAAAAAATGCAGCCTGACATGTAACCAAACTTGTGTTAACATAGTTTAAAAGTTAGATAAGGCTGACAAAATATGAATGCAAGATGAAGTTCAGTAAATATATTATCCATCTATTCTTTGTATAAGAGTTTCCACTTAATTCGGTGTACCGTGCATGTTGAGTCTAATGGCTAGCAAAATTGACATTTATGGTTATGTAACCACAGCCCAAGCATCCAAACAGGGTCTATATTATTTAGGTAGCTTCACACATGAAAACCTAAAAGTTGCATGGCGGATACACCTCCCTACCTACTACTCTACTAGCTGCATCCCAAAAAAAGATCACAGAATGATGCATTCGAAACTTGAAGTACACATGCAAATCTTTTTTCGTTTTCGCCGGGATGCAAATCTTACCTTACAGAGCGATCATTCAGCACAAAAATAACATATGGTACATAACAAGGATCAGTAGTATAGTAGCAACCATCTTGCACAGGTTAACAGGTTGCTCGGTCCCATCTTGTGCTTAAGATCTCAATAAACTGAGATTAATCAAGACCAAAGGAATCTGATTGAATAAGCCAGAGTATAGAATAGATTTCAGAACATTATGAGCCAGTCATCAAGAGAGAACCGCAGACTGCACTGCTACAACTGCAAAAAGGGGACAGAAGAAAAGTGAAGTGTGTATTATATATGTACAACTGAAATGATTCAGAAGGTTAACTAGAAGAATCAACGGGAGAGTACCAGAAATACTGGTTGATGTGTTGACATTCACCGATCAAGGAGTGCTTCAAGAAGAGCAGTATATATGGGATTACTCAGATGAAGCAGATTTTTCCTTCCTAGTAGATCTCATCTCAATCAATCAGAAAGCAGACAGAAATGGACGCAACTGATCCTGTTGAAAATCCGTGCCCTGCAGTCAAGATGAGCATTTACGGATTAACTTAAGGAAATAAAGGAAGTAAATTCAGCTATATGTATTGAGCTTACCCACAGCCGGTAGAAATGCAGTGTAAGAATGCGACACAGTGGAACAAAGCAACAGTACTGCAGGAGGCTAGGGAGTGATTTAGGCAAGGTGGTAAGGCCTTACATATATTGTATAGCTGAACATTCAGACTAGCTAGACAACTGCTGAACCACTCTTCTTTTCTTTTATCTTTCCCATGTTACTATCACTGACCAAATTTTAAGTAATTGTCCACTTGTCTATGCTGCACAACCCAACATTTTGTGTATATTCATGAACCGTATAGTTAGCTATGGCTACTCCTTTTCTTATTCATATCCCCAATCATCACTAAATGGTAATTGATTTCCTGCACACTAGCGCTGAAGCAATTGTTCTAGTAACACCATGGAAACGCAATGGTCTTTGTCAAAACGTTAGGTTTGTTAGAATGCAAATGGTGAGGCTCCTGAGAGAGTACTTAATTCCTACTAATAGACCTTACAGATTAGTAGGGAACTTTGCGTTTTCCTTTTCGTACTTCTATTAGCTACACTCACATATTCTAGGGCACTGATCAACAGCTGCAATAGTATATTGCAACGATTAGCTGGCGCCTGGGCTCTGGCGATGTGATTAGTTTACAGTTTATTTCGATGTGATTAATTTAGAGTTTGCTTCCAAGATTCCATGATGTGAAACCAGCTGCGTGCTTTATTGCCTTTACAAAGGGGTGAGCATACACATGCTTGAGTTTTGTTTCCTCCGTCACGGGCTCAATGGCATCTCATACTCATTGTTTGTCGTCTTATCCCTCGATTTGACTAGTAAACATATACCAATTCATGGCATAATGCAAAGCTCTATTGCCTTTACATGCAGCATAATAGTAGCATTAATTACAATTAATTTACATGTCACTCCCTCCATCTGTGATTGCAGCTGGGGTTGCAGCACACGAAGATAAGTGTCATGCCTTCCTTTCCCCTCGCTGTGCCTGCATGCAACAACAAAATCATTTTCAGCATTCAGATTTCAGTAGTTTCTATGTAATTCTGAACTCTGAACAAACTGCTTGGTTTGGCTCTGATCGACAATCCTGACCTGGAAGAAGGCAGCTTCCCCGTGGCTGCATGAAGCGCACTGGACGTACGTGGTGATGTGATTATAATTAGTTTACGTGAATATTATAGTCCATGGTGTTAAAGCAGGCGCGCACTTTGATTAGAAAAGAAAAAGAAAGACGTGCACATGATTAAGTTTTGTTTCCTCCATCATGGAATCATACTACTGCACATGCTAGTGGAGGACATGCTTTCAGATTGATGACCATGTCAAAGAAGGAACATACCTGCTCTGAAACCATAGAGTTCACTCTGTATGTGTTCAGATACAGTGACTGATACTCATCCAGCTACAGAAGCAGAACATAGAGAACAAAGCATCCAATTGGTGACTTCAACAGGACCATTGATTCACAACAAAGAATGAAAGAAGAGGATGCTACGAACAGAACACAATCCCAGTTTCATGAGCTCACACCTGACATTATCAAAGAAAAAAAATGCACTCAGATCTGTATAACATCAATAGGTTCTATAGCTTAAACAGCAGTACATACAACATCTCTCATCAATAGGTATTGACATGCTCGTCAAGTGTTGGTTTCCCGAGATAATTTTTGGTAACACAACAGTATCTGAAGCTTACTCAGCAGTACAGCATCTCTCATTTGCACTTGTCTGATCTGTGAGACAGAGAGAGGAAGATGAAAGAGCCAAAGCACATTATGGAAAGGGAAGACTCGAAGAACCTACGTGATGCAAATCTTCGCCGGAGAGGAGCTCCGTGGCCAGTCGGCGGAGCTCCGGCGAGCGGCTGCCATGGCGGCGGATTCTATCATCCAGGAGACTATCGCTCTTGCGGTCGGGCCGACTAATGGGCGTAGGCCAGCAAGCGATTCCATTTAATTTGTGGGCCGGGACGATACTACGCGGACATGCGGCCCGTCAGCGCAGGGCAGGAGCAATGTGAGGCCCAAAGTGTACGGGCCGTCTCTGGGGCGATACTTGGACTTTGGACCCTTTCACAGCCCAACGTGCTGCAAGTGAACATGGGCGGGATGCAACGTGGAGCCCATATTTTATGGGCCATCAAGGGGTTTGCGGATGACGTGTGGGCCCTAATTAATGGGCCGGGATATCTAAGGGCGCCTGAGCATTGGAGGATCATTTTCGAATAAGCCCTCGGATTATCTCGTATTGTCGTTGGAAAAGGGCGCGTTGGTCGCCGACGGCGACGGCGGCGCTCCGACGAGTGGCGAAGTTGATGGTGGAGAAGGGAGCTACCATTGCTGCGGGCGAGTTCTCCGATGAGTCAGTGAGTGAGGTACATCGTGGAGCGCCTGGTACGGCCATCCAACCCCCCACCTCGGCGATGGCGTCGGGGAGCGGAGGCGGAGGCGGAGCTGGAGGGTGGGCCGCAGGGAGCGACAGAGATCCGACGGAGGAGAAGTTGGAGCGCTCCATGGGCCCCCTTCGCCGCCACGGCGCCCGGGGTCGACGCCGCGGCCTCTTCCTCCTCCTCGAGTTCAACCCAGGTACGTGACGCCTCCCTCCCTTCCTCTCTTCTCGTCGCTAGATAGATGAATTTCGCCACAGCTTTGATTGCTTTGCGATGCATTTGTGATTCAGTTCAGGGGAAGGATAATTTCTACTCCAGTTGTTAATTACTCGGAACAGTTGAGATGAAACTAGATCACTGAACTGAAATAACTGAACACAAAACTCAGATTCTGATTTCGGAGTCCATATAAGAGGGTTGATGATTTGGGAGCGAACTCTAAAGCATAGTGAGTTTTCACCTCCATCAGCAACTCAATCTGCTGTTAATCGCAGTTGGCATTTGAAATTTTAGCCATTTTTGTGTGTACAGAAACCATTTTGCGGCAAGAACTTGAGTTCTGAATCCTGTACAGGAGATGCAGCAGATAAGCCATTGCTAGTAGAGCAGATTACAATGGGAGAAATTAGGAAAACAGCTTACATGGAACATTAGGAAGGTTGAAGTATCCAAAAGGGGCACTGATCAGCATCCCCCTGCATAACACATGAATGCATCAAAACTACAGTTAATTCAACAATACGGAATAACAAGGGGAAAACCTGGGGGTATTGGTCATAATATCTCTCCTGATGACAGAGTAACAAGCTGTTCTGTTCAGTGTTTAAATGGAGAAGGATGGACTCGATAAAAAACGATGTTGGATAATGGAGGGAATGCTTTTATTTTCGGTTCATCGAGATATACATGTATTTTGTGGTCCTTAAGCATCATCTGGTGGAGGAAAAAGGGCCTTGCACGCAATCATTGCTGATGTGAAATTCAGTTAAGGTAGGCTGTAAACATCAGGGAGACTAAATTTGCTGAATATACACACAGTCAGTCTGGTACTCCTACCATCTACCCGTTGATCCATTCATTCATTCCTGCTCAGTAGAAGGTCGATGTGCTGATAATGAGCTGCATGGAAGTTGCAGAACCTAATAGAGGATTACCAGAACAAACTAGAAGTACAGTTTTTTAGTTCTTATACTGCCATATCTTTGGGATTATTGTCATATCTGTAATATCCGATATTACAAAGTACTAGATCCTTTCATCCTCAAGACCGAGAACTGGTAAAGCAAAAAATATATATCTATGTACACAATAGCACGCCAAAAAATGGGCGCAATCCGAATCCAGAGTATATAAAATCACATACCTTGCATCAAACAACTGAAGCGTCCAAATAATTTTGGGCATCCATACATTATTACTATGTCCAATTGTAGACTTCAAGATCCTCTCCATGATGTTGCCGGCACTGCTGTTGAAGCCCAGGCACCCACAATGTAGAGACCTCATGCATATCCTCATAAAGCCACAACTGCTCCAAAGTGCTCAAATCCTCAACAAGTCTCAAGTTTGGACAATCTTGCACGCGCAGCTCTCGCACTTGAGGAAGGTTAGAGACTTTCTCCAGGGCTTGACATGTCGCAATCAAAAGCATCTCAGAGAGGAGGGGGAAGTTCTCCACCACCTTCAGGCTGCTTGCCCATCTTAGCTCTATCTCCTTCAGACTGTTAATCTGTGCAAGCTGCTGTGGAAGAGCTTTCAGCTTTGGGCAGCCAGAAAGTTCCAGCCTCCTCAACCGTGACAGTATCTGCATCCTTGGAGGTAATGCTTTCTCTTTTGGTATTGCAGAATCTCCATCATCAACCCTTTCCTTAGCAGTTGACGTTGCTTCATCAATAAAGAACCACTCTTCCCAGTTGGGCATATCTCTAATGAGCAACTCTTCAAGCTTGGGGAAAGCAACTGTTCGTCCAAGATTACTCGCCCTGTGGCCAGCAAATTCGGGTCCAATAATGGTAACTGCAGCTGCTCCCTCAATTTTTAGATATTTCAAGTTGGGTAGCTGCCCAACTGGTGGAAGGTGCATACAGAATTTGCAGTTGAAGAGATGCAAGGATTTTACATAAGCCAAATGGGTAGAATCTATCCAGAAGGGATACTGGCGACCGAAGAATTTAACAATAGCAAGATCTTCCAGGTTGCACGGCGGAATTAGCTGCTCAAAGATCTTCTCAATATTGCTGAAATCTTTTTCTGTGTATGGTTCATCTGTACGTTCAGTACACCATAGATACAAAAATTTCAGAAACCCTTTGTCTGTTAACAATGGGTAAGTAGTGCGGTAAGCTGCTCTTTCCAATTTAATCATATGAAGCCGCCTTAGCTGGTAAAGATAAGCCAACTCTTCCAAGTTCCATCCATCTTGCATTTTAGTATTACTACTGCCACCATAGACTGGAAACCCTTCTACATCATTGAGAAATTCCAATTTGCCAATCCCTTTTGGAACTTGATATATCGGTGAATAATTGAGGCCAAGGCGCCTTAAATTGCACAGTTGGGTGATCGCTGAAGGAAGACTGTGCAAAGCAACACTCCTCTCCAAGTTCAATATTTGAAGATTTTTCAGGTTGCCAATGGACTCTGGAAGACAAGATACATTGGTACCATCAAGATCAAGCAAACGTAGATGGATCAAATTCCCGATGCAACCTGGGATGCTTGGTACAAATGAATCAGTCAAATCTAAAACACGAAGATAAGGAAATCTCTTGAAAAATGAATTATCAACTCTGAGTGTTTTCTCATAAGAAGTTTTCCATGTCCTTACTTTATATTGCACCTCGTCCATGCTAGGTAACATTACCATGTTCTTATCTGTGACGACTGAAACACGTCGAAGTTTAGACACAGTGTTACCTACCAATGATTCTGGGTTTCCAACAAAACATTCTTCCCTTGACAAATAACAAGCAAGCTGCCTTAAAAGATCATGCATTTTGCAGCTGCTGTGGTCATAATATAAACCATCTGGTTGAAGAAGGTTCCGGTGGATCAGCTCATAGTAATACTCGTCTGCTGTTTCTTCTAGTAGTTGACCTCCATGGTCCTCTATAAAGCCTTCAGCGATCCACATCCTTGTAAGATCATCATGGTAAATGTTTGCATCTTCAGGATATACACTACAATAAAGAAAGCATTGCTTCAAATGACGTGGTAACTCATCGTAACTCAGATATAAAGCACCTCTCAAATCATTTGGAAGGTTGTTCATGAACCAAGCATTTTTGCTCAATATTTTTTTCCATTCGTTCTCTGTTTGTTCTTTACTCGCTAACACTCTAGCAATAACCTTGATTGCAAGAGGAAGGCAACCACATTTGCGAACAATCTCAATCCCAACATCCTGCAGAGTTTGCAATTCTATGCTTTCACTGATATTCATGCTCTTGCAAAGTAGCTCCCATCCTACGTCGGTTGACATCAAATCAACTCGATAAGTATGGTCCACTCCGATTTCTAAGGCAACAATATTATTTCTAGTTGTTATGAGAATTGCTCCCATTTCTGCAGCATGCAACGGAATTCTTAATAAATTTGTCCATGCGTCAGATTGCCACATGTCATCCAACACAAGGAAAAAACTTGTCTCCTTAATTGCTATTTCAAGCTTGCTCTGGAGCTCTCCAATTGATTCATCTTGATCATGATGAACTTCCATAATTCGAAGAAGTTCTCTCAAAAGAGAAGCTTTAGAGTACACTTTGGAAACACAAACCCAGGCCTTTTTGTTGAAACTTCCTTTTATTTTTCTATCATTGTATATTTTCTGAGCTAATGTTGTCTTACCAACTCCCCCAGTCCCAACAATTGCAAGCTTATAAAGTTTTCTTCCCTTATGTTCAAGCACTAAATCTACCATTTTTCTGCAGGCATGTATGATCTCCTTGCCAACAATGTTGGGCTCAAGTAGGTGGGAACTTTTTCTCACTCTCAATACTGAACTGCTTCCAGTAGGAACCGTACTCTTGAGTGTCAAAAATACTCTGTCCTTCGAAATGTTTTCTATCTTCCTGTTGAGACTTCTAATCTTCACAGCAACCTCATGACGTGCTTGAACATTAGAAAAGCAAGTGGAAATTGACAGGCCAGTGCAAGCAATTGACTTCCTTGATGACGATGAAGGATGATCAGTTAGTAGAATGCTCCCCTTAAATCTAGCCAAGTCAATAATATCATCAACATCATAATATCATATAGAACTTCTCTTAGCTGACCAAGCCAATTGTCAACTGCTGACTCTTCCATCCTCCTTGCCTCAGCATCACAGCCATCACTAATACAACAATGTATGAGTTCAGTCTTCCGCTGCAACTCTGCGAGCTCTTCTTGTATCCCTAGAATAAGTATCACCTCTTCAGTAATAATCTCTTTCAACTTATTGGCACATGATCCAACCAAAGAATCTAATATGGTTGCCATAGGAAAAATCAGCAAGGGAGATCCACTTTTAACGTTTCAGAAAGTGACAGCATTGTAGGTTGGCAAGGAATGCACGATATCTGTTAGCATGATCTGAAAAATATATAATGTTCACTAAAACTTTTGTATTGATAAAATAGACATCCATGGGTATAACTACTGAATTGACATTTATATTAATACAATAATTAGCTTATCATACTTAAACTAAAGTTCTAGGGACAAATCATGCACAGTATGAGGTACATAACCAACACTAAAAACTATTACTACATTCTTATCATGTGAGGTATTCATAGAAGTATGTTTTTTTTTCTGTTTAGTGTAGTGTATCTACTCTTAAAATGGGACTACAACTAAAGAATGGTGCATCTTTTACAATTACATAATTGTATATAGGACTGGTGAGAATAAGACTAACTAATTAACAGCAAACAATACTAACAACTGTAAAACAATACTAATTAACATACTAAAATGAACGGAGGAAGGCAATTATTTCATAAAATCATATTCGATACTAACCACTGTAAATTTCATATAGTGCAGTGATCCCTCTACCCCTATTCGGTTGGTGTGCAAAGTTCCTATTCATCTTGGATGATGATATCATGGTGACTTGGCGAGGGCATCGTGTGGATGATAAGATCAGGGTCACTTGTCGAGGGCACTGGTGTCTATATCTGGACTGGCGAGGAACTCAAATTTTTCATTCATTTTACATGTGAGAAATTATCAAGTGCCAGCAAAGGGGAGAAAGAAAAAAGTAGCTGGTCACCTGTTCACTGCAGTTTGGCATAAAACAGGTAGCAGAAACAAAGCAACAATTGGAGTGTAAGAATTAGCAGCAGAACATATTCCATGAGACTGAAGGTGGTGGAGACGCTGGCCTGAGTACAGCGAGCATCGCTACCTTTGTTGCAGTTGCTTCTGCTGGTAAGCCCGCCATGGATGGATCAGGGCAAAGCTAGCACTGAGACCAGTGGTAAATTGAGGGAAGCCGGTGGAGAACTTACGGAAACAAAAATTACACAACACTGAGAAGTAAAGTAGCAATACCAGACAAAGGGAGCAACTTATTATACCTTGTATGAAGCCATGAATTGAGCTTGCAGCAGCGATGCTCCTTCTCTATTCAAATTGGCAGCTCGCCGGTTTGTTCAAAAAAAAAAAAAAGCTTGCAGCAGCGATGAGTTTCTGCTGCTACTATAGTACTATGTGCCTCGATCCTCTTGTTTCTTTTCTAGCATAAGAATATAAGTATGCTTATGTTACTTTCTGGTTGTGACGAGACAATGGCTTATTGTCCTCACACGATAGCTGCAGATATAAAAAATTAATGTAGACTCGTATACGTCACTATTGCATCCTTGTCCCTAGACTGATTATTGGAATCTTGTGTGCTGCTTCAGAAGATGGCCGTTCACTAACATCGGCCAGAAACCACATGACGATTTCCTTTCTATGATTTCAGTTAAAGTTTGACTTTTCCTAAAAAACGAGTTACAGGTCGACTATAGAACATTTTGAAAACTGAATCATCTATCTATTATATTATTAAGACACCTCGAAAAGGAGGCACCACATTCGCTGTGGAGGCTAGAAATTCCCACATTAATCGGAGAAAAAGAAAAAAAAGAAAAGAAAAGTCCAAGTAGGCATACAATCTAAAAATAGCTGAAATTCGGAATTAAAAATAAGCAATATTAAAAAAAGTTTCCATATAAGAACCCAATACGAGATTAATCGAAATTCGAAATAAAAATAAAATAAAATCCAAAATTAGAAAAGGAAAGGAGAGTCCAAATAGGAATACAATCTAAAATTAGCTAAAATTCGGAATTAAAAATAAGCAATATTGAAAGAAGTTTCCATATAAGAACCCAATACGAGATTAATCAAAATTCGAAATAAAAATAAAATAAAATCCAAAATTAGAAAAGGAAACAAGAGTCCAAGTAGGAATATAATCTAAAAATAGCTGAAATTCGGAATTAAAAATAAGCAATATTGAAAGAAGTTTCCATATAAGAACCCAATATGAGAATAATCAAAATTCGAAATAAAAATAAAATAAAATACAAAATTAGAAAAGGAAACGAGAGTCTAAGTAAGAATATGAAGAGTTCATATAAGAACCCAATATGAGATTAATTAAAATTCAGAATAAAAATAAAAATAAATCTGAAATTAGAAAAATAAAATAAAAGAAGAGTTCAAGTAGGAATACAATTTAAAATTAGCTGAAATTCGGAATTAAAAATAAGCAATATTGAAAGAAGAATCCATATAAGAACCCAATACAAATTAATTAAAATTTCGAATAAAAAATAAAATAATATCAAAATTAGAAAAATTAAAAGAGAGTTCAAGTAGGAATACAATTTTGAAACAACTGAAATTGAAAATAAAAAAATAAAAACATTAAAAGAACACAATACGGTATTAACTAATTTTTTAAAAAAAATAAATTCTGAAATTAGAAAAAGAAAAATAAGATTTCAATTAGGAATACAATTTATAAATAACTAAAGTTTGTGATAAAAATAAAGGCTATTGAAAGAAAAGACCATCTAAAACACATGACGAGATAAATTAAGTAACATACCTATAAAGGAGTAGAGTGGTGGCGGTTGATATGACATATAAAAATTGTTAATAAAACACAAAATAGAATTCTAATGACGATTAAAAGGAGGGACGCTAGGCAGGCCGTGAAGCAAACAAGTAAAGCAGATGCTGGGACTTCTAGAAAGTAAAAAAAAACCCTATTGATAATCATATTCGATTTTTAAAATCTCAATGACAATAAAAAGGAGAAGCAGCGGGCGGGGTGTATAAGAGTATAGTTGCAGAACCGCTGACGATTGACGGGACTTCTAGAAAATAAAAAATGAATTCCAACAATAGTTATGTTCGATTTTTAGAATTATAATGACAATAAAGAGTAGGCGATGGACGAACTGTAGAGAGGCATAGTGGCATCGTTTGATGGAACTTCTAAAAATTATAAAAAAAATAAAATTACAAGTCCAATTTTTAAAGGTTTGGAACTTCCAAAAAGTAAAAAAACCCAATGATAATTAGGTTCGATTTTAAAATCTCAATGACAATAAAGAAGGGAGGCAGCGGACAAGCCGTAGAGGAGTACAATGGCAAAGCCGCTGATGATTTGGTAGGACTTCTAGAAAGTAAAAATGAACCCAAACGATAATTATGTTCAACTTTTAAAATCTCAATGACAATAAAGAGAAGAAACACTGGACGGGCCATAGAGGAGTATAATGGCAACATTTGATGGGACATCTAGAAATTATAAAAACGAAACCCAACGTGACAATAAACTCTAAAACTATAAAATCCAATTTATAAAGGTTCCAAGAAGAATGAATAAAAATAGTGGTAAATCGAGCAAGCAAATAAAGAAGGAGATGACATAAAGGGTAGCAACTGGTGTGACTTTTAAAAACTATATAATCAGAAACACGAGGATAGTAAGGTTTGGTCTTTTAAAGTCTTAAAACAATGAGATAGCTATTTAATAAATTTTAAGTAAAAACATACTAAAAAATATATGATTTTGTTTGGATGCTAGCCGTGCAATTGCGCGGGCCACCCAGCTAGTTTTTAAACTGAATATAACCTTATATACCCGTTCTGAAAAGGTCAAATCAAGTTTAGAGCTACAAACTTTACATGGGGCGGCACCGCTGCTCCTCATGTTCTGGCTGTCCAGATGTACCACCAAATTTATAAATTTTATAATTTTTTTTATAAATTTTTCAAATAAGACGGATGTTCAAACGTTGTACATGGAAATCCGCAACTGCACTTAAAATGGGACGGAGCGAGTATAAAACTGAATTCTGTCATCTGAATAAATAAGTTGTGTGCAGAACAGCATAGCTTACAGAACATCGGCAAGCGTCTGACATGGGATCGTCAAGTTCAGTAAAGCATATTTTTAGAGTGCTTCTCAATCCCCAAATAGTGCTAGCCCAATCCATTGCAAAGGAGAACTAATCTGAATTTTAGTACATTTGTATATTTTAAGTCAAGGTCAGGACATAATCTGAATTTTTGAATTCTACAGACAAACAAACAAGAACAAACTGAACATTTAACAACTCAATCTTCTTGGAAACCTTTCTTCCAGTTTGGACTTTACAATCCCTCTGCAAATTTCTCAGGTTTGCACCAGGTACTGTGGTACCTTGATGATATTATCTGATCTGAATCTGTGAATGCTACAGACAAACAAATTGGAACAGACTGACGAACTCATCCTCTATCGATTGGGATGCCTCTGCAAATTCGCACTTGGTACCCGCTGAACTTGTTCGATCTGAAAGAGGAGATGGAAAGACCCTAAGCCTGCAGAAGACTCGAAGAACCTACCCCAAGTCGTCGCCGTTCCTTTCCCTTCTCGTCGCTCAGGTTAGATGAAACGCCAAACACCGTTGATTGTTTTGTGCGTCACTCATGCATGGGAAGAATAATTTGTACCCGAAAATCGAAATGGTTGAGATGAAACTAGAGCACTGAACTAGTGAACTGAAATACTGAATAAGTGAAGAGTACAAGAATGAACACTAAGCTAGATTCTAATTTAATAGTCCATGAGAGGTTGAAGATTTGGGGAGTGAACTTTTAAGCGTCAGAATTGAACGTCTATGAACATACTGTAGTGATCAAATGCCATCAGGTGAAACGTTGATAAGAGATAAGTGTGTGAAACTGGAAGTGCAATTAGAGTACTTCTGACAAGCCACACTGCTCTTCAGATACAATACAAGAGCCATATTACACCTCCATCAGCTACTCTCAACTGCTATTAATCTCTGATGGCCCTTATAATTTTACCTAGAATTATGTGTACACTGTACAGAAATCAGTTTGAGACAACAACTCGAGCTATGAATCAGGGAAGGGAAGGCATTGCTAGTAGAACAGAATACAGTGTGAAAAATTAGGAAGGTTCAAGTATCGAAGAAGAGCACTGGTTAACATCCCCTGCAGACCATATGAAGGCATCAAAATTACGGTTAATTTGAAGAATTTAGTGGGACAGCTATGAGGAAAGCTAAGGCACTGGTCATCACATCTGTCCTGAACCAATTCTGATGACTCACAAGTTGTTCTGTTCAGTGTTTAAATGTAGAATGATGAATTCAATAAAAAAACAAAGGTGGATAACGGAGGGAAAGATTTTGTTTTCTGTTTCTGAAGATATACATGCATTTCGCAGCATGGTGGGGGAGAAAGAGCCTTGCAGACAATCATTACAGATGCAAAATTCAGTCAAGATGTGCTGTATACAATCAGAGAGACTCAATATAGTCCATGACTCAATTTGCCTAACAGATACACTGTCAGTCTGGTACTCCTATCATCCCTCCATTCATTCCTGCTCCCATTACTTCACCAACTGTTTGAGCATATACAGTATCCTGTTCTACATGCAGTCAGTACCACATGTTGTGCAGTGTAGCCTCAGCTTCAAACCTACATCTACAACTGCTGAATTCCATGAGCTGAAGCCATCCAGTTTGGTTCCACTTGAGTGGTGCATGCTTGCAAGTGGCCTTTTTGTGCTTATGGCCATGGACAGAAGTAATGCAGAACGGTGGATTCATACATGATGACATGAGGCAACACACTGCTACTAGGAACCTTCGGAAGTGGACTTGTGGAATCATCTCCATGTTTTCTGCAGTTTGGGTGCAAAATTTACAGTATTGAAGCATAAAAAAAAAAATTTCACCGGGAAGGCTGAAGGAGGCCAACCGGGTATATTAAGAAGGAGTAAAAGTTACAAGAAAAAACATCAAAATACACCAAGGTGCATTGCCATACACCACGCGCTACCACCCAAGCACAAACCGCTAGGGTGAAGCCTAGCACCAAACGACCCCCGCTAAGCGTGGCCGAACGCCGCTAGGCCTACGGCAACACCACACAGACGAGGCTTTGAAAACGATGCCACCACGGTGCTCACGACATCCAAGGATACCGCCATCGCCCATCTAAAAAAGATGTGGTTTTCACTCAGAGAAGCTCGTCGAGCAAAGGAGAGGGTAACCCTCGACAACGCCCCAAGGAGGTTACAACGCCCGAAGACATAGCCGCTGCCAGCCCGGTGAACCACCGGACTAGGCTTTCGCTTGATACCCTACACCCTTGACTGCGGATCGCCGTCCACCAACTCAGAACCCCCACACAGACAGATGGCAGCACGCAGCATCCACCACACCGCACCGACGCCCCTCCGTCGGCCGACTTCATCGAACCACCACCCCTGAGAGCTGGCCTAGGACGCCTCCGTTCCACTACCCACCGGCCGCCTCGCTAGTTTTGGCCGAAGGAGAACCCAGGACTAGGTGGCATTGCTTCGGCAGCCTGAGCTTCCCCCGCTTACGAGCTGCCGCCTCAATCCAACCTAGAAACTCCCCGCAAAGAAGGGGAGGAGCTCCAGGAAGGGCGAGGGTGCCGACCGGCAACGAGGAAGATGACCCACCGCCGCCAGCTCCCTTTACACAGCCATCTGGGCTTGCACCGACGACGGTGACGCTACTGCTACTCCGGCTCTGGCGCAACCCGTCGACGCCTCCGTTGTCCAACTACCGCGCCCTGCCGCCCACCTGGTCGTGAAGGGCACCGTGGCGGCACCCCGGAAGCGAGGACTTGCAGGGCCGCCATGCGGGCATGCGGCCGCCCTGGGCTGTCGCGCTGCCGTTGCACGGGCTGCCGTGCCGAGCTGCGGGCTGCCGTGCCGCCGCCGCTCCCAGCCACCGCGCGCCGCCGTGCTAGATCCGTGCGCGGGGTGGCCAGATCCAGCCTTGGCGGCCGTCTCCCCACACCATCCCACCGTCACACCTCTGGCCGCGGTGAGGGTCTTCGTCGGCTGCGCCCCGTCCACGTCGCGCCGGGGTGGGATACGCCAAGAAGAGGGAGAGCCTCGCCGCCGCCTTCCGTGCTTGCTGCCGGCTTGCCGCCGGCAAGCTCCGACTCCGGCGAGGCAACGGAGAGGAAGTGGAGGCGCTGGCGGCTAGGGTTTTTTCGCCCCCCGAGCCGCCCGCACGAGAGCGACGCGGGGGAATCGGTCTTAAGCATAAAATTATTAACTTGCATTGACATAGGACAACACTACCCAAGTACCTACCTTGCGTCTTTCGCTGTTGCAGACAAATAGTTGTTCAGCATTTTCAGTAGGGAAGTTCATATACTGATTTACAGAAGTGGCACCCTAGTAGTTTTCTTGCTTTGACATTACAACACTGCTCCATAAATACATAGTACCACTAGTAGTTTTCTTGGAGCTAACTTCTGTCCTTACTAGTGGATGGTGCCATAGTGGCATAGGAGAAGGGACCATTTACAGGAACCAAGAATTGAAGTGAAACGGTACATGTAACATGTCCCAATAGCATCTGGGCTATGCTTTTGAAAGCCACTAAGTGAAAAGTGAAAGTAGAAGGAATTGGTTCACCATCAGTTGGTCACACATCATGAAAGTGAAAAAATAAAGAACAAGGAGTACTAATAGACATATCATCTTTCTGCCTGTGATTGTAATGAGGTTGCACAGTGCAGTAGATATCACTAATGAAAATATCTCAGTAGCTCAATTCTCAACTCTCAAACAGGGGACTGGGAGGAGAATGAATTGGTGCATGTGTTCAATTGCTTTTACTTGAAAACTGGATTGTAATGAGGTTGAGCTAAAATAGTTTAGAATCAAATTTGTCCAATAGAGCAGGCGAGCAGCAGAGTGGATGTGCCTCTAATAATTGAATATACAAATAACTTGACAAGAATGCAGCAAATTTCAAGAAAATTTTCAATGATCCACCTAGCAGCACAGCATCATTTCACTAGACAAGTATATATACAAGATTATCCCCTCCTCCTTTTCCGGGCTTGGGACCGGCTATGTCATTAAAATCACACCTCAAGTGACATAGGCGGAGTTACCTACACAGCTACAAGAAGAAGAAGAAGAAGAAGAAGAAGAAGAAGAAGAAGAAGAAGAAACACACACAAATCATAAAAAAAAATGAAATACATTTCATGAGGTAAAGCAAATGCCCCTGTTTTTTTTCTTTTTTTTTGCTAAGTTTTACCTTTTTTTGGATTTTTCTTTTTCTTTCTTTTTTTTTGGATTTCTTAAATCTTCCATAGATCGGTAACTAGGTAAAGATAACAAATAAATAAGAAAGTGCCTGCACTGCCCAAATCTTCGAGATTAGCAACCTACAAAATAAACAAGCACACACAAATTAAGCATCGCTATATATAAGCAATTTGGTACTTCAATAACTTAGTTAAGGAAAATAAAATACAAGTGTGATCAGTTTTTGCAACAATCATGTTTTCTGGAGTTAAACCTACTAGACATCAAGAAAAAAAATAGTCTAAGAAAAAGCCACATACGAACTACACATAAGCATGTAGGCAGGGCAATGTACCCTGCTTATTTTATTTGTTAGGGATATAACTAAAATATTAATCAATTGGAACAAATACAAAGGCATTTAGGCAGCTTTTTATTTTCCAAACAAACCTTAGTGGCCTAGGAGCAGATGTTGGGCGCTGCCCCTTTTGTGTTCAATGTCCTGCTGCCAACAGGCTGCAGGCCGAAAATCTGTAGAATTGGGCGTTGTATCGCTTGCAAGTCTAAATTGACCGTTGTATATGCCTAATATATTACACAGTTGAAATATTTCATGAAAAATTGACGTCTCTACTTGTTTTTACAAGATAATATGTGCTCCCTTCAATGTCTCCTATGTACATGCATAATCTCGATACAAAACACACTTGGGTCATTGAGGGCTAAATGCAAGTAAACTGTTCTGCATCTGAACTAAATGATATTTATTTCTTGGCCCATATGTCTCCTTTACTTATGCAGTTTGTGTACCAAAAGTGAAAAAATGATTCTTCCTAACTACCTCAAGTCCTTCGATTGATATCCACCATTTTATGAAAATCTTGACCACAATGAAATGGTTACATGTAGCACAAATGAAAATAAAACTAAATCATATAAATCATTAAACAATCAGTCAATGCACACAACATGAACAACTAAGGAGACTATCAAATGCTAAAATAGCTGCATATATACAAGTGAAGAGCAGAGGAGCAGCATGAATGTACAACCCAATGATTAGTTTATTCCAGTGAAAAATCCCAAGCAATTAGTGTACATACCTTGCACCATCTAAATTAATTGGGTCTCAGAGCCACTCGGTGACCTCCAGCTCATGCTCATCTCCATGGAGCTGGCGGTGTTGCTCCTGAAGCCTTGGGACCCACAGTGAAGAGATCTCCTGCATACCTTCATCCAGCCATAGCTGCTCCAAACCACCCAACTCCTCGACATGCCTCAAATTCGGGCATTCATTTACAAACAGCTCTCTCACTTGGGGAAGGTTGGAGACCCTCTCCAGTCCTTCACATCCTTCAACTTGAAGGCCACCAGAGAGGAACGGGAGGTCCTCCACCGTCTTCAAGTATCTTGTGTCTCTTATAAAGAGTTTCTTCAAGTTGGTGGCCTGCTGTCCAAGCTGTGGTGGGAGAGCCCTCAGCTTGGGGCAGCCCACGAGATCCAACTTCGTCAAACAAGGCAGCAGCCACGACGACCTTGGAGTTGGAGACGGGGCTTCCTCCCCCTTTTGCTTCGAAGCAGCAATTCCATCCTCTCCCCCTTCCTTGGCTGCTGCAGCTGCTTCCTCCTGCACTTCTTCTTCTTCAACAAAGGACCACTCCTCCCATTTGGGCATATCCTTGATGACCAACCATTCGAGCTTGGGGAAAGCAACTGCCTCTGTGGATCTGAGATTACCCTCCCAGCAGCCAACAAATTCGGGTCCAATCTTGGTGATTGCACTTGCTCCATTAATTTTTAGGTATTTCAAGTTTGGTAGCTGTCCGATTGGGGGAAGATGCACACAAGATTTGCAATCTATGAGGAGCACGTATTTCACTGAAGACAAATGGGTACTACCAAGCCAGGTGGGGAACCTTCGCCCAAAGAAATCCCCGATAACAAGATCTTCTAAGTTGTGTGGAGGTTCTAGCTTCTCAAAGATCTTCTCAACATTGCTAATGCCTTCCTCTGAATATGCTTCATCTGTCTGTTCAGTGCAGTGTAGATTCAGAACTTTGAGATGCTTTTTCTCTGATAGTAGAAATGGGTCTGTACTGCTGCAAGGAGTAGCTCTCTCCAATTTTATCATATCAAGACACCTCAACTGTGAAAGATGACCCAACTCTTCCAAATTCCATCCATCTTGTATTTTGGTATTGTCATTTCCACCACCGATAGGAAATCCTTCTAAATCATTGAGAAATTTCAGTCTTCCTATCCCTTTTGGAACCTGGTTTATTGGAGTACCAGCAAGACCAAGCCGCCTCAAATTGCATAGTTGAGTTGTTGCCAAAGGAAGTCTGCGCAAAGATTCACACCCCTGCAAATTCAATATTTGAAGGCTTTGAAGGGAGCCAATGGCCTCTGGGAGAGAACATATATTTGTCCTGTCAAGATCGAGCAACCGCAGATAAATCAAATTTCCAATCGCACCTGGGATGTCATGTACAAGTGAGTCAGACAAATCCAAAATGCGAAGACATACAAGTCTCTTGAAAAGTGAATTATCAATTCTTGCTGACTTCCCAGAGAAGTTTGTAAAACACCTCACTTTATATTGATCCTTGTCCATGCTAGGTAACACCACTATGTCCTTCTCAGTGACAACTGAAATACGCCGTACTTTGCACATAGTATTAGTCCCTAGTGACTCTGGGTCTCCAACAAAACATTCTTCTCTTGACAAATAAGAAGCAAGTTGCCTTAAGAGATCATGCATCTTGCACCTGCTGTGGTCAAAATATAAACCATCTGGTTGGAGCAAGTTCCGATGGATCAACTCATGATAATACCTCTCTGCTGTGTCTTCTAATAATTGGCCTTCTTGCTCATCTATAAAGCCTTCAGCCACCCACATCCTAGTAAGATCACCACAGAAAATGGTTGCATCTTCAGGGAAAAGTGCACAATAAAGAAAACATTGCTTCAGCTGGTGCGGCAGCACTTCATAACTCAGATATAAAGCACCATTTAATTCATCAGGAAGTTTGCTCATGGACCAGGCATTTTTCCCCAATATCTGTCTCCACTCATTCTCTGTTTGATCTTGCAGGCTTGCTAAGACTTTGGCAATAGCCCTGATTGCAAGAGGTAGGCCACCACATTTGCGGACAATCTCGATACCTGTGTCCCGTAGATTTTTCACTTGTTTCTCTTCTTTGATGTTCATGCTCCTCCAAAGTAACTCCCATCCTATATCGGCTGACATCAAATCAACTCTATGAGTGCGGTCCACCCCAATTACACGAGCAATAGTTTCATCTCGAGTAGTTACTAGAATTATTCCTGTGGCTGCCGCATTTAGTGGAGTTCTTAGTAAATCTTCCCATGCTTTATAGTGCCATACATCATCCAACACAAGGAAAAAACTCTTGTCTGCAATGCCTGCTTTGAGTTTGCTTTGAAGGTTCCCAACTGATTCATTTTTTTCATAATGAATTTTCATATTACTAAGAACTTGTGCCAAAAGGGAAACCATAGAATACTCCTTGGAGACACAAACCCAGGCACGATGGTCAAATCTCCCTTCTAATTTTTTATCATTGAATATTTTCTGAGCTAGTGTTGTCTTGCCAACTCCCCCTGTTCCAACAATAGCAAGCTTGTAAACATTCTTTGCCTTGTGTGCAAGCACCAAATCCACCACTTCTCTGCAAGCATGTACGACCTCCTTGCCCACAAGGTTAGGTTCAACTAGGCTGGAGCTTTCTATAGGTGTCCATGCTGAACCACTTCCATTATGTTGTGTGAGGCTGAGTTTTAAAAATACATCATCCTTTGAAATGTTATCTATCTTTTTGTTCAGGCTTCTAATTTTTACAGCAACTTCATGACGTATACGAATATTAGAAAAGCAGGATGAAAGTGAAAGGCCACTGCAAGCAGTAGATTTCCTTGACGATGACATAGGATAGTTAGGTAGTAGGACACTTCCTTTAAATCTAGCCAAATCAATAATATCATCAACATCATACATAACATCTCTTAGCTGGTCAAGCCATTTTTGAACTGCAGAATCTTTCATCCTCCTTGCCTCAGCATCCTGAAGAGAATATCTTATGAGATCTGTTCTTCGCTGCAGTTCTTCAAGCTCATCTTTTACCCCTAAAATGAGTATTGCCTTGTCTGTAATGATCGCTTGCAACTTATTGATGCATGATCCAACCAAAGTATCCACTATTGTTGCCATCCAGCAAACTGTTTTAGGGAATTCAACAAAAAATACCAGAAGAAAGTTAAAAATTAATGCAGTCCAGAAATGATTCCAAAAGCTGGCGTAACATTAAGATATCTATCTTATTTTATTCTATAACTACTTCGCACATGCTAGCCTAGGAGTTGTGTTAGCGCATTTAACTGTAGTAACTAACATTATGGACCCCCCCCCCCCCTCCCTTCTCCTCCTGAAAAAAAAACAATAAAATGATCACAGCTAGAAGAACAAGAGATTTGAAGTACATCCTTACATGCAAGTCTACCTTATAAAGTAGTCATCTGGCGTGAAAAGAATGGATGGTACTTTATAATTTTCAATATTACAGTAGAAATCATCTTGGAAATTCTCATTTGTATATGTTCTTGAGTTTTTCTTCTGTCTTTGAGAGTTATGCATATAACGTATAAAGTGATGATGGGAGGTGATGCAAGAAAATTTCCAAGTTATTAACAATAATAACATGGTCTGAAGATGATCAGAAGTTTACTCAGTTTCATCTTTATGTAACGCAGGAGCACGATCTCTAGCTAACAAGCTATTTTGCAATGTCTTTGGAGCAAGTAATTTAGTATACTGAAGCTGAAGAATTGGAAGAATTAATGGGGTTACCTTTCGATAGCTTCTTTGGTCAATGGGCAATGAAAAGACGAAGTAACCAGCACAGATGAGGTGTTCTCTTCATGTATACAAGGTGAACTAGCTGGACATGAAAGGCGAGGCCGAATGGAGCTGGATTGATGGGAATGGCAGCAGTGCACGCCAAGATGACGACCACTGAGCAATCCGATGTTTCAATCAGCTCATACCGCAAGGAACCAGAGCTTGTGGGCAAGCAGAGGGTTGGTGCGTGAGGAAGAAAGACTCGCCTCAGAGTGAGGCCTTAATTGGTGCGTGCAGCCGCTGACGAGGGAGATGATGATCAAGAACGTTTCCCCTGTAATCTGACGAGGGAGCTAGAGGATCGATATGAGATTGTTGCTGCTTGGAGCTTTCAGTTACTACCAGTACTACTAGTAGGAAGTAGGCAATAACTTACAGCTTGCCATGTGATGTTTTTCAGTTTGAACACTGACAACTCAGACTTTATGAGTGTGCATTTGATGGCATGTATGGACCATCATAGTCCTGTCCTCTTAGAGCAAGTTTAATCACAAAATTTGACAATTTGACCCTTTGCAAAAACTATTTTTACAAATGAACCACTGCCAAAACTTATTTTAAATCTGACCCTTTTGCTCAACGCCAAATCGTGTGGCGCTGAATTTAGACACCTCAGCGCTAAATAGCATGGCGCTGAATGTACGTTGGCACGCTGACTTAGTCTCCCATCCGCCGTGGCACGGCATTCAGCGCCAGCTGACGTGGCGCTGAGGTGTTTAATTTCAGCGCCACATGATTTGGCGTTGAGCACAAGGGTCAGATTTGAAATAAGTTTTGGCAGCGGTTCATTTGTAAAAATAGTTTTTGCAAAGGGTCAAATTGTCAAAAATTGTGAAGTTTAATAGTATAGCCAACTATTAGCTCCAATTCATCTATAGCCAATCTAATAGCCCATTCATACAATAGTTGCATACTACACTATTAATATATGGTCCCACCTGTCGTACACACACCGCGTCTTGGAGTCCGTGCTACATCTGGCTACAAATCTGTAGCCCGCTGCTTTTTCTCTCTCCTTATTTATCTTCTTAAAATATGTTTGCAGCTGGCTTATAGCCTGCTATTGTACCTGCTCTTATGAGGCCCTGTTTAGGGGCTGTTTAGTTCCCAAACAAAATTTTTCACGCTGTAACATTGAATGTCTAGACACATGCATGGAGTATTAAATATAGACAAAAAAAACAAAAAAAATAATTACACAGTTCACCAGGAAATTGCGAGACGAATCTTTTAAGCCTAATTGCGCCATGATTTGACAATGTGGTGCTACAATAAATTAAACATTCGTTAATGACGGATTAATTAGGCTTAATAAATTCGTCTCACAGTTTCCTGGCAGAATATGTAATTTGTTTTGTTAATAAATTCTTCTTTTACATGTAAAATTTGTATTGCCTCCTCAGTAATGAGCCGTTGCAACTTGTTTACGCATGATCCAATTAAAGAATCTAGTATGGTTGCCATAGAGAAACTCGTTAATGGTGATGCACCAAAATTTCCAAGTAAATCAAATGATTAGCTAGCGCCTAGTGATGTGATTATAATTAGTTTAAGTATAAAGATTATATTCCATGATGTTAAAGCAGGAGCGCACTTTGATTAAAAAAGAAAAAAGAAAGAGCCAAAGAGGTGCATACTACTTTATATGCTAGTAGTAGAGACGAACAATGATCATAGACACTCCCTTCACACGAAGAAGAAACGTCATGCTTTCTTCACCCCTCACTGTGGCCTCTCTGCAATGACGAAAGCTTTTGGGCTTTCAGATTCCAGTAGTTTCTATATGCCAAAGAGTATGAAGTCTGAACAAAAACTCGCTTTGGTTGTGATCGACAATCCTGGCCTGGAAAATAACATCTTTACCGTGGGCGCAGATGGCACACCGACGGTTTGGTTGTTTGGTTGCCCGCCTCCGCGCGGCACGCCACACCTGCGGCAGCCATGGAGAGCTTGGCCGGTGTTTGGTTCCTGCCAACATGCGCCACGCCAGATCGAGAGTGCGGCTGGTGTTTGGTTCCCGTGAAAGCTGTGGCTGCCACTACTGCTCCCAGTACAAAAACACGCCACACCTGTGGCGCTGAAAATCATCGCCTCATCTGCGGCGCTGTTGTTGTGGCAAGCACATTCAGACACAAAAAGCTTAGGCAACTGTGGCAAGCCAAGCATGGTGAGCCACAGCTACTGAGGCAAACTACGGCGGCAACCAAACAGCCATGTCTTGAGTGACATTTTAGTTTTTTTTTTATTTGAAAAAGTATCCACCTCAATAGCATATTGTAGAAAAAGTTGACAAAGTTGATGACATATTATAGAGGAAGACAATCGATGGCAAATCCTTGAATTGGAGTAAACTTAGGGAGATAGAATATATTCTCTCATTAAACAATGTAATGGGATAACAAGGAGAAAAGTTAGGGCACTCTCGTAGCTTTTTCCTGAACCAATCCTGATGACAGCGGACAGACCGTTGTTTTCAGTGTTTAAATGGATAAGATGAATTCAATGTAATAAACAAAGCTGGATTTACTTTTCTCTTCCTCAAGATATACATGGGTTCCATCCCACCTAAGCAGTGGCTGATGGGTGGAGAATGAGTCTTGGACACAATCGTTGCCCATGCCAACCATTAACATAAGTATTGATTGTCACTACAAGGAGTTACTCCCTCCATTTTAGGTTACATGACGTTTTAACTTTGGTTAAAATCAAACTACTCCTAGTTTAACTAATTTTATAGAAAAGAAAGTATTAGTATTTTTAACCCGAGACAAATATATTATGAAATTTATTCAATTATAGATTTAATGAATCTATGTTAGTGTTGTAAATATTATTACTTTTTTTATAGAATTAGTTAAATTTAAAGTAGTTTGACTTTTACTAAAGTCAAAACGTTTTATAACCTAAAATGGAGAGAGTAACAGTTAAAATTAATATGTCCTGCTAAACCGGATGATCCTGTTTTGGTATCCGAAAAGAGAGTATGTGTTCTTAACGAATTTGTCATGAATTCGACTTGTACAAGAGCTAAGCTCTGTCCACCCACCCTATAAATATGAAAGGGTCACAGCCGATTGAGGGGAACTCAGATTTACCTTGTCGAGCTACCTGATCTGAATCTTGAATGATACTGACAAACAGACAACATATACCTGACAAACTTCATTATCCTTTATCTATCGAGGATTCCTGCTTCTAGTTGATATCCCTCTGCAAATTTGAATTCCGTACCCGCTCAACTTGTCTGATCTGAAATATGAAACTGAAAGACCGGAAGCTCGCCGAAGAGTCGAAGAAACGACGGGATCCAAGTCGTCGCCGGAGTGGAGCGCCATGGCCCATGGCTGGTCGGGATGCGCCGGTGAGCTGCTGCCGGCGTGAGGCCCATATTGTATGGGCCCATCAAGCTGTTGGGATTAATTTGTGGGCCACCACATGCCAGGAGCAAATTGTGGCCCATAATGTATGGGCCGTGAGGGATGATTTGGGCCTCAATTAATGGGCCTAGGCTGTACTGCGGCGAGTTCTAGCCAACATAGGCCGGAGGCAACGTGCGGCCCCATATTCACGACGAGATTGTGGGCCTTGTCGATGGGCCTCTATCTCTGCTGACCGTCCGATCGAACACTAGCGGTCGATATTAACGTTGGCCAGTTGTTGGAGGTGATTTTTTGAACGAGTCCTTTAGCTATCAGAATTTCCATTTTTGAATCCAAAAAAGGTACATGTGCATCTTTACACCCGTTTGATCTAACACAGCCGGCTGAGATTAAAGCCACGTAAGCATCTGATGATTATTTTCGAGTAAGCCCTCAAACTATCTCGTATTATCGTTGAAAAGGGCGCGTGGGTCGCCGACGGCGGCGGCGCTCCGGCGAGTGGCGACGGTGGCGCTGGCGGCGAGGTTGATGGCGAGCGCTCCGATGAGTCAGTCAGCCAGTGAGGTAAATCCTCGAGCACGGAGCACCTGGTCCGGCCATCGAGCGAGCCCCCACCTCGGCGATGGCGCTGAAGACCGGTGGCGGAGCGCGGAGGGCAAGGTCGAGCGCTCCATTTCCCTTCTCGTCGCTCCGGTTAGATGAAATTCGCCAAACACCGTTGATTGTTTTGTGCGTCATTCATGCATGGGAAGAATAATTTGTACCCGAAAATCGAAATGGTTGAGATGAAACTAAGAACACTGAACTGAAATACTGAATAAGTGAAGAGTACAGGAATGAACACTAAGCTCGATTCCAATTTAATTGTCCATGAGAGGATGAAAATAAATCGAAAACGGACGGAAATTAGCTTTATCATATTTGTTTTCATAAATTTTTTTCGGAATTGGAATCGGAATCGAAAAGTCGGATACGGAAATGAAATCAAATATTATCGAATACAAATACGGAGCGAATACGAGACGGAACGAATACGGTAGTGAATATTTACCGGTATATAAAAGGCCCCTCAAATTGAGTTTCTTGATCGAGGAAGAGATATCACTTATTATTTTAGTTCAACATCTCCAATATTTATATCGTCAATTTTATAGACGGTCTCACAACCGTATGTGAAAATCGATTTTTATGGTTGTTCCTCTAAGAGATTCATATGCAAATATGATTATCAGTTTCTATTCTCAAGACCTTCTACTAGATGTATAACTTACTTGCCATTGTATAAATTGGAGATGTTGTTTATTTTACTTCGCATCTTCGAAACTTGCAATATTTATTTTATGCTTTAAATGCTTTCAAATACAAATGTTATAAACTACAAAGTGGTAGATCCAGTTGAGCTCTACAACTTTGATATGTAACACATCTCCATCAGATGTCGTTTGGATGGTAGATATGAGATTTTGTAAAAATTAATATGGTATATTATAATGAATATTTAGACCCTTAAATGACCTCAAATAATAAAATAGTCAATAAGAAAGTTGTAGATCTCACCGAGCTTTACAATGTTGATATAAAGTTTGTCTTCATATGATTTCGTATGAAAAAGTTATGCATATATACGTGTTTTTTTCTAAAATTTACTCAATGTCTGCGGATATCTGAAAAAAATTCCGGATAGTTTCCGACTTATTTCCGATTCCAACGGATAGTACCCTTACTGTATTCGTTTTCGTTTCTGAGAAAAAAAATCCGAATTCGTTTCCGAATCCGAGAATTTCCGGATAGTTCCGACCGAAACTATCCGAATTCGAAAAATGGTCCGGACGGACGGAAACTATCCGAACCAGTTTCATCCCTTGAGACAACAACTCGAGCTATGAATCAGGGAAGGCATTGCTAGTATAACATAATACAGTGTGAAAAATGAGTATTTTTCCTATCTTTGAGGAGGTACCAACTCAATCCATCCGTCCGTTCACAAAGGATACGATCGGAATAGCACGTCTGCGCGTGTGGTATCGTCTCTTCTCCGTCTTCTTCTTCGTCCTCTTCCCCTCCGCTCCGCATCCTTTGTTTTCACTTGCTTTGGCACCGGCGCACGTCCCTAGATGGCGCGGCCTCTCCTTTCCTCCAGGATGCCGTTGGCCACCCATCTATAGCGCCGCCTCCACCCATCTATCTCGCCGCCGACCATCGATCCACGACGTCGCTGCTTCATAAAGCCAGCCTCCCCGCTTCTTCTGCTAGCGTCTCTATCCTCCCCGCGGCAGGGTGCCCCTGCTCCCTCCCATGGCCGTCTCCGATTCTTTGTCCTTTCTGCTGCAGCCACAGGGCGCCGTTGCCTTCATCTGTCGGCTATCTCCCCCCTTGCTCTTGATCATCGTGCCCTGCCCAACTCCACACAGCACCAGAGCTCCACACTTTGACAGTCATGTCGTGTCCATAGCATGCATAGTGGTTTGTCTTGTGCTAGTATATATGCCGTGCTTCAAAGCTCGCATGAAGTATGAGTGTTCAGTATTGTGGAAGTGCCAAGTTCAGTTCCTGGAACTCTGAACCTTCTGAAACTCAAATGAAGTGGAAGTGTGGAACTCTGAACCTTCTTTGGTGTGGTACGCAGTGGTTATTTAGATCTTGTTTGTGGAATATAGGATTTGTTAGGAATTTATGTCAGACATGTATTCAGAACTTTCTGATGATGACTGTTCTTCAAGCTCCTTGTTCCTTTTTAGTTGGAGTATTGTTCTTGAAAAGGCTCTTTTGTAAACCTTTCTGTAATTAGTTGTGGTTCAGCGCATAATGATGCAATTGGCTTGCAAACAAATGCCTGGTTTGCAGGACTTCTAACTCCTTGGCACGAGGCCTCTGAAATTCGTGGATTTATATTGGCTTCTCTAGATGAGCTTCTCGAGTGAAAAGCTTTGTCTGCTTCAAGTTTCCTGGTGGCCTCGCCGTAGCCCGTAGCAGCCAATCGCCCTGGCGCGATTTGACCTTGCAGCTGCCGGCGCCCTTGCGAATTGCGATGCCCGTCCTCGCTCTGGTGGAATGGGTAGGAGGGACTAGAATGCGGCGCCGTCAGGATCGAACCGGGAGGAGGGAGGAAGCGGGAGCACTGACGGGAGGGAACCACGAAGTCGCCGGTGTTCCCTATCGGCCCACCTCCCCCGAGGTCACTGCCGCCCGGAAGACCACCGCATCGGTTGTCTCAGGCTCGTCGCCGTGTGCCCGTGTTCGCCTATACGGTTTCTGTTCGATTTGAGGAGTCGATGAGTAGACGACTGCATCGGACAGATGGTGCTCCGCTCCAACTTGATTCCTGCAAGCGAAAGTACAAAATTGCCCTCCCACCATCAACAACATTCGGTACCTGCTTTTGCGGGAGATCCTAGGCCATTAGATTGAGTGGAATGGACGGCTAGGATATGGTGCCTCCTTCACTCAAAGACTGTAAAAAGCCTCGTGAAAAATTAGGAAGGTTCAAGTATCGAAGAAGAGCACTGGTTAACATCCCCTGCAGAGCATATGAAGGCATCAAGATCACGGGTGATTTGAAGAATTTAATGGGACAGCAATGAGGAAAGCTAAGGCACTGGTCATTACATCTGTCTTGAACCAATCCTGATGACTCACAAGCTGTTCTGTTCAGTGTTTAATTGTAGAATGATGAATTCAATAAAAAAAACAAGGGTGGATAATGGAGGGAAAGATTTTCTTTTCTGTTCCTGAAGATATACATGCATTTCGCAGCATCTGGTGGGGGAGAAAGAGCCTTGCACACAATCATTGCTGATGCAAAATTCAGTCAAGATGTGCTGCATCCAATCAGAGAGACTCAATAGAGCCCATGACTCTCAATTTGCCCAACAGATACACTGCAGTCTGGTACTCCTATCATCCATCCATTCACTCATTCCTGCTCCCATTACTTCTTCAACTGTATGAGTATATGCAGTATCCTGTCCTACATGCAGTCAGTACCACATGTTCTGCAGCATAGCCTCACTGCCTCAGCACCAACCCCTACATCAACAGCTGCTGAATTCCATGAGCTGAAGCCATCCAGTTCGGTTCCAGTTGGGTGATGCATGCTTGCAAGTTGACCTTTGTGCGTATGTCCATGAACAGAAGTGATGCAGAATTGTGGATGCACATGAGGCAACAACGCCACTAAAAGCCTTGGGAAGTGGAAATGTGGAATCATCTCCATATTTTCTGCAGAGATTTGGGGAGCTACATATGCAGAATTTACATGACTAAACCCATAAAAATATCTATTCACAGTGAGTCTAATTACCTAGCTTTTCTACTGTTGCAGACAAATAGTTGCTCAGCATTTTCAGGAGGAAGATCATATACAGATATACTTACTGAAGTGGGTACCCTGGTAGTTTTCTTGCTTTGACATCACAACACTACTCCATAAATACATTGTACCACTAACTCTTGGAGCTAACTTCTGTCCTTACTAGTGGATGGTGGTGCCATAGTGGCATTGGCATAAGGGATAATGGATAGTAGAAGGGACCATTTACAGGAGCCAATACTTGAAGTGAAATGGTACATGTCCCATTAGCATCTGGACATCACACTTTCTCCCTTCTCCTAGTTGTGTCAGAGTGATGTATAACATGCTATGCTTTTGAAAGCCACTAACAGTTCACCATCAATTGGTCACACATCATGAAAGTGAAAAGGAAAAGAATAAGGACTAATAAGCATGTTGTCTTTCTGCCTGTCATTAGAATATATAGTAGTACTTTTGCCATCAGAAATAGGTTGCACAGTGTAGTGGAGAAATCACTAGGGATTAGGGAAAATAGAGTGATGCTTCTTCTTTGGAAGCATTTAGTTGCGAATAAGAATAAGTGTTTGCTCGACCTTTCATTCATCAACATTCAAGAATTCACAAAAAGAAAAGAAGCTTTAAACAGAGTGAAAAGGGATAAGCACAAGCAGACCTGCAAGAGACGTCAAGTTTTGTGCACAGATGATCTATTAACACTCAAACTTTGGTTACTCTTTTTGGTGCTATCTGAATTCTGAAATCGTATTTATCCTCTTGCTTTTAACCTTTGCAGCTGAACTACTCATCTAATCCGATTTGACAGTGACACACTCATTTCGCTCTCATTTATCAATCCATGTCAGCAAAGTTGCCAAACAATACCTCCGTACAAGGAAACCATTTTGATGAAGCTTTTCGTATCCTTTGCATTGGTCTAAACGGTAAGTAATTCTGACACGTCATTAGTTCTTCCAGCAAAGCTTGTTAAATCAACCTACTAGTCCGATTTCTTCAAGCGAAGTTATTCTCAGTTCTAATCCTCTTCTTGCTGGCGATCAAATCAGGTGCATGATAGGCGCCGCCATTAAATATATTAATTAATGACAGAATGAACTTCTTCAACATTTTGTACAACCTGATGAAATTGCATTTAAAAACATTTGTAATTCACTGGACTGTGGTTTGTATAAAGGTGTTAGGTGAAATCATGACATTTTGATCTGTACGTTGAAGTACTGAACAACTGCTTGCCGGCGAAATACGTAGTACGCCGTTCCAAGTTGGTTGCTCACTAAAACTGACCATAAAAAAGATTGGATTACCAACTGCTCAACAAGATTAACGGTGAGTGCAAGAGTCAATATATATTGTGTGAAATGAAACTTGGCAAAGTACATCGTTAAGATGCTTTCAGTAACATTTTGGGCTTGTTTGAAACGCATTCTTTGATTGATGTAGGATTTGAGCTTGTGCTTCTGCTTATGAAACATGTAGCTTTGTGCTAATGAGGCCACGTTGTTTTTATGGAAGAGTTGTTGCATGAGTACTGTGAACAGATTAGTCTGATGACATATGTGTGGAGAAATATCCTTCCATTCTGCAAGGTGGTCCTTCCAAGGCATGAATGCATCTTTACACAAATGTGATGCTAAAGGCAAGCAGGCCCTCTCTCTTTTGCTCTCATAAATCCAAAACAGAACCAAACAGAGGCTAAAAAGCAGATTATGATTAAAAGCATGCTCTCATTTACAAATAAAAGATCAAGATGACATGGTGATCACTGAGAGATATTTATAGGCCTTAATTGGAACTTATAGATTCTTGTTTGTTGTCTAGTGTGGTAATGAACTAAATCTTCTGTTTCAACATTGTTTCTATTCTAGAATAAAATCATAGACTCTTTGATTGGACGGTCCAAGATAAACCAACAAAAAAAATTCAGGTTAAAAGGGATAGAGGAAGAAAGGAGATAGGGAAAGTTGTTAGGTGCTTTTCATATGGGAAAGTTCCTCTATTTTCATCTCTACTAGATTTGAAGGTACTTGTTTTGGGAGTTAAAGCTAATGGATATGTTCAGATGTTAATCATAGCAGTAATTACCTTTGTAAATTCTAAAAGCAGTCTTTACACCAGTACAGTACAGAGCCTAGTACGTCAATACCTGCTCCAAAGTAGCCGTGCCCTGTCCTTGAAACCGCTTTACTTCTTTATCTGACTTTTGAAGCACAAATCACAAATATCCATCACCACCAACTTTCATTCAGTACAAACACCATTACTAAAAAGAAAGGGAAAAAATGATTTATTACTTCTCTCATTGTACAAACACACAGTTACATGCTCACATGCACAAGAGAATGAAAACACCACCAGCACGCAGCACACAAACTGGCAGCCACCGATTTTTTTTTAAGTTTTCTCTAGGACTAGCCAGCAGCAGTGACTGCAATTTACTACTTCTTCCATCCCAAAATAAATGCAGCCATAAATTTTCCGTGCCAACTTTGATCATCCGTTTTATTTAAAATTTTTTTACTACTAGTGTTTTTATTGTTATTAGATTATAAAACATGAATATAGTTTATACATGACTTATGTTTTTTATTTTTTTTAAAACAATTAAATAAAACAGACGATCAAAATTGAAGAAAGAAACTCATGGCACCCGAGACATTGATTGAATTTTAATTAATCTTTTCTCTGCAAACCAAATAATTTATGGAATACTGAAAACGTGCTGTAAATTTTTAATTGAAAAGCATATACTTTTCTTTGCAAACAAAAAGTATAAAAAAAAGAGAGAAAGAAATTAGCCATTTTCTTGCTCCTCTCCTCTGGGGGTTGGTTGCAACTTGCAGAGCCCCTGAGATTGTGCGGTTGGGTTTATATAAGCACGCTGCCTTCGCCATCTCCATTTCCACAAACACCTTGCAGTTGCAGAGGAGGAGTTCACTTCCACAATGCGGCGCCTCCTGCTCCTCCCGCTCCTGGTGCTCGCCGGGGCGGCGGTCGGCGGGGGCGTCGTCCCCGTCGCGGCGCGGTCGGCGTTCGCGTGCGCGGCGGGCGGGCCGGCGGCGACGCTGCCGTTCTGCAGGCGGTCGCTGCCGGCGCGGGCGCGGGCGCGCGACCTGGTGGCGCGGCTGACGCGCGCCGAGAAGGTGCGGCTGCTGGTGAACAACGCCGCCGGCGTGCCGCGGCTGGGCGTCGCCGGGTACGAGTGGTGGTCGGAGGCGCTCCACGGCGTGTCCGACACGGGGCCCGGGGTGAGGTTCGGCGGCGCGTTCCCCGGCGCCACCGCGTTCCCGCAGGTCATCGGCACCGCCGCGTCGTTCAACGCCACCCTCTGGGAGCTCATCGGGCAGGTACGTTCCACACTTAACACTGTGTCGCCGGCATTGTCGCCGTCGCCGGCGCCGTGGCGCGCGCGCGGCGCGGACACGGGACGCCGCGGCGCGCGTGCGGCGTGCGCGGCGCTTTTGCTTTTGTCGCGGTTTTGTTGTTGTGCGTGCATGTGATGCCTCTCTTCGTCATGTCTGTGCGCGCCATGGCGTCCTTGTCTGTGTCACTCGCTACTGTGCGTCGCGCTTGTCTCAGGTTCTGTCCTTCTCTATTTTTTTTCTATGGTTTATACTCTCTCTCTCTCTTCTAAAATATAAATCTTCCACGCAATCTTTAAAATACTACTTTAACCAATAAAATATTTTAAATGAAAAGTTACATATTATGATAGTTTATTTAATAGTAAATCTAATAACATCAATTTTAGATGAATGATCTTTTTGATTTTTTGCTATTAATAGTTAAAATTAAAAATATTTGACTTATCACTATTCTAGAAATGTTTTTATTTTGGAATAGAATGAGTAGTTTTTTACTTGGTAGTGCCAATGATTTTGGGTACGAATCTTAAAGCACATATCTCACGGTCCATAATACTTGGATAGAGCACTAGCATCCTTGCCACCACTTTGCTTAATAATGATGCGTGTCCACAAAATTTTCAATCTTTATAACAGAAAATGTTATTTTTTGGTGAACAAGTGTAAGATGTAGTGAACAAAACCTTTTTGTATGCATGGCAGTTCTCAAACTTCAAGCACATAATGTTTGCAAGATAAAAGTTTGTGGAAATTTTACATGAACAAGTTTTTATTCAGTTATGAGTTGGCCTAAATATCTGCATGAGCAAAGAGGGTCACTGTGACACTGGCCCAGCAATAGCATCTGCTGGATCATGGTTGGTGGAATGGATAGAGCACTGGAGTTGTATTATTATTTTTGTGTGGAGCCTACAACATGTGTGATTACAAAGAAGAAAAGGCTAATGATCCATATGCCCTTTTGGCCTTTTTGCAAGTGACTGCTTTTAACCTTTCAAGGGTACTTTGTTTCTGGTTTGTTTGATTTTACTGGCGTTTTTGGTACTAGTGGTGAACTGATTTGCTCTGCATGCATTTACTAGCTATTTTTTTTGTTAATTTAGCTTCACACAAATGGTATATGTGTGTAGTACTTATCTTTTTGTAGATAAGACATTAGAGCTTGCGTCTAGACATAATGTTAGGCACTAATTGTGAGTTAAGGCACCGTGTTTGTACATGGTCTGTCTTAGCAAAATGACAAGCAAGCAATGCACATGCTATGCTCTGCTCTACACTGAAGAATATATCTAGATCTCATGCATGTATTAGGCTAACTGTGATGTGACATTCTACCTTAATCATTGTGTTATTTTACCATTGTTAGCCCTGTAAAAGCATGCATGCATCATGCACCTTTCATAACCAAAAACTGGTGGTGAGAAATAGACTATGTCCTAATATTTGATCAAAACAATAACATGCACTTAAATTTAGTTTAGAAGTTCATTATCATCAATGGACAAAACTTTAGGACCCAAGAGTGATGCACACCTTGCTAGTGTGTCCAAGTCCAAAAAGGAAGGACATAATGGAATTCCTAGTGTCCTATATAGTGTGCTGGCCAATGGTGTGCAAGATACAGGGGTGCAGCCATGTGCAAGCCAGCCTAGCCAAATCTAAAACTTTTGAGCCCCATTCTGATATCTTATCTTAGCTAATTAAGAAAATATTTTTCAATGTGTAAATGTGTAAAGTTGGTACACCTTAATTAAAGGTGATGCCCATTCTGAAAGGTGGCCATGCAAGATGCAACCAACGGCCAAGGTGAAGTGTAGGAGGCAGCTAGCAACTATTTACATCAGAAGAGTCCATAAGGATAGAGTTATGATATGTTGCTCTTGTTATTGTAGTCATAGCATATTGCCCACCTTTATTCTCTCATTTTAGCATGTCCTTCTCTCTTCATCACTAAAATTCTGGCAAAGTTGTTTGCACTGAATTTTGTTTACCATAATCAGTGCTAAGCTTTAACTTTAGCTTTAGATCAAACCTTTTTGGCCTTTTGCCTTTTTGTTATTACATATATATTGAATTCCATTCATATCATGGCAGTGGCGAAGCTAGAAAAACTTTTTTTTAGCTCAAACAAACTTCATTATAACTATCATTTGCTATAGAAATTCTATCATCAATTTAATTATTCAACAATATTAAAAATTTAATGGAGTTTTCGTCGGCGAGCCGAGCGGCGGGCTAGCCCTCCCCGTGTCATGGTGAATTCATATAATGGCCATTTTACTCCTAATTACCCATTGGTAGGTATGGCAGTTCAACAATTCAGTGAAACCATTTGTCGATCTAGGATCTATGATCAATTGATCAGTAGTGCTCCAGTACAATGTGATCCATAGGTTGTTGACTTGTTTGTAGAGCTGCAGTTGGTAGTATACTTGCAGAACAAGATCTTCAGATGCCTCATTTATGGCTCTCTCAAGATTAGCAAGACAAGAGTACTGTATTAGGAGTAGTTGAGGCCTTCAAGGCCCAAACAGTGGTCACAAATTGGACCTTCAGGGCAAGTTGCTGGACCTGTGTCTGATCTGATCTCTGCATGTCTTGTTTCCAAAGAGATAGAGAACCTGCAGACATTTTTTTAAAAAAAAAAATCTTCTGAAATTTGCAGAGGAATTCGATCACGAGCGTGAATGTGAGCACAAGCACACGGTTGAGAATTCACGTGCGAATGCAGTGTTGCATAGTAACTTGGTTGAGTACACGATAGGGTACACGGCCATGTGATTGCAGGAGAGTCAATTATATATTTGATCCTGCCTCGTGATTCGTGCTCCACTGTGATCAAAACCATGACTCGTTGTCATCCTGCCCATGATGAACAATCCATAGAAAGATTCTTCTTTTTATATTTTAGGAGTATTTTTTTACTAGTCAGGACTATCTGGTTTTCAGGTTTCTCATCATTCTCATCCCCTCTACTATTAATTATTCAAAATAATTCAGTCAAAAAAAATATTCATAACAAAGTATTTTTTTAATAGAACTATACAATTATTTAAGCTTAAACAAAAATTAAGTAAAACTATATAATGCAACCCAGTCTTCGAAAATGCTCGTAGAGATAGGGTTTACGTAAATAGTTTATGTGCGTGCGTTCATAGGGATGGGTGTGCGTGCGTTGTAATATGTAATTCGAAAAAAAAAATTACAGGCAAAATGAAATACAACGGCACATGTTAGTACATTGCAATTTTAAGCTAACCAAATACCAAAATGTTTACTTCAGGTGACAAGAAAAAATAGTATAAATTCTTAGATGTCTGAAATCTAGCAAATTCCTTTTGTTATTAATCCATGTATGTATTTATGTGTGTGTTTTATATTAGAGTTATTAATTCATGTATTTCTTCAGCTGTATACGTATATCTGTATTCATGTACGTGTACGTATGCGCACAGGCGGTGTCCGACGAGGGTCGCGCGATGTACAACGGCGGTCAGGCGGGGCTGACGTTCTGGAGCCCCAACGTGAACATCTTCCGCGACCCGCGGTGGGGCCGCGGCCAGGAGACCCCCGGCGAGGACCCCGCCGTCGCCGCCCGCTACGCCGCCGCCTACGTCCGCGGCCTCCAGCAGCAGCAACCCTCCTCCGGCCGCCTCAAGCTCGCCGCCTGCTGCAAGCACTTCACCGCCTACGACCTCGACAACTGGTCCGGCACCGACCGCTTCCACTTCAACGCCGTCGTGACGCGCCAGGACCTCGAGGACACCTTCAATGTCCCCTTCCGCTCCTGCGTCGTCGACGGCCGCGCCGCCAGCGTCATGTGCTCCTACAACCAGGTCAACGGCGTGCCCACCTGCGCCGACGCGGCGTTCCTCCGGGGAACCATCCGCCGCCGGTGGGGGCTCGCAGGCTACATCGTCTCCGACTGCGATTCGGTTGATGTGTTCTACAGCGACCAGCACTACACGCGGACCAGGGAGGACGCCGTCGCGGCGACGCTCCGGGCGGGGCTCGACCTCGACTGCGGCCCGTTCTTGGCGCAGTACACCGAGGGCGCCGTCGCGCAGGGGAAGGTCGGCGATGGCGACATTGATGCCGCGGTGACGAACACCGTCACGGTGCAGATGCGGCTCGGGATGTTCGACGGCGACCCGGCGGCGCAGCCGTTCGGGCACCTGGGCCCGCAGCACGTGTGCACGGCGGCGCACCAGGAGCTCGCGGTGGAGGCGGCGCGGCAGGGGATCGTCCTCCTCAAGAACGACGGGCGGGCGCTGCCGCTGTCGCCGGCGACGGCGCGCCGCGCCGTCGCCGTCGTGGGCCCGCACGCCGAGGCAACGGTGGCGATGATCGGGAACTACGCCGGGAAGCCGTGCAGGTACACAACGCCGCTGCAGGGCGTCGCCCGGTACGCCGCGCGGGCCGCGCACCAGCCGGGATGCACCGACGTGGCGTGCGCGGGAAGCGGCCAGCCGATCGCGGCGGCCGTCGACGCCGCTCGCCGCGCCGACGCGACCATCGTCGTCGCCGGCCTCGACCAGAAGATCGAGGCCGAGGGGCTGGACCGCGCGAGCCTCCTCCTCCCTGGCCGGCAAGCGGAGCTCATCTCGTCGGTGGCGAAGGCGTCGAAAGGGCCGGTGATCCTGGTGCTCATGTCCGGTGGCCCCATCGACATTGGGTTCGCGCAGAACGACCCGAAGATCGCCGGAATCCTGTGGGCTGGGTACCCCGGCCAGGCCGGCGGGCAGGCCATTGCTGACGTCATCTTCGGCCACCACAACCCAGGTAGTACATAATCCAAGCAACATTTCATTTCATTTTCATTCAGAGTGCTTCAAAAATATCAAAATTTTATAATCTTTCCAACAGGGGCGGATCTAGAAAAAAATAGTAGTGGGGGCTAAATAAACTACATCAATATAAATCGAACCTCCAGTCCTCACATCCTATGGATCTATGGAAAAAAATTTAGTGGGGGCTTAGGGGGGTCTCCACTGTTCCGGGGGCGGTAGTGGGGTCTCAAGACCCCTCCGCCCCCATTGTGGATCCGCCCCTAGTTTCCAATGAAAAGGAGATTGATTGTGAAATTTGACTAATCTTTTCAAAAAGGAGATTAAAGTCTTGTTTGAATCTAACGAAGATAAAAAAATGATGGTACGTAAAATGATAAAGTCATTAACACAAGATTACTTAAGTTTTAATTTATTACAAACTTAAAAAATGTATATGTCTGATATTTTAAAACAAAAGACGCGAATATTATGGAATGATCTAATATCAAATAATTAGAAGGGTTGAGACTTCAAACCCAGATCATTTAGGCCACCACCTGCGAAGATAGAAGACCCCTAAACGTTTCTCTAATATTTTAAAATAACATCAGCATAAAAAATTCCGTACAAAATACATCGTTTAGCAATTTAAAAAGCATACTAATAGAAATCGAGAAAAAAATATGTATCTTAATCAAGTTAATTTGGAATTTGGTTTGTTGTGTGTTCCTGCAGGAGGGAAGCTGCCGGTGACATGGTACCCGCAAGATTACCTGCAGAAGGTGCCGATGACGAACATGGCGATGCGCGCCAATCCGGCCAAGGGCTACCCCGGCCGGACCTACCGCTTCTACACCGGCCCGACCATCCACCCCTTCGGCCATGGCCTCAGCTACACCTCCTTCACCCACTCCATCGCCCACGCGCCGTCGCAGCTCACCGTCCGCCTCTCCGCCCACCACGCCGCCGCCTCCGCCTCCGCCTCGCTCAACGCCACGGCTCGCCTCAGCCGCGCCGCCGCCGTGCGCGTCGCGCACGCGCGGTGCGAGGAGCTGAGGATGCCGGTGCACGTCGACGTCAGGAACGTGGGAGAACGCGACGGCGCGCACACGGTGCTCGTGTACGCCGCGGCGCCGGCGTCGTCCGCGGCGGAGGCGGCGGCGGGCCACGGCGCGCCGGTGCGGCAGCTGGTGGCGTTCGAGAAGGTGCACGTGGGCGCCGGCGGGACGGCGAGGGTGGAGATGGGCATCGACGTGTGCGACGGGCTCAGCGTCGCCGACCGGAACGGGGTCCGAAGGATCCCCGTCGGCGAGCACCGCCTCATCATCGGCGAGCTCACGCACACCGTCACCATCGCCCTCGAGCAGCTAGGGGTATAGAAAGAAAGCCACTCTCATCAATTAAAAGCATAGGATTATTCAACAAGATTTGGAATTGTATCTTTTGGGTGTTGATGATGATTTGTGGATTGTTATTGTTGGTGCCACTGCCACTGTCTCTACAAAGGTAGAGAGAGCAATTGGAAAGGCATCACATTGCTATTGGAAATTTGGAATTGATCAAGTATTCAGGTTCAAACAATTGAACTGAAGAAATACATAAGATCATTCATTACTTGTTCTTCTTCTGTTGTCCAAAATACACTCCATTTTTACAGTTGATTTTGGCAGATGGACTACCTGCATTGTAAGTACTGTGATCTGTAATGTTATCCAAAGTACTGCAGGTCTGACCTCATGTTCTACTGCGAACAGGGTCAGTTCTTTTGCTAGTGCTGTTCACTGTTTATACTTGTCGTACTCCAAATCTTGTGCAGTTCTGAATCTTTGATTTCTTCTGTTTGGTCCAAAACCGTGTGTTGCTCTTTTTTCTAGGCCCAACTGCCCACAGGTTTCTGGTAGAAATTTTTCTAAGTGACTAGTTCAGCGCAAAGTTTGGATTTTGGTTGAAATTGGAGATGATGTGACTGAAAAGTTGTGTGTGTATGACATGTTGATGTGATGGAAAAGGACTGAAGTTTGGATCCAAACACAGCCTAAAGCCCATAGCCCATAGGTTTGTTTGGTCATGACAAAACAGACAAACAAATGAGGTTCAACTGAGCAAATTCCTGCCTAATACAGTGTTCATTCAACTCATCATTTCTAAAAGGAGTTTAAAAAGGTCAAGCCTTCTGTCACATGTAACACAAGTTCTCCTACGCTGACTCCTCTCTTGGAACTTCAGACTTCAGAGAATTGCCATTGAGTAGAAATAGTACTGTACAAGTAAAGCTCTGTTTCTTTGTTGTTAATTTGTGTGGATTATGAGAATCAATCAATTAACTTAAATTGCTTCCTATAAAATTAATGAGGAAATATTATAACTTAATGCGTTCTAGATAAGCTTCCAGAACTTTCCTTGCAAGCAAGCACTAGTACTCCATTGACTAGTCTTTCATTTCACACTCTGTGCTTAAGTTGAGTTCAATTTCATTTCCAATCACACAGATTTGCTCTCTTCTTCTTCTTCCTCCATTCAATCTCTCGGAATCCGAACCCTAGCCTGGTAGGGTGGGGGCACGATGGGGTGGGCGGCGCGGTTCCTCACGGCAGTGTCCTTCCTCGCCGCCGGCGTGCTCTTCGCGCCGGACGCTCTCCTCGGTGGCTCCGGCCGCTCCGGCGCCGGGGTCGCGGCGGCGAGGCTGGCGCACGTCCTCTGCTTCGCCACCGCCTGGGGCGCCGCGCTCTGGGTCACCTTCATCGGCGGCATCGTCATGTTCAAGTAAAGAGCTCTCTAATCGCTTCCCTATCTATCAGCTCCATTTTAGTGGAATTTTGGGTTTTCACGTCGATTATTGTTGCTGTTAGATTTTTCGTAAGTGTTACTATGTTGTAAACAGTATCAGATTTTGTCAAATTTAAGCGGAGAGCTTGCATAGTCTTGCTGTCTTGGCCATGCTCAAAATGCTAATTTGGTTGTTCCTAGGCTCCTAGCAGTTTGGGTTTGACCCTAGAATAGTATCCTTGCCCAAACGTTCATCCAGTTTTTTACTTTTGGTTCTAGGATTTCATTTTAGTAAAGATTGCGTGTTTATATGCTTGTAAGCACAGAATCCCAATTTACAACCTATAGGATGGAACACTAATTTCTAACTTGGAATTACTGTATATTTGGTTATTTGGATAATGGAGAGATTTGAGATGTTAAATTCTCTTATTAAAACTTTAAACCTGCTGTGACTGTCATGCTTGAGCTCACCATTTTGGCATTTGGCCTGGAGAACTTTTCAGAACTCTTTCATGGTTTCACCAATGTTCATGGTGCCTTTTGCAAGCAAGTTGGATTATTGTGTAAGCTGCATGTTTCAGAGTAATACGTAGTGTGCATTTCAGAAAGCACTGTCATCTGTTCAGTTGTTCAAATGCGCCTTCAGTGTTGTATTATTATACCCACATAGTACATGCTGCTTTGTGATTTTGCAGAAAAAATATCACCTAAAACCAGAAATGCAGCATCTATTTTGGTTATTGATCCACCAAGTGCAAGTTGTTTACTCCAAAATATTTCAGAATAAGGCTACTGACATTGCTTTGATGTATTCTTTAAGGTATTTGCCAAGGCACCAGTTTGGGAGTCTACAAGGGAAAATGTTCCCAGCCTACTTCATGTTGATATCAGTATGCTCGGCTATATCAGTGGCAGCTTTTGCGTATCTACATCCTTGGAAGACGGCATCTACCATTGAGCGCTATCAGCTTGGATTCTTGATCTCCGCCCTTGGTTTTGACCTTTCCAACCTTCTGGTTTTCACGCCCATGACCACTGAGGTAAATCTTTTTTACCATTTTTCTGCTTTCTTTATGTTACGATTTTTGCTTTTCACCTAACTCTACTTGCATTGCATGAAATTTAAGCTTGATAAGTAAATGTCCATGTAATGTAATGTAATGTAGATTTTTTTTTGAAGGCGATAAAGTATAGGTGGATCAATTCATGTTGATTAAAAAGTCCGACTGAAGTGCGACAGTGAGGCCTAAGGAATAAATGACTTTTTGTTGCATTTTATTTTCAGGAATGAACATATGTAGTAACCTGGTAGTGGTTTCCATAGGTAGCACGCACTAGCACCGGCTAAATAACATGCAACTATGCAAGTGCTTGACACAGGGGCACTTGCTCTTATCTTAGTTTCCAATCAGCTTAGCAATATAGCTTTGGGAATTGGGAAAGTAAGTAAACCTTTATAGTTCTAACATAGAAAAGTTTCTGGCTTAATGTAGTCAAACACCATGTTTTTGGTCTTACGGTTGCATAGTCTTGAATCATTTGTGTGAGCCGGCAGTTTGCAGGGTGTTACTGCAGAACAGTAAGAGATATACCTTTATTCTTCAATTGAATTTGAGTTTGGATTGCTCCTACCTTGTGAGCCATCATTCAGTGCTCAACATTCGTCTTCTGTTATGCTCTTGACAAGTTGCAGCGAATGATGATTGCTGAAAACAAACATCCTGTAGCCCCAACATTGCTTCACTTCAGGGTGCTCTTTTGTAGTACCTATCAATATACAGTTTTGAGTTTTGACTTAGGCTTCTTTCTACAGATGATGATGAGGCGGCACAAGATCGAGAAAGACCTCGGCATCGGCAGCGAGGTCGGGTTTTCGAAGAACGCGGAGGTGGCGAGGACGAACCCAACGCTGGCGGCCATGAACAAGAAGTTCGGGATGATCCATGGCCTGTCGTCTCTGGCCAACATCATGGCGTTCGGTAGCCTTGCAATGCACTCCTGGTACCTCGCCAGCAAGCTCCAGATCTGACGGCATCATCACCACTGCTTCTCCCATGTCTCCATGTTCTGTGCCTCTGAGTTCTGAAGCTTGTTGCCGTAAGCTGCTGATCAAAAGTTGTATACTAGGTTTATGTAACAGATAAACTGATGAAGGAACTTGTGATAGAAACTTTGCAATAATTTGGAGAAATGATGTACAGATCGCTGGGTGTTTGTTTTGATTTGTTTCAATGCATTACAAATACTACGAGGGAGATACCTTTCTCGCTGATAAATTGAGCCGGCATTTTGGAGAAGAAAATGGCTTGGAAGAAGGCCGAACTGTCCACTTATTATATGGGCCGCACTTACCACATTCGCTTTCCGGCCCACATATAATACGGCCCGCATGCTCACCTCAACCCGTACCGGCCCAACTGGATGGGCCGCACTGAGCTCACAACACTTACAAGCCCATATATAATGGGCCGCAACGAGCTCGTAATTTTGTTACGGCCCACATATATAGGCCGCACAGAGCATGCAAATTCCTTTCCGGCCCATTAGAAATTTCGTAAGTGGTCCACTTCGAATTGGAACATCACGGGGTTGCACGAATCACGGAGCGAAACGTGGCCGCGCGGTTCAGACCTCCGCCGCGCGCCGCCGATGGCCGGCGACGGCGAGCCGCCGGCGCTGTCCGCCGCGGTGACGACGCCGGACGGGTGGCACCCGCGCACGGCGGAGCGGCGCCTCCTCCACCTCCTGCACCACTCCCCTCCCGCGCGGCGGCGGCCGCTCGAGCTCCTCGCCTTCGCCGTCCGACACTGCCTCCCGTCGTCGCCGCCGTCCCCGCACCACCACTCCCTCGCCGCGCTGCTGCTCCTCTCCTCCCCGCCGCCGCCGGCTCTCCCGCTCCTCCGCCTCGTCCCGCCTCACGCGCCGCCTCCGCTGCCTCTCCTCAACGCCGCCATCAAGGCCCTCTCGGCCTCCTCGCCGCCGCTCGCGTTCCGGCTCCTCTCCTCTCTCCGCCGCCTCCACGCGCCCGACCGCCTCTCGTTCCTGCCCCTCCTAGGTTGCGTATCGTCCCTTTCTCTCCTCTCCGCAGTCCACGCGCTTCTTCTCCGCCTCGGTTTCCTTTCACATCACGCCATCTCTCTCGCGCTCCTCAAGCCATATCCTCTCCACTACGCCCGCGTCCTGTTTGACGAAATGACGCAGAGGAACAAGTGCACCGTCGCCTACAACACACTCATCACGGCCTGTTTCCGAGCTGATGATCTTGGTGCCGCACGCCACCTGTTCGACGAAATGCAGAGATACAGGCGCTCCAGGAGGAGCGTGGTTTCTTGGAATGTTATGATCGCGGGGTGTGCTTGGTGCAAGAAGGATGACATTGCGGTCTTGTGCTTTGAGAGGATGGTCAGGGAGGGGGAGGTGGCACCGGATGATGGGACCCTTGCTGCTGTGCTGCCGGTCTGTGGGAGGTTGGGGAATGTCGGGGTGGGGAGATGGGCACATGAGCATGCACGTAAGAGTGGGTTGCTAGACAGGAAAGTACATGTTGCAAATGCAGTGATGGATATGTATTGCAAGTGTGGTGATGTTCATAGTGCAAGGGAGGTATTCAAGGGAATGCGACAGCGGAGTGTGGTGAGCTGGAACACCATGATTTCAGGATTTTCATTGAATGGCCATGGGATTGAGGGCATTGAGCTTTACCGAGAGATGAGGACACACGGTGAGATGCCCAATGAAGTGACATTTCTGGGGGTGCTTGGCTGCTGTGCGCATGCTGGGGCTGTGGATGTTGGGAGGGACATCTTCCAGAGCATGCAGCTAGAGCATGGTATTGAGCCAGTAATTGAGCATTATGGTTGTATGGTAGATTTATTTGGAAGATCTGGCCTTCTTGAGGAGGCATATGCATTGATTCAAGGGATGCCAATGAGACCTAATGCTGCGATATGGGGTGCACTGCTAAGCGCATGCCATGCTCATTCTGGGATTAGCATAGCTGAGGTGGCACTGAAAGAACTTATTAACCTTGAACCATGGAACTCAGGGAACTATGTCCTGTTGGCCAATCTTTATGCGGAAACAGGACGATGGGAGGAGGCAGGGGATGCGAGGAGACTGATGAGGAGGATGAGTGTGCAAAAGGCTCCAGGGCAGAGCTTAATCGAAGAAACCGAGTTTCAGTTCACAAATACATGATATAATTGTCAGTGAACTGTGTGGAACTGCGGAAGTACACAACCCCAGAGGGCCAAAATGTGGAAGTCTACAAAGGCTGGTCATTTCAGGTAACAGTTCCTGGTCTTTATGCATTTTGTATTCCCTTAACATTTATTTTAGAATGGTGAACTGAATAGGAAGCTTTACTCAATAATCTTTACTAAGGACTTAATGCCCAGTAATGGATATAATTCATGATTAATTTGGGAGCTATGGCCTATGGATGCACTAGATACCTTAATGGATATAATTCATGATTAATTTGGGAGCTATGGCCTATGGATGCACTAGATACCTTAATAGTTACAGTAGTTGAAATAACAAGATGTAATGTTCAACTTCTACTATAGTCAATATAGGTTATTTAATGTTTCATGGGTCTATGGAGGTCCTACTCATTACACTATTAACTGACAACAAAGTTAACAAGATAGTTGTGACAAAAAATATTTTTCTGGGAAGTCCTATTGCTAGTGGTCATCCTGAAAGTTACAGTGAAGTTTTCAAACTTCCAATGGAAAATTGGATATGAGAGTCATGAATTCTGCATTCTTTGGACCGATTTAACGATTTTACTCCTTTGTTTTATAATGCACCACAAGGAACAGCACACTAATAAGAATTAAGTACTAAGTACATGCATATTTGAGCACCTCTAGCCCTCAGAACAACGAAGTGTGTGCATACATTAGTAAAGTTTATTATTACTCTAACTATGAACAGATATGTATTCGTTTCTTATGTATATGTCAAATGTCAATTCCCACATGATAATATGACATACGGGAAAGCTAACCTTTTCTGCAATTAAAATTCAGCTATAGCATGATTGCTATAAATTTTGCGATAGTTCTGGTTATTAGTTCCGCACACGCGATTCATATTCCTCGATTAGTTCAGATATTGTAAACTTCCAACAAAGCTTAATTGTCACCTATATTTGTTGGTAGGATCACTTCTGAACTACACTCAATAGTCTAGCTGAAACTGAAACTGAAAATGAGCTGAAAAGCTTACTTATGTTAGCACAATAGCTATATTTATAGTACATGGATAGGTCGGTTGCTGAACCGACAATACTGCTGCTGCTATGTTCCAGCTAGAGGTAAAATCAAAATTGACTACTACCACTAATAGCAGCTGTCTGACAACCGAGTAACAGCTGCAGCCTATAGCTTACTGCCTAAGGAAACCAAATAACTAACTAGAACAAGGATTATACTAACAATATTATCTATATAATCTATGCATGTGGGTGATATATCTAGTAATAGAAGTGTTTTTAGAACATTTCTCTCTAATGTAGCAGATATCTTCCTTGCAGAATTTACGTTATTACATGTTAGTAGAGGCTTGGCACATTTAGTTCCTGACATCTTGTATATGCATTATTATAAATGAATACTTACTTTTTATCTAAAATTAAAAATACTTATAGTCATAATATCTATAAATAGTAGCATATCCGTTACTCATTTTCTTTTAACACAAGTTATAACTATTGCTCTGCCAAGTGCCAACAGTTAGTTTTACTACAGCTAAGGAATTGAAAAATAAAACATTGTCTAAAGATCAGAGACTTCTGACATTTCGAGAGTAGGGAACTTTCATAGTTCTGAATTTACAGTTTATGGTTGTCTATGCAGACAGCAGGCTGTTCACTCTTTTAGCATTATTACTTGGGCTGGGCACAAAAAGGGGTACTGAAAGGAACTAGACTACTAGAGAGAGGCTATAGCATGCTGTCGTCATATAAAAGGTAATCCGACGCTGTAACACGTACAGAATGCTAGCAAACATACGGAAACAAAATTTAACACAGGGACCTATACTCATATTGGCCCCGGCACCAACCTTGGCATATTCCTTTTGTGGGCTCCTCTAAAAATGGTGTAACTAGCTTCCCAAGAAAAAAGAAAACAAATAAAAAGGATGCTGCCTAGAAGCATGAGAAATTTCCGTGTTGGGCCTTGTGATTTTTGTCCTGTCTTCATTTTTTACTGCTCCTTGTAAGTTGTTGCCCCACTCTCATCTTAAAAACCGCAAAAAGGCATGGAAGATGCAAAAGGGAAAGGAACCATTTTGATCTTTATCCTTCCATCCAAAGCTCTTGCATTTAGCTAGTATATATTTATGCATTTATTTTGACAAACCTGATATCTTATGATTGCATTGTGCATATTTATGCATTGGTTTTGCTGACATATGGATCTATGTCTAACTTGAATCCCATACAATTGTGTGTTCTTGAGGTAAGATGTTCTAGTTAGATTTATAATTCTCTCTAATTAAAATAAGCAACAGAAAGATCTGTCAGGATATTCTATACTTATCAAGCTGACTTGAACTTGCTTCAAGAGTTGAGCCTCAGTTACTTCAATCTAGAAAGATCAATTCTTTGTAATGCTAATACGACGGACAGTAATAGCATGTTTGCTGATTTTCTTGTGGGATACTAAGGAGGGACTTAGTATCAATGTATTTAAGAGAGAGGGAAGGTGAGGAACCAGGGATCGAACCCAGGCCGTTAAGCTACTCCACGTTTGCTTAGTTTCTTGCTGGGAATGAAATCAGATAGAACAGCATGCAAGGCTTGGTTGGGCACATATTAGAAAATTTTGAATTCTTCTTTTAAAATGTCTTATATGTTTCTGCATGAGATAATTTATCCAATGATCTTGCTTCTGCAAAAATTTGGCATCACCAGATAATAGATGCAAAAGAATGCATGAATATTCCTGTACAGATTAGTGTCAATGAGCCAATGACCCATGTGTTATCCTTCCTAATTTCTTCCAACGGGGAGATAAAGAGATACTCTTGTTTTCTTTAGATGTATAATAAGTGATACTCTTTGTTTGCACAATCACATTCACATGCAGCCCACCTTTGGATTCTCTCTAATCTGCTCTCATTTTGATGCATTCAGGTCCCCACAAACATGTAAGGGGAAGGCACTGGCATTTCTTGTTTTATCTACTGCCCATGAGGCCCCTCAAGTTGCTAACAACTTTTTTATTCTCAGGAACTCTATGGCCCCCGTGTTGCCACACACTGAAGGGGCCACATTGGCTTCTCCGTCTGGGGATCGACGCGCCGGTTGCGCGGTGTAGGCCGGCGGTGACACCGGTGGGAGGCGCAACAGCAGTTGACCCCGCTGCTAAATGCCAGTGGTCCAGGGGAGCAAGCATAATCCCCAAGCAATATGGTCTTTCAACAGCGGCCATATAGTGAATCCAGCAGAAGATATGCATGCTGCTGTATCCTAAACCGGTGCATATTTTCGTCCCACTTCGATTCTTAATTTCTCGCAAGTATTATAAGGTCGATTAAACTAGGAACAATCATTCAATGTAACTTATAATTCTTATGTGCTTCTAAAAGAGGGGAATGAAATGTTTAGTGATGTGGCGCTCCAATGATGAAGTACTACCGGCATTTTCTATTCATGGTTATTTCAGTGTCCTGGCGACCTTATTGCATCTCGGCGCACGAGTGTCTTTGCTATTGGAGGTCAGCAAAGCTTTTCTTTGCAAGCTTTATCCATAAGAATCTTAAAGGCTTTATGGATTCCTTATTTTAGTGTGATCGTGATGATAGGCATTTACGCTTTCCCTGAATCTTTTTTTTGCAGTGCTGTGAGCCTGTGATGTGCGAAACAGCTGCATATCTGTGCGACTCTGGAAAATAAATATCAGGGAGGAAAGGTTGCTGGCAAGTACTCCTACCTCAGACCAAGTTTGATTTAAGGTATCTGGAGATGCCATCCATCATTATATGTGAGAGTATGAAAATGAACTTCCTTTTCTAGTCAAAGCCTCAAAGTCCACACGGTTAGTGAAAGTCTTAAGTCTCTGCAGGTTAGAATGGGCCTGGCTCCGTTCTTTTCTATATAGAAATTATTTTAAAATATTATATAAATCTATTTTTAAGTTTATAATAATTAAAACCTAATTAATTATATATTAATGGTTTTCTTGTTTTCCGTACCCCAACTTCATCTTCATCTTCGATAGAAATGAACACCATCTAAGAATTAAAGAATATAATCAGTGATGTCTCTTTTTCTAGTTACCTTTAAAAATAATTTCATTTATGATCGTAATATTTCTACAAGTGATCAAACAATCAATTTCCAGATCCATGTCGACTGTCAGAGTTACTATAGTCATTACTACATTCTTAAATTCTTCCAACTACTGTACAAAACTCTATTTTCATCCCTTTCAAAGCTGGCATTTTGATGGCCCTACCCCTGCATGAACCAGGACATACTATGCTCCCAGCGAAAGAACACAGCAAGGCATGGCGCCTTTCGTTTCATCCCTGCATCGGACTATATTTATTGTGGTTTGCCTTGAGGTACGGTGACATGCTTGCTTCGGAAAGGAACACACATGGATGGGAGGCTGGTATTGTCACATCCACATGCCTGAATTCTCACTTCGTAATCTTTTTCCCCTTCAGCTTTCCTTGTGCTGGAGAGTGCAGTTGCTGCGTGTTGCTGGTGACTGTCCGGATGAAGTTGCCATGCAACTGTGACCTTTATCATGTTGTCAACTCAACTTCAAAGTGGTATGGTTGCTTCCTCTCCCAAAAATCTTTCCCTTTCTCTCTTTTTCGTTGAAATGGATTGAAATACTGGTAGGAGTATGATAGTACTAGAATGAAGAATCAACACAGTACAGATGGTTATTAGTCGGTTAATCTGTTACTAAGAGTAAAGAAATGCACCATTGTTGCGTTGGGTTTGACAGATCTTGACACGAAGCGTGTGACTTTTTGCAGCACACGCATGCAGCGCTGAACAACTTATGGTACAAGCATCCAAAGTGCATGCTTCCAACAAAAAGTGAAAGAGGTGACTTATCTTGGTTAGGCCTAACAAGTTAAGGTAAAACAAACTTGATAAAAATTTTGTTTCTGTTTGGAATTTGCTCCTGGTGCTATTAGCTTGGTTGCAGTGTTGTACTGATGTTTAGACTTGTAGCTAGTGACTTACTAGTAACTGTGACTTTGTGAGTTCCTTTTGTTATTGCTAGTACTAAAAGAATAGGGTCTCGATTAGGGACAAGTCGCGCCAGGACGGTGAAAGGCCGTTTATTCGGTTACCTTGGTTAGGTAAATAATCACCGCAAAGTAAACAGTAGTTTAGCATAGATTAACACAGCTCGTTGTTCTGTCCGTGATAAAATTACTGAGCCCGAGGCACAAAAGATAAACGACATGTCATCTGTCACGTGAGATGTACTTGAGCCTGTCGTCCCAGCTCGAATGCATGACATAATAATCGAGAATAAAAGATGATGTTACCCCCACTGTTAAGCAAAACCAGCGGAAGAGAATAATCCAGCCCTTTTTTTCTTAGTAGTTTTGATTCTGTTTGAGCAATAATTTTGATGTAAAAATCTCTTAATAACATGAGAAAAGCTGTTCTTGATCTCTGTACTGTTTGGTTTGGTTTTCAGAGTCGACATCTTACCCCTAGAAACTCACCTTTGTTAGCTTTATTGGTTCCTACAAAAAGAACTCATTTGATACTACAAAAGGCTTTGGAGAAGATTGTGATGGAAGCCAAAGATCTGTGAAGGATAATTTTACAGTGAACAAAGGGAGATTGTTACTAGCAATAGTTATTACTACTACTATTGCAAACGCAGACATTTTGTTCGGAGATCTAGCTCTGTCCGGACACCAACAGTTAGAAATGAACAAACTAAGGATAAGATGATCAGTCGATTTCCAGTTAATACAAGTATAGTTCTGAAGTACTGTAGTAAAAGAACACATTTTTTGCCATTGTTAAGGGAGTGGTCATCACCATCACCAGATGAACAAGCTTTGTTTACATCACCAAAATCCATACAAGAAACTAGTATTAAGGCAAAAGCAAACTTCTAATACTAGCTACTACTATTTTCTATGCAATTTTTGCAGGTTTTTCCACACTGCATTTGCCACTACACAGACGAGCAAGCAGAGCAGCATGCATCCGAGCTCCAAGAACGGCATCAATGGCGGGAGCAGCCATGGAGGTCACGAGTCATGACCGCGATGAGACGGCGGCGGCGGCGTTGAGCCCCCGCGCGAGGCCGTGGACGGCGCCGTAGCCGCGGGAGCCGAGGCCGATGCAGCCGAAGAGGAGGAGCCCCTGCCGGTACGGCAGGTACGTCCGCCGCCGCATCTCCTCCGCCTCCGCCCTCCTCGCCTCGTACAGCCTCTCGTGCGCCGATCTCCTCCTGCTCCTCCTCCCCGTTGCTGCCCCTCTCCCTCCTCTCGCGCTCGCCGCCGCCGGAGCCGGAGACGGAGACGGGGACGGGGACGGGCTCCTCTTTGGCGGAGGAGGCGGTGGCGCGGTGTCGTGGTGGTGGTTCTTGCCGCCGTCCGACTTGCTCCGGTGGAGGAGATCCTTCAAGAACGCCCACCGGCGGGAGCCTCGTGAGGAGGTGGACGAAGCGGAGGAAGCCGTCGACGAGGACGACGACGAGCGAGACGCCGCCGGCGTGGCGACTGCCTCGACCTCCTCGGCGGTCTCCGGCGCGGGAGAAGGCGCCCTCCAGCGCGTGCGGAACGGGGACATCGACCGCGCCTTCCGTCGAACCGACCGGCTGCGGATGCGGCCACGCTCGTCGGCCTCCGCACCATCCTCCTCCACCGCCGCCGCATCCTCCTCCGCCAGATGCGACGCGTGGCCGTCGCCGTCGACGAGCGGAGCCAGAGGCTGAGGCTGGAGGAGCATCGCGGAGAGACGGACAGCGCGGATCTGGCCGTTGTGGAAGAGCTCATCCGCTGACGACATCGCCGCCGCGGAGGGAGACGGGAACCGCGACGAGAAGTCGAAGTCGAAGTCACCGAGGCACCCGCCGCCGCCGCCGCCGCGGGTGGGGCTCGCCGGCGCGCTGAAGAAGCACGGCGCGCCGTGGGGAGAAGCGAAGTGGTGCTCCCGCTCCCGCTCCCGCGTCGGGCTGGACGGCGCGCTGACGAACGGGGTGGAGCAGGCGCTGTCGGCGAGAGGGTCGCCGGGGATGGCAATGGCGGTGGCTGCGTGGTCGGCGGCGGCCGCCATGGCTGGCTGGGGGTGGTGGTTTGGTGCGGCGAGCGAAGTGGTGGGAGTGAGGAGGAGTGGGACGGTGGGAGTTTTTAACTGCTCGGGTTTTTTTCGATTCAGCCCCTTGGTTTTACATAAATTTTGGGGTTTCAGTGTGTTAGTGGAGTTGAGGGGTTCTAAGGTGATTAGGGGTGAGTTTCGGGGGGTGAGGTGGTAATGTAATTGTCCCGGTGATCAGATCTGAACCCTCTTGGATTGCGTAATTGTAGGATCGTCCTCTTTTGTGGTGTACTACTGGAAAAGCCGTGTTATTCGATCCCTCTGACAGGTGGGACCGGGTCGCATCGTCCTATCTGGAGGAAATCTCTAGTATTGCCGTATTGATTTTACACAACAGGAAATTCTCTACACTGTACTCCTGCTATTTTATAACCCATTTTTTCCTTGAAATCCTGTGAAAACCTGTAAATGATTTTTCCTATCTTTTTATTTAATAACCTGTTCTGTCCTGTTTGGTAGAGCTCCAACTCCAAAATTTAGCTTCAGGAGTTGGGTCTGAAGTGGAGTCGTGGAGCAGCCAAAACCCAGCTCTACATCTCTAGTTTATTTCGTGAGAACGCTCCACCCAGCTTCGCTTTCATTTTAAGTGAATCTGAAACTGTTTGGCTGAGCTCCATTTGCACATTTGCAGGAGAGGTAGATTGAGCTGCGCCAAACAGGTCCTAGGGGTATGTTTGAGCAGTGATTCACAGAGGTAGATTGAGCCTTGTTGCAGGAGTGGCAATAATAGGAAATGGGACGGTTTGGGCTCATGTCAAGCATCCAAATTCCAAACCTGAAGTGGAGCAGTTTAGCCACCACCACCAGTGCGCGCTTTCGCCGAGTCCGAAGTCCGAATCCGGCGGAGCAGGGAGCGGAACAGGAACCACCGGTGTGCCCGACACGGGAGGCAAACTCCGCGGTTGAGGCGACATTGGCTTTCTTCTCTCTGCAGTATGTGCAATGCAAGTGTGCATCCCTCTCTCTCTCTGTGTATCCGTCCAGATCAGTGTCCACCTGTCTATCATTCCATCCATTTCAAGACGTGAGCTGGTGCTGCTTGTCTGCGTGTATCGCGTTTATTCCTCTCCTTGCCGAGCCGTTGCTAGTCACATCCATGGTCAGATCATCATCATATACACTGCTCTCTTCGTTTTGGAGATGGCAGGAGCAGTGCAGTGGTGTGTGCTTCCCAATTCTTCTCCTCTCCTGTCGTCGTCAGCCGAGCATCAGAAGAGGAGATATGTTGTGTGTACTACTCACTGACGACACTAGCAGCATTGTTTGCAGAAGCTCACCCATCGTCTTAATTAACACTTTAACAGCACGTTTATTCGATGGTGGGATGTGATTAGAGTCGTCATTAATGGCGGATCTGTACTGTAGCAGGCCAAATTAAGGAGCTGGACAGCGGGAGTAGATGTGATCCATCCACGTGTCCTGCTCAGCTGAGACTGATGAGGTAAAGCTCCGTGAGTGCACAGTTGTTAGCACAGGGGCGGTGTTGCCGTCTATGACAGGTGGGGCCCCCGTGAAGGTCCGCCACCGACAGGTGGGTCCCAACCGATCGGTGGGCCCCGCAGACAGGGGACCGTGGGTGGGATCGGACGGGTGATGCGGCGCACAGTATACTACCTCCGTCCCAAAATAAGTGCAGCCGTGGATATCCGTACCCAACGTTTGATCGTCTGTCTTATTTGAAAAATTTATAAAAAAATTGAAAATATTTAGTCACACATAAAATATTATTTATATTTTATTATCTAATAGCAATAAAAATACTAATCATAAAAAAATTTTAAATAAGATGAATGGTCAAACATTGAATATGAATAGTGCAAAACTGCACTTATCATGGGACGGAGGAAGTAATAAAGAGGAGCGTGTGGGTGTGGCTAAACTGAGCTACGAGTAGAGTAGAGGAGCAGTGCGTGAATTGTGTCAGGAGGAGGAAGAGTTGCGCTTTGCGTTGCGTTGCCCTGCGCTGCACGGCGCCACCCTCTGCTCTGGCAGCTCTGCTATGTGCATCTGTAGCTGCTGCTCGACCTCGTTTCCATGCATGAGGGATGCGATGCGCCGCCCCCGCCCGGCCATCCATCTCAGGGTGTGTTTAGGGTGTGTTTTCCCAAAAAAAAAAAAATTGGAAGTTTGAAGAAAGTTGGGAGTTTTAAAAAAAAGTTGAAAATTTATGTGTGTATGAAAGTTTTTATGTTATATAATGTGATGGAAAGTTGGGAATAGAGGGAGAACTAACCACGGCCTTAGTTCACACTAAGATTGAAAGTTTGGTTGAAATTGAAACAATGTGATAGAAAAATTAAAAGTTTATGTGTGTAATAAAGTTTTGATGTGATAGAAAAGTTGAAAGTTTGAGGAAGAAATTTGGAACTAAACTCGGCCTTAGAAACATATCATATCCTTTAAAATACATACGAAGATCCCCTTTGAATTGGAGGGTAAATGAAGGAAAAATAAAAAAAATAAAATCCTACACTATTTATGTCTTTGATTCATAAGAATGAGAAAAGGAAAAACGTAAAAAATTTTCCTATTCCTACAATTCTAGAGAAAAAACAAATAAAATTTAACATCCACTCTGACCTCTTGGAAAACTTCCCTTGAGTCTATCTTTTATGTGTTTAAACTTTCCTATTCCTACAATTCTAGAGGAAAAACGAAGAAAATTTAACATCCACTCTAACCTCTTGGAAAACTTTCCTTGAGTCTATCTCTCATGTGTTTTTTCTATGTTTTATAATTCTCTATTTTACAATTGCATTCCTATCAGAATCATGTGTTTTTTTTCTGTTCCTCTGTATTCTCGGTCCTATGATTCAAAGGGCCCGAATGGGTAATCCTAGAGGAAAGTTAGCAAGAGGTTCAACCTCTTGAAAAATTACTTTGAGTCTATTTCTCTCGTCCGATTCCTATGTTTTTTCTGTAGTCCAATCAAACAGTCATTTACGTATTTTTCCAATCCATTGTTTTACACTTGTAAGACCCTTTTGATTTGGAGGAAAAACATAGGAATTATGGAGGATTTTAATCCTATAGAAAAATTTCCTACGAAGCCCTTTGAAACAAAGGATTAAATCTTATCCAATCCTTTGAAATTCCTATGGAATGGACAATTCTATATAGATTTTGGAGAATATTTAGTAAGAGTTTCAACCTCTTGGTAACTTTTCTTTGAGTCTATCTCTCTCATCCAATTCTTACGTTTTTCATGCTGTTCAATCAAATGGACATTCATGTTTTTTTCTGCGTTCTTCCCGCGGTTCAATCAAATGAACATTCAGTTTTTTCCTGCGTTTTGCAATCATCTATTTTACACTTACTTTTCTATCAAGATCCTATATTTTTTTCTATTTCGACACCCGTATTCTTGTCAGAATCCTATTTTTTTTATTTCTCTGTTTTTACATTCATATAATTTAAAGGGACCTTTATAAGATGGATTTTTAGGGACGGGGGAGTAGGGGAGAGTGAATTGAATAGATACAGATATACAGTACTCCGTAGTATTGTATTCTACGTACTGGTAGAATACCTGTATAGGTGAGTAAAGTCGCCTGCCAGTAGTACACCGGCCATGCTCCTCCTACTCTCCCATCCCAGCCTACTAGAGCTAGAGCGTGCACGTACGCTGTCTGTGTGGCTATGTACAGCAGTACAGGTACGTACTCCATAGAGTAGGCTATAACTTTCCATGGGGTCATCATCATCGTGGCTGCGCGCTTACTATACATCTCCCATAAGGGCAAGTATAATAGTGAGCTATAAACCTACTATAAACTTATGTAGAGGAGAGAGGTAAACAAAATATAATAGTGTTGGCTCTCATGCAAGAGCTAGCTTAACACAAACTCCAAGACAAATACATTAAATGTATAAGTGAGAGATAGAGATAGAAGAAGAAAATTATAGCTAACCTTATAGCTAATCTATTATATGTGTTAACTTTAGTATAAGCTAAGAGCACCCGCAATGGTAAAGTAAGGTGCTATCTATAAAACATGTACATCTCAGCAATAGACTAGATTAATAGTAAACCACCTCAATAGTATGTCTACATGGGTATCTATAGCTCTCTCATACATTGCCTCGTTTTTCTCTATAGACTATCTCTAAGTTAGTAGATAGCTTTGCTCTCCCTCTTCATTTAATATCTTCCATATAGGAAAATATACTGACATGGATCTCTTGTAGAGAGTCTATAGATAACCATTGTGGGTGCACTAATAGTATGAAGTGGGCTATATTATTATCGTTGCTCTAATGTTGCGTGGCATTCGGGCAGTACTCAAAAGGAAAAATAAAAGTCTAAAATATCCTCCATTAATAAGAAAATTGTGTGCTAGCCGGGCACTAACCCTGTTCCAAAATAAGTTAATTTATTATGACATACTTCCTCCATTAAAAGAAAACAATCTATTATTGAATGTGCTATTTTATAATATAATGAATCTTGATAAAAGAGAGTCTATTCGTTGTACTAGAAAATATCTCATTCAATATTAGATTGGTTTTTTTTTGGGGATAGAGGGAATATGATATAGTATCATCCCAGATTCATACAATATTAATTTGTTTTCGGATGGAGGGAGTAGTTGAGAGATATTGAGTGAATAAAATTCATGATTTATGGACCGATGGTAAGCAAGAGGATAAAAGTTGGTTTATTTCAAATAAAATTTAATCTTTACAAGTTAGGGGGTGTTTAGATCCACCGGCAATTTTTTTTGCCCCGTCACATCAAACGTTTTAACACATGTACGGAGTATTAAATATAGATAAAAAAAAGTAATTACACAGTTTGCATGTAAATTGCGAGACAAATCTTTTAAACCTAATTGCGCCATGATCTGACAATGTGGTGCTATAATAAACATTTGATAATGATGGATTAATTAGGCTTAATAAATTCGTCTAGCAGTTTACATGTGAATTATGTAATTTGTTTTGTTATTAATCCATGTTTAATATTTTAAATGTATGTCCGTATATCCGATGTGACACGCTAAAAATTTTCACCCATCGATCTAAACATAGGCCACTTTTAGTTACAAACTTTTTCTTCAAACTTATAACTTTTCCATCGCATCAAAGCTTTCCTACGCACACAAACTTTCAACTTTCCATCACATCATTCCAATTTCAACCAAACTTTTAATTTTAGCGTGAACTAAACACACCCATAGCCTTAATTTATTTTGGAATACAGGATACAAGTACTCTAGTTAAAAGATACTATCTCTACTCTACGCCTACCACTCGATGGTACGCGCATCAATAATCTATGGGACAGTAGGACGGCACGAAGGCATGGCCACGTCAGCGCCCTCGTTAAAACAGTATTGGAACGGTCGAATAGTATGTTTGCTTCCTCCTTCCCTTTGCTGCAACCGTGCGTGCATCTGCATCTCGTACGCACGGAACGTGTGGAGTCGTGCGTGGCCGTATTTGCTCCCCCCCCCCCCCCTCGCCGCGATCACAATTGCACTCAGCCCATCTCGATCACTGTTGCCAGCCCCATCATTTCGCTTATTCGTGGAATAAACCAAACGGTATATTTACAAAAAAAAATAATTTATGAATAAAATTTTTATATACGTGTTCTCAACGATTTAAAAGTAAAGACTGAAAAATAAACTTTGATGAGAAAACCCTAAAATCAGCTCCAAATTTAAGGTCAAAAATTTAAATTTTGGCATATAAATATAAGCATAAGCATCACAAACCTCTGTTAGTGCGACCACACAAATATGATACTCCCTCCGTTCCATAATATAAGAGATTTTGGGTAGATGTGGCACATCCTAGTACAATGAATCTGTACATATGGTTTGTCCAGATTCATTGTACTAGGATGTGTCACATCCATCTAAAATCCTTACTCTAGTATCAATAATCCGGTATCCAGAATCGCCATTATCCCGCGAGAAGCATCGTAGAAAGAGATAATGGCTCTATTTAGAAGAATTCAAACATAGCTTCTTCTAACATCTCCGACTCACTTCAAATCGTATAAATTTTCATCTAAATTATAAGAATATGTAGCTATAAAATCTAAAAAAATAAACTATAAACTAAAAACTATAAAACCTATATTTTTCAGAAGTATCAAAACAATTGTTTCAATGTTAAACTCTGCCTAACAGACCAACAATAATAACAATTACTATGTCTGTATGTTATTGCTGGCAACAAGCAAATAAAACTACATTGTGCTTGCCCTTAGCGGTTTAGCCTTGATTCCTCGAATGCTTGTTAGGGTTCACATAACCGTTCACCTATTGAAAACCGTCGATAAACTTGTAAATTTCAAATTTCATTGAAATTCAAAAATTTACTTTGATTTATTTCAAATCTGGTTTACCTCGTAGTTTGTCAGCTAAGTAGGCTGGTAACCACGAAAATTCGTAAGAATTGAACATTTTTCATGAGTTTTGTGAATCCTACTCGCACAACTTCCATGGTTTTACTCAATCAAACGGACAGATCAAAGTGTACCCATTCAAGTAGCTATCTAAACCTTACATGCACCCTGCGTACTTTGATTTGCACACAATCAAATGTACAGTAGTACATGTAGTATAAATCATGTTTACTCTTGTACCCTGTTTGATGCAATTACTCCAACTTTACTACCAAATGGTTTATTACGAGTACTAGCTTGCAGCTTCTTTATAATAGTGCAACATTGCACTGTACTTAATAAAATCAAACGTCACAGTTCCGTACTTTTCAGTCTGGCGACAGTTTTTTTCATCCTTTTTTATTCTTGTGCATAAGCCTAAAATAACTAGTTATATTTGGGGTTGTTCAGATTGATATTATTTCAAATCATAACATTTTTTTTTGGTAAAATTACTAAAGATATGCATACATTTATTTATTTTTACCAAACTTTGATAAATACATAAGAAATCATGTCAAAACTTATCAATATTATAAATTTTTACGAAAATTTGATAAAGTTTATTTTGGTTACCATATAAACAGCCCCTTGAAATCAAGTAAATACCTTTTTTCAGGTTTCCAGTGGTTGGGCCGTCTCTAGGGCCATAGTTTTACTGTTGGGCTTTTGCTGTGCAGATACTGGACCGAGTGTCATGTTGGGCCAAATCTTATTTCAGCCCAAATTTCGGCCCAAGAGAGTTCCACGGCCCACGAGATCCACAACTCCCGGCGCCAAAAAGCTCAGAAGCGGAGGCGCGCGCCACCACCGCGACAGTTTCCCGCGCTTTTTTTTTGCCCCTCTCTCCGGCGACCGGCGCTAGGGTTTCCTCCATTCGGCGGGGCGGAGGTGGGGCGCGCTCGCCGGAGATGGCGGGGTACGAGAGGGAGAAGAAGCGGCTGCTCGACCTGGCCGCTGACTCCGGCTTCGAGCGCGACCTCGCCGCCGACTGCCTCGACAGGATCGTCCGCCTCTACGGTAACCGCCGCTCGACCTCGTTCCCCTCCTCCTCTAGCCTCCGCTGCCGACGGTTTCCTCTACCGATAATGCAGGAGGATTTCTCGGTAGTTAATTGGGGTTTTGAGTTGGGGATTGTTTTAGTTTTGGGATCCCTCGAAGGCTCGAAATGCTATGGATCTTCTTTTGACTGAAAAAATGCAACAAATTTTAGCCATTAGTTTGTCAGGCTAATTCAGTAATTTTAAATTCCAGCTGCTCCCATCACTATTCAGTAATTTTATGTTTTTTACCTTTAGAGTAAAGGTCACAAGACATCACTATATTTTTCATCCATTGCATCGTTGCCACCTACTCAGGCTTCTGCCACCACTAAACCAAATCCAGTTTCTTCTTCCCTCTAATGGTTGTTATAAAAGAGAATGACTTTTCAGAATCGTTTTCTTGTAATCTATTTGTGCGAAAGGAGGAGACATTCAATCCTGCTTTATTTCATAGTCATCAGTAAACACAGCATAGCATTTAGGTGCAATTCAGTAATTTTCATTTCTAGCTGCTGCTCCCATTACTGTTTTTCACATCCATTGCATCGCTGCATCCTACAGAGCCTTCTGCCACCACTGAATCAAATCCACTTTCTTCTTCCCTCTGATGGTTGTTATAAAAAAAATGACATTTCAGAATCATTCTCTTGTAATCCATTTGTGCGAAAGGAAGAGATATTTTAATCCTGCTTTATTTCAGAATCATCAGTAAACGCCATGACAGTCAATCGCGTTGTTCTGGTATTATATGTTCTTTATTAGCCAGTTACATAGCATTTAGGTACAATTACATTTCTTGCAAATTTATATTTAGCAAGTCATGTTGTATAACTAAACCAATTTGATGAGTTGCCTACTTGTAAATGGGAATCTTAGTGTAGGTATGTGGGGACAACTATTGGTAAATTACATAGTTTTATCATCAGTTACATGGTGTGCAATTATTGATCAATTACCAAGTTTTATCGTCCTTTACACAGTTTAGGATAATTGATCAATTATATAGTTTTTTTCAATATGTACGATCGGTCTTCCCTTTCCACCTCCAAATGCATGATTCTTCCCTGGCAGAGCATGCCGGTGGCTCACTTCCTTGTCTCTAATGGCTCACTCCATCTGGCACCAGCCCTAGCTTCTATTCATGAGCTGCTGAAACTTAAAATTATATGACACTATGTTCTGCTATCAATCACAGATACCATATAATCGAAATTGGGAACTTCATAATAGGTCCGGCTGCCACCCACCATAGAGAACTGCCCCATGATCCGAAGCAGCAAATTCATCGAGAAGAACTGAACTAACTTTACTGATTTGTCTTTAGCATCTAATATGATACCATGGACAAAATTTCCTATCTAACCTTTCAGCCAACCTCTAAGCTAAAATTTCGCCTACCTTTTTAGGTAACTTTTCATAGGTACCTTGTGCTAACCATTAGATTTTAATTGATCAACGGTTGTCTTAATTTCCAAGTACTGGAGAAAGTCTCTTGTTACATATATCTGTGCTAAATTTTGGTGGGTTTTAGTTCCGTTTCTTAACTTTATAGGGGACCTCTTACAACCTTTAAAGTATGCACTATCTATGGAGTTATGATATTCTTTTATATCATATTATAGTATCCATAGTCCACATCAAGCGCTTGCTTTTGCTGCAATGTAATTTTGCTTTTCAGTCTATAAAAATTTTGGTGCTTAGCTGACTTTTCAGATTGTTTGATATTATCTAGAAAGGTAAGATTGTTTGGTCACTAGATTATAATTGAATGTTCTGGTACAGGAGAGGGCGGACAAGGTTTTATTACCGTGGAGAACTGTGGAGACGATTTCCTTGGCGCATTGGCTGATGCAACAAACAATAATGATGATTGGGATGATCTCAATGCTATAGAGAATGAAGCTTGTGGCAATTTGAATGGCATGATGAAGCACGGTGTAATTGATGATAAAGAAGTTGAGGTGAGAACTCCTTTGTTCAGACAGGCAGAATCCTCTGCTCGACAGACTCGCATCAATCTGGACTCCTTCGGGTTCTCCTCAGATGATGACTTTGAAACGTTGGAGTCCCATTGTGATCGTTCAGTCAGTACCCAGAAGAAGGTATGATCTCGAAACGCTAAACTGCACAATAGAATCTCGAATTAATCTATAAGCTACCTACCCTGATTTACCAATATTGGACTTCCATGCTTTTCCACTTTCAAATATGTGCTTTTCTGCTGCTAATCTCATATTCATTGATCTTTATGTTTCAAACTCCATATTTTCTTTTGAAGGTGAACAGAGGAAACAATAGATGTGAGTCATCCACTTCAACTTCAAACAGAGAAACTCTAAGTTATCAGCAGCTGTATAGCCTAGATGACATCAATTTTGCAAACGTTGTCATCTTTGGCAACAAAAGCTTTAGGCCCCTGCAGTATGAGGCCTGTAGGGCTGCAGTAAGCAACATGGACACCTTTGTGCTTATGCCAACAGGTGGTGGGAAGAGCTTGTGTTATCAGGTCCGTAAATTCTGCATTTTCATCTAGAGTTGACCTTTCAGTACGCATGAGTCGAGACTTAGAAACTCCACCTGGAATTACTTGTCTTGCAGCTACCTGCAACACTGCACCCAGGTGTTACGGTTGTTGTATGCCCTCTACTGTCACTTATTGAGGATCAAATTGTGGCATTAAACTTCAAGTTTGCTATACCAGCAGCATTTTTGAACTCTCAGCAGACACCTTCACAGTCATCTGCAGTAATCCAAGAGCTTAGGTAAACATTTGATTAGATCTCTAGCATATCTAATAGAATTTTGTGTTGTAACTTGCATAATGCTTCTTAAACATATCACATTACTTTAGCTTCTCATCCCATATTCTCATCTCATTGCAGAAGTGGTAAACCGTCATTCAAACTCCTCTACGTCACTCCTGAAAGAATGGCTGGAAACAGCTCATTTATTGGGATCCTCATAGGTTTACACCAGAGGGTACAAATCTCATATTACATTTTTTTAATTGTTACTTTGTTTTTTTAATTTAACCTTTATTTTATCCGAGGAAGTGTTGTTAAACTGCATTTTTCAATAGGGTTTACTGGCGAGATTTGTGATTGATGAAGCCCATTGTGTAAGGTAATGTTTAAACTCCACGTTTGTGATAGTTGTATAAGAAGCAGCTTTTTTTCCTGACAATGGTACCGATTTCCATGTTAAACCAGTCAATGGGGACATGACTTCCGCCCAGATTACCGAGGCCTGGGATGCCTCAAACAGAACTTCCCTCGAGTACCAATTATGGCTTTAACAGCTACAGCGACTGCATCTGTCTGCAAGGTTCTAGTCACACTGATCCTGTTCCTGCACTACTACTTGGATGGAAATTAGTAGCTATAATTTGGATGTACTCTGCAGGACATACTAAGTACCTTGAGGATCCCTAATGCAACGGTACTCAAGAGGAGCTTTGACAGAACAAACCTGAATTATGAGGTGATTGGCAAGACAAAAACTCCACAGAAGCAGCTGGGTGATCTCCTAAAAGAGCGTTTCATGAACATGTCTGGTATCGTGTACTGTCTGTCCAAAAATGAATGTGCTGACACTGCCAAGTTCTTGAGGGAGAAGTACAAGATAAAATGCGCACATTACCACGCTGGCTTGGCTGCTCGTCAACGATCCAATGTACAAGGAAAATGGCACAGCGGAGAGGTCAAAGTCATTTGTGCGACCATAGCATTTGGCATGGGAATAGACAAACCTGATGTGGTATGTATTTCAGTCAATGTTGGGATATAATTCCATTCTTTTGCTGGTAGGTGCAAAGCTTTGATTTGGATATTTCATCATGCAGCGCTTTGTTATCCACAACACCATGTCAAAATCGATAGAAAGCTACTATCAGGAGTCAGGGAGAGCAGGAAGAGACAATCTTCCGGCACATTGCATTGTGTTATATCAGAAAAAGGACCTCGGTCGAATTGTATGCATGCTGAGGAATTCAGGGAACTTCAAGAGTGAGAGCTTCAAGGTTGCAATGGAGCAAGCAAAGAAAATGCAAACATATTGCGAGCTGAAGGTAACTCTATGATTTAATTCTTCCAACTAATGTTATTGTATGATTCAAAATGCTGCATCGCAACGACTTGATGAATGAATTTCCCTGCAGACAGAATGCCGGAGGCAAACTCTTCTTGGCCACTTCGGTGAGCAGTATGACAGGCAAAGGTGCAAACATGGTTGTAGCCCTTGCGACAACTGCATAAAGATTCCCTCTTGAGAGAACCTCTTCCAAACCTACTGCTGTGTGCTGACATCTATGGTCTTGGTAGAAGGTCACTTCCTGAGAGCCATTCTTACTTATGATTTGGCCTTAGCACCGGAAGTACTGCCTGAATGAAAGCAAATGCTGTCCTTGTTGTAAGATGCTTGACATTTTTATCCTGCAGACATTGCGCACGAGAGAAATCATTACTATTTGCATGAGAAGTCTTCATTACATTGCATTTTCTTGCTTCTTGTGTTCATGCCTTATTCTGTTGTTTCTGAAGAGATCAAGGAAATGTCAAGGTTCATCAAGTCCATAATTTGAGGTACCTTCCTATTCTACTCACGGGGTGTTTAGATCCATGGGTGTAAAGTTTTGGCGTGTCACATCGGATATACGGATACATATTCGAAGTATTAAACGTAGATTAATAACAAAACAAATTACAGAATCTATCTGTAAACTGCGATACGAATTTATTAAGCCTAATTAATCCGTCGTTAGCAAATATTTACTGTAGCACTATATTGTTAAATCATGGAGCAATTAGGCTTAAAAAAATCGTCTCGTAATTTACACGCAATTTGTATAATTAGTTATTTTTTTATATTTAATACTCCATGCATGTGTCCAAACATTCGATGTGACAGGGTGAAAAATTTTGCCAATGTATCTAAACAGGCCTCAGTGCCTATTTTGAGAATGGATAAAATTTCAATGTATAGTGTGGATTGAGTATTTAGCTTCAACTGCAATCAAATATTGAACTCTATAATTTATTAAGCTGCAAATAGCGTCTGAGATCTTGCAGAGCCATTGCATCACATAATTCGGCTCAGGTTGGAAATATTTGTCTTCCAACCTGAGTAGGGCCATCCATGCACTCTAGGAGCTTCCAGTCTTGATAATAATATATTGCATGGAACCTTTGATTCTCACTGTAACAAAAATTTAGGAGAAAGCATTCAAAAGTACAGTATAAGAAGAGCATGAAGCAAAGTACAGTATAAGAAGAGCCTTTGAGATGTTGGATCTGAGAGTCTTCCACTTAAAAAAGAGTAAAACGGACTACTTTTATAGGAGAAAAGGAGATTTAAAGTACTCCAGTACTCCTAATTACAGAACTATCCATGAAACATTCTCTTAAGTTCTTTTAATCTGAAGAGTTTCTCTTAATAAGTTGTTGTGAAGTATAGTTAGTGGATGACATGGCCCACTAATGCTAGTTTAATCGATGCTCTTGTACGTCGTTTTGAGAATACGCTTCGTCAGCGTCTTTTGTGTAATGGCTTGCACTTTGCAGATGAGTCTAGAGTCCAATGGAAAATGAGCTGCATCTAGAGAGTTACATACACAGATACACTAGTGCTCAAAACAATTAAATTTAATTTTGTCTTTGGAAGGTCCTTAAGAAACTTTATGTTGATGCGTTTGTAGTAGTGGATAGCAAATTATTCATGATCGTCAGTAGAATCAGGACAAGTTTATTTATATCTCTACTGGAACTAGAACAAGGTAAATAAAAACATCTCACATGGAAACTACTTTCAAAGAGGGCTCATAGGGAGGACACCTCTGAAATGGCCAATGCTGCAGAGTATGCAGTCTACAGGTGCCAATCTTTTTTTTTTTTTCGCCGGGCTGGCGTGAAGAGCCAGCCGAGATTTATTAAGGGAAAAAGAGAGAGAATAAGTTACAAGCTACAGCAAAGAACTACATGCCGGCAAAGCCAGCAACACGCTTTTACATGGCTGCCTGCCGCTGCGTCAAACGCGAGACGACACCTCCCGGCAGCGAGCTACCACCACTACTACTGCAAGGGCTCGCTTGACTGCTGCAAGCTTCCTCCCGGCACCAAGCCTGCAGCTCCCCACATTCCCCACTCCTCCTCCATAGTCGCACAAAGCTGCACAACCGACATGGCTTTGTTGTCGAAGATTCGTGCGTTACGTTCCTTCCATACCATCCATGTCACCAAGATCACCCCCGCGTCGAAAATCTTGCGGCTGTGCTTAGGGATCATCTTGCGTGCCGAGCACCACCAAGAGGAGAGATCAGAGGACGGCGTTGTGCAGGAGAGGCCAATTCGCCGCCGCACCGCATCCCAGACCTGCTGCGTGAATTGGCACTGAAGGAAGAGATGAGCGCAAGTCTCGCCGGCTTTTGTGCAAAGGTGCCATCCTCTCCGCTGTCAAGCAGGCACCCCTCACCGCGAGAAACATGAAGAATTTGCACTTCGCCGGTGCCTTGGACTTCCAAATAATCTTTCCGATCGCACATTTCGTCCTCCCAGCACAAAGCAGTGAGTACGCCGTTTTGACAGAGAACTCCCCATTCTCCGCCAGCCTCCAAACTAACCTGTCATCCTCGGCCTCTTGCAAAGATATGTTAGCCACCATATCCCAGATACCGAAGTACTCGACGAGAGCCTAAATGGACAAACCCCCTCTGATGTCTGCCACCCACGAGTTGTTCCGCAGCGCACTGCCCACAGATCGTCCTCTATCCCGAACGAAGGAGAAAAGGATCGGCGCCCTGAATTCAATTGATCCCCCACCCAGGAGCCAATTATCACACCAGAAGGAAGTGCTCTCACCGTTACCAAGCACCATGGTGGACCCAGCCAAGAAGCATTGCCGCGCCTTCTTGTCCGGAGGTTGTGCCCACGGTCCGTCCGGATGGGCACGACTCATCCATGCCCAACGTGCCCGAAGAGCCACGCCCATGAGGGCAAGATTCCTGATGCCCAAGCCACCATTCTCAATAGGTAAGCACAGCTTCTCCCAAGCTACCAAACTGCAATGCCCCGGCGCCTCTTCATCCCCCTTCCAAAGGAAACCACGACACTTTTTTTCAATCTCCTTGATCGCCCAAGCAGGGAGCTCCAATACAGACATAAAGTACAGCGGGAGCGCCATGAGCACGTGCTTAATGATCGCAAGACGAGCGTCAGGAGACAATAATCGTGGCTTCCAACCTGCCAGATTTTTGGCCACTCTGTCCATCAAAGGTTGAACTTGTGCCTTTGCCGGTTTCCGCACCGAAAGCGGAAGACCAAGGTAGACGATCGGGAGCTCCTTAACCGGGCATCCGAGCACCCCTGTGACCGCCTGAACCTGCAGCTCGGAACAATGGATAGGCGTCACCGAGCTCTTTAGAAGGTTGGAGACGAGCCCCGTAGCAGCTCCCAAAAGGTTGAGAATGAACTGGATGACGGCAGCGTCTTGTGTGGAGGGGTAAAAGAAAACGATTGCATCATCCGCATATAGGGACACTCGCAGCGGCAGCAAATCTCTAGCAAGCGGGGAGAGCGCGCCCCTTTGAAGAGCCGTCGCACACATCGCCGCAAAGGTATCCATGACAAGGATGAATAGCAGCGGAGATAGAGGGTCCCCTTGCCGCAAGCCCCTGGCAAGGTGAATCCTTTGAGAGTTCCTCCCGTTGATGATTACTGATGTTGACGCTGAAGCCAGCAGAGTGGCAATGCAGTCCCGCCACCAGCGTCCAAACCCCAGGTGAGCGAGTAGCTCAAGGAGGAACTCCCAGGACACCGTATCGAAGGCCTTCGCTATGTCGAGTTTGAGCAGCATTGCCGGCTGCTTTAACCGGTGCAACATCTTCACTGCCCCATGAACGAAAAGGAAGTTTTCCTGAATCCTCCTTCCCTTGATGAAGGCCGACTGTGCATGGCCGACCAATTCTCCCATCCTAGGAGCCACCCTCGTTGCCAAGATCTTAGAGAAACTGTGGATGAGGCTTATCGGGCGATAATCCGCCAAATGAGATGGGTCATCCTTCTTAGGTAGTAGAACAATCGCCGCCGTGTTCAACAGATGCAGATGCTGCGAGTTTCCCCTCCAGGCCAGGTTCAAGGCCGCCAACAAATCCCCCTTCACGATGTCCCAACACCTCTTGAAGAAACCCCCACTGAAGCCATCTGGGCCCGGGGCCTTTTCACTAGGCATATCCATAATCACCTTCTTCACCTCATCTTCCATGATATCACTTTCCAAGTCTGAAAGATTATGCGAGGCCACCCCGATCGTGGATAAGGAGATCGCCACTGTTCTTGGATTTGCCGAACCCATAATGTTGAGGAAGTAGTCATACGCTGCTTGGAGTTTATCTTCGTGGGGATCGCCTTCTTACGCCGACGAGCGTTAATTTTCAGACGGAAGAACTGAGCACTAGTACCACTGTGCTTGAGGTAGAGGAGCCTAGATCTTTGTTTTAGCCGGATGCGCTCGAGAGACGCTAGCGCCAAGCATCGGCCCTTCAGCGCAGCGCGGAGGGCGCGTTCTCCTACCGACAGCGTGCGGTCGTCAAGCGCCCTATCAAGCTGGAGGATGATTTCGTGCGCAATTGCCAGTTGCAGCCGCAAGTCGCTGATCCGCCACGCGCCCCAGCTCCTCAGAGCCGACGCCGTGGCCTGTAGTTTGAAATGCAAGGAGCTTAGCGCATTCGACCCCTACTGCACCGACTCCCAGGCATTCTGCACCACCTCCTGAAAACCGTCAAGGCGCGCCCAAAAGGACTCAAACTTGAAATTTCTTGGTCTGTGCATCATACGGTCACATGCCAAGATGATGGGACAGTGATCAGAGGCTGACGAACTCAACGCCTGCAAATGAGCATCCTGGAAAACATCCTCCCAATCCCCATTTGCTAACACTTTGTTGATCTTTGTCAGAGTCAGCATTTCCTGCTCATTACACCACGTGTAGCGCCGACCAAACAAGTAAACCTCCCTCAACTCAAGGGCATCCAAGAAACATCTGAATCTGCCAATCAGCCTCCTGTTGATGATCCCATTGTTTTTATCTGACCCAGCCGCCAACAAATTTAAGTCCCCCATCACGCACCAAGCACCGACACCTAGAATCTGCCCCACCATTGTCAGCTCATCTAAGAACAAGATTTTCTCATTGTCCGATTGTGGTCCATATACATTCGTCAGTGTCCATTGGCCACCTCCCTCCATGTTGGAAATCTGCAAAGACAAAGACCAATCCCCTTTGTGCAGGCAGGTGACAGAAGCGGTCTGTCCTCCAAGCCGTGAAGAGGCCTCCCCTAGTTCCATCAGCAGGAATCGACTCAACCCCATCCAGCACAGAGCCACAAGTTTGGGACAACAACAATCTATCCAAGGAAGAGAGCTTGGATTCTTGACAACAGAAAAAGGACGCACCAGAGGATTTAACAAGCTCAGCCACCACCGCCCTCTTAGCTACTTGATTT